CTATAGTCCATAAACACAAATAAAGTTTACATTTTAATAGTCATATTATTATCTCCAATCGAAAAAATAGTATTATGATCCATATGGAAACTTTTTTTCCGGATAAGTCGAGCCAAAATAAATATTCTGTGAATCCAAATATTATTTTAGTTGAAATTTGCAGGACACTCGATAAAACAAAGCAGAAACTTCTTAAGAGTTTGCCTATAAACTGCTTTAAATATTGCATCAAACAAAAAAAAAAATTATAAAAACCAAAACTATTTATTTATCTAATGTCACTATGTCAGTGTAGAATAAATGTTCTTTGTGAAGTGTATCCCTTTTTCTATGGAAATGCGAAAGTAACGTATGCAATTTCCTTTTGTACAGAAAATAAATGCCCAAATAGGAAAAAAATAAAAAGAACGTTGTTAGAAGGCCCAACCACGCGCTCTCGGCCATCTCAATTTCAAAATTATGCGAAAAAGCCCAATATCGTGGGTTTTGGTCTCACGCGCTCAACGCGCTATTACTGCGATTTGATATGTTTCTTGTAGTCTCGGGGACAAAGGAGCCTAAATTAGAATTTTTTTTTTTTTGATGTTCAAAACAAAAAAAAACTGTTTAATGTTTAGTGAAATAGAATTAAATTTACTTCTTCTTTTTTTTTTGGGTGAATAAATTTACTTCTTAATTCATGATTTTCCAGGAAAAGTAGTCATTATCTCCAGCAGTCGAAATTTTTATGATTGGGAAATGATCAAAAAGGTATATAAATACATATTTATGAAATTCAACACAAAAAAAAAAAGAAGAAAGAGGACATCATAAGAAAGATAAAAAAAAAAGACTTATTTAAGTGGTCCTTGGTTCTTTTTCAGTTTCTTTCTGAACTATTGTCGAAACATAACTATAAACCCAAAAATAAATAAATTGTGTTAATTATGTAAAAGAAGAACTATATCATCTACTTTTACGTGAAAAAGTATAAAAGTTATTTCCTTCTACTAAATTTGCTTATTTTTGTCACGGAAATTTTATCTTAATGTGCTTTTCATATTAATATCTTTACTTTTTAATTACTACCGTTCATTTTGTTGTTGTTGCACCTTCCATTTTGAAAGGTATTAAAAAGAGAAGTAAATAGAAATATGTTTTCTTGTATCTCATCATCTAGTTTAACACTTTTCTAGTTTCCACAAATTTTATAGAAATCATATATGTTTCTACCAAAAAAAAACTTATTACTTTGTGTGGTTTGAGTAATTACCTCCGAAATTAGAGTTTCATCCAAATATAGAACTTTCAAATAGCATCCATCAGATAAAAAAAAACTAGGTTAGAAAATCTCTCACCTATTGCATTATCTAATTTTCTTTATATCTTTTTTAAAAATGTTTCCTCCAAATATAGCACTTACTAAGGAAATTTCTCCATTTCTTTGATTTTTCCTTTCGCAAAAAAAAAAAAAAAAAAGAAAACAAGAAGAAGAGGAAGAAGAATGTGGCTACCGAAAGCGGACGCGACAAATAAAGGAACAAGAAGTGGTTCTGTGGCGATTGCAATAGACAAAGACAAAAGTAGTCAAAATGCTATTAAATGGACATTGGAGAATCTTGCTACTCGTGGCCAAACTCTTGCTCTTATTCATGTCCTTCCCAAATCTCAATCTTCTTTAGGTTAATTTACCCTCACATTCTCAATGATTTTTTATCTTTAGTTTGACATATTTTATTGGTCCTTTTTTTTGGCTCAATGATTTTTGCACAAAGTTTGAGTTCTTTAGGGCTTTCGCTTTTGTGTTTCATGCAGACATTGAAGAAGGAATAACACATAAGCAGCAAATGGAGAAACAAACGAAAGATCTCTTTGTATCCTTCCACTGTTTCTGCAGCCGCAAAGAGGTAATACTTACATCAATTAAAATAAATTTAACTTTTGTTTATATAGATCAAAGTTTGAAGCTTTTCTTTTTTGGATATCTGCATGCAGATTCATTGTCTGGACGTTGTGCTTGAAGACGTAGACAAAGTTAAAGCGATAGTCGAATATGTTACGGTCTCTGCGATTGAGAATTTAGTTCTTGGTGCTCCATCACGGAATAGCTTTATGAGGTAATAAAACTGATTAGGGTTTCGCTTGATTGGTTGAGTGCGGAAGAAGTATTAACCAACATTAGGGTTTCTTTTTTCAATTATGATCATCAACAGGAGATTCAAAACTGATTTACCAACGAGTGTGTCAAAGACAGCTCCAGATTTCTGCAATGTTTACGTCATTTCCAAAGGCAAAATCTCTTCGTTACGAAACGCCTCACGTCCTGCTCCTTACCATCCATCAGTACTTCTCAGCGAAGTAGACAATCATGAAACGATTGCCCTCGAGAGGAAACATAAAACAGGTTAGAGTTTTAACCTTGATAGGAAATATTGTTGCTTGCGTTTCAAGCATCTCAACACATTCTTAAATCTTCCATCTCCCTTGTTTTCAACAGCTAACACGCCGGCCTTGCCTAGGGGACGAAGATCAGTTGATTCAGATGGTACCAGGTATTATTCTGTTAGTTAAAACAATTGAAAATTTCAGAATCTAACAACTTCAACAATTTCCTAAACCTTGGTTTTGATTTTTTGTAGATTAGGGCTTCCGAAACCGCCACATGGACATATGAAATTAGTGGGGGATTTCTCAGATTCAGAGTCCGAGTTCTCATTCATCAGTGCTTCTCAACAAGAATCCGACCTTTCCTTCATCAGCTCCGGGAGGCCGAGTGTAGACCGATCTTCCTTCACCTACGATTTACCAGAATCAGCAAGAACCTCAAGAATGTCAACGAGCTCAGAGCAGAGCATTGGGTCACATAGATTAGGAATCAAGTTTACGGATTTGAGTTATCTCAATGGTTCTTCTACGGTTTCTGATGAGAGTGGAAGAACTTCTTGTTCCTATTCATCACAGAGCTTGGTATAAGTTGAAATCAAACCATGTTTTATTTTTTGTCGGTCTTGAAACCCGATTTTTTTTTTCTGTTACATTCCATGAAAATGTTTTTTTTTTGTTGCAGGATGATGTAGAAGCTCAAATGAGGAGACTGCGTTTAGAGCTGAAACAAACTATGGATATGTATAGTTCAGCTTGCAGAGAAGCTTTAACCGCAAGGCACGAGGTAATTATTATATATCTCCATGTTGTTCTTTATGTCAAGCGAGGTTGATTCATAAATTCGTTAAAATGTGGTTTAGGCGACAGAGCTGCAAAAGCTGAGGACAGAAGAGGAAAGACGATTGGAGGAACTAAAGATGACAGAGGAAATAGCAATGTCAATGGTTGAAAACGAGAGAGCAAAAGCCAAAACAGCCTTGGAAGCTGCTGAAGCTGCAAACAGGCTTGCTGAAGTGGAAGCAAAGAGGAGGGTACACGCAGAGATGAAGGTATTGAAAGAAAGCGATTCTTTCTCTCGACATAGCATTGTTCGATATAGAAAATACACTGTTCAAGAGATCGAAGAAGGTACAGCGAACTTCGCAGAATCAAGAAAAGTTGGAGAAGGAGGGTATGGGCCCGTGTTTAGAGGTCATCTTGATCACACAAGTGTTGCTGTTAAGGTTTTACGCCCTGACGCTGCTCAAGGAAGATCACAGTTTCACAAAGAGGTAACAAAATTACTATCTTCTCTACAATTTTTCTCCATTAGCTCTGTTTCCCCTATTGTTTACTTGTGTTACAAGAAAAGGTTTTTTATGATTTTTTTTTTAAAACTTGATGTGTTTTGACTCTCAGGTTGAGGTATTAAGCTGCATAAGGCATCCAAACATGGTGCTTCTCTTAGGAGCTTGTCCAGAATACGGTATTCTCGTCTACGAATACATGGCCAAAGGAAGCTTAGATGACCGCCTTTTCAGACGCGGAAACACGCCCCCGATTTCATGGCAATTGCGTTTCAGAATAGCTGCTGAGATCGCTACGGGTCTCCTCTTTCTCCACCAGACCAAACCAGAACCAATTGTCCACAGAGACTTGAAGCCAGGAAACGTTCTTCTCGACCACAATTACGTCAGCAAGATCAGCGATGTCGGGCTTGCAAGACTCGTCCCTGCGGTAGCTGAAAACGTGACTCAGTACAGAGTAACATCAGCTGCAGGAACGTTCTGTTACATCGACCCAGAGTATCAACAAACCGGAATGTTGGGTGTGAAATCAGATGTTTATTCTCTCGGAATCATGCTTTTGCAGCTTTTGACGGCGAAACAGCCGATGGGTTTGGCTTATTATGTGGAACAAGCGATAGAAGAAGGGACATTGAAAGATATGCTTGATCCTGCAGTACCGGATTGGCCATTAGAGGAAGCTTTGTCTCTTGCGAAGTTATCGCTACAATGTGCTGAGTTGAGAAGAAAAGATAGGCCTGATCTTGGTAAAGAAGTGATGCCTGAGCTTAATAGACTTAGAGAGATTGGTGAAGAGAGTCTTGAGTCTGTGTTTTATGCTGGACAAGGACGATCTTCGCATCCTAGTCAAGTCTCTTATACATCGGTAAGAGTTTTTAATTCCAAGACATTTCCATCAGATAATTAGATGTCTCTCTATGATGTTAATTGTTTTGTGGGTATTGCAGGAAGGTAGGAGTGCTCCTTTAATATCGAATACAGGATCTTCTATATCAAACCCATAGTTTTGAAGAATTTGGTAAAGATATAACTCTCTTGTTTCATGTTAGGTAACAAGTTTATTGAGAAAAACACTCATGCTTGAGATTTGATTTGCAGGAGATAACTTGCGTAGAAAGCAAGCCAAGAGCAATTTATTCAGAAAATGAGTTGCTTATTTGAGCTGAAGAAGAAACGTGGTTATGGTTTATTAGAGAGTCGGATTTGTGTATAAAAGTTTTGTATTTTCTATTAAAGAAACAATATGTATATTACGAGGAAATATGGATTTCCAATGCACATTCTGGAGAAAATATGAAATTATATTTTAAAGATTTTAACCCTTTGACTAAGAATTACATGTTTAGTCGACACGTAACTCAAAGTAAAGAACAACGTGGGAATGTTCTGACGATGTCAAGTGTTAAAGCCAAAAACAAGTCTTATTAAAAAAGGTTTTCTCAAGGTAGGAGAATTTTGCAACAATGGGACAAGGTAGAGAAGTTAAGACGAGACCAGATCCTCAAGTTGAGATTCAGGTTTTAATTTATTACCTTCCTCTGTTCTTTGTTCATGTACTTGAGTTAAAGACTGTTTTTCTCAGATGAGCTCAGTCACTTGTTAATCAGGAAAGAGGAGAAATATTCTTCTTTTATAGGCCGAAGGTTAACAAAGATGAAGCTCACAGTGTGGACGATGTTCAAAGGTTATACATAGTGATGCGTCCTGAGTCCGGTGAGAATCCCACCCAGGAGAAACAAGACCCTCTTTCAGGTAAAGAAGGTTCCTATAAAGATTCCGGTGACGGAGATGCGAGTAGTAGCTCCTCCGGCGCCAAGAACCAAGGTGAAGGAGGACACGGTGTCGAGGTAAGTAGGAAGAAGAACCAAACTCTACGGATTCAGCTCTTATTACAGGACTATAATCTGGTTCTTTTCGTAGAAAGTGAACATCGAGGAACAGCTTCTGCTACGATTCATTGTGATGGGTAAGAAAAGTCTTCCTGATCCAAGCAAGAAATCGCAACATTTTTGGGGTTTCGTGGAGATGGTGACGACCAATGTTGAAGATGTTAAAACTGCTCTCAAAGGAGGTAAGAATTTCGTGAATTTGTAAATTTACTTGGTGAGATTTTGTGATTTTGAATTTGTTTTTGCAGACGAGTATGAGACCAAGACTCGAGGACATAGACACAAACCGCCGGCGAGAGCTGTTGGAGAAGGAATATACAGAATTCTCCGACATAAACCTAGTCCGACTAGAAAGCACCACACACATCTTGTCTACAAACTCGAATTCCCATCGGATTTGCAGACCAGAGCACACGAGCCACAAGAGTCGATGAACATTGAGCCCGAAGGATCCTTCTTGATTCAAATACGAAATCCAGAGCAAGGAGGAGGAGGTAGGTCAGGGTTTGGTGGGCTGCAGAGAAAGAGGAAGGCCCAGTTCCCGGCCCATCTTCAAGCTCATTTAGGTCATACCCGGTTTGATCCAGCCGACCCGCCCGATTTCCTGAATTATGAAGGATGTGAGTTGTTACTGATCTCTGCTTCCGACGATATAGAGGAAGAGTTAGGGATGGAGTTGGAGCCTGAGGGTGACGGTGATGAATCGACATGCGATCTTTTGAAGACTTTCGGGGATGATGTTAAAGCTACTCCGCTGCTTCGCGGTACATGGGAGTAATGGCGGATGCTCACTAGTCACTAATATTTTAACTAGATGATAGCTACTAGCTAGTGTTTAAAGTATGGACGGCTTTATGTGGTTATATTGTCTTTCTCGGGTAAAATGATGATGTATTCTCTTGGTGTCAAGTTCTGTGTAAATCTGTCTACCCTTTTTGAAAAAAGTTACTCAAAATTTTGGTTTGTAACATGTCACTGGGAAGTGCTTCGTATCAATGATTTAAGACAACTACCATACATTATTCAGATGAGAGAAAAAAAAAAAACAAAAACCATTAAACCATGTTGCATGAATTCATAACCTACCTCACTCATTTACTCACTCTATATATGTGCAAAAAGGATTAGATGTCTTTTTTATCAGAGAAAGATTGGAGCCATGACAAGCGTGATAGTCGCCAACATTTTGATGAGAACGTGAATCGACGGTCCTGCTGTGTCCTTGAAAGGGTCTCCCACACTTGCCATTTACAAAAAGAAAGATGATTTCTCATTATAAAACACATTTGACTTCACTATCAAAGTCAAAGGAAATGACTAATGAGGAAGAGACTAAGAAGAAGAGGATGTACAAGGAAAATGGAAAATTGCTTACGTATCACCAGTTACTGCAGCTTTATGAGAATCACTTCCTTTGCCTCCTAGAGCTCCTGTCTCAATGTATTTCTTTGCATTGTCCCAAGCACCTCCTGCTGTATTTAAGAAAAGAGCCATTAAGATACCACACACCGTTGCAAACATTAGCATTGCAGCTACTACTTTAGCTCCTAGCAGAGGTTGTCCTGTGTAGTATCCCAAGATCCGGAACACAAAACCTGAGGACACCAAACAGAGAGGGTTGGTTCATCATGTCTGTTTCTTTCTCGTTTCACGGATTAACCAACATTTTACTGACTCACCAACTGCAATGGGTGATATTATAGCCAAAGCTCCTGGTTTTATCATTTCCCTCAAAGCTGAAGATGCGACAATGGCAACACATCGACCATAATCTGGCTTCTCCTTGTAGTCCTGTTACATAAAGGTCAAAAAGACACCCGAAGGAAATAACAAGAAGAAAAGGGAACGGGCTCCAAAGGAATTATATTTACCATTATGCCAGGCCTCTCAATGAACTGTCTTCTTACTTCATTGACAACCTCCTGTGCAGTTCGACCAACTGCTGCACAAGCCCAAGCGCTAAACAGGAATATAAGCATGGCACCTAATAACCCACCGATGAAGACTTCTGGGATCGCAATATCAACCTGTTTAGATGTGAGGACGAGAATGAGGATGAGTATGCGAGACGAGAAGCCATATAGTGGAAACAGAAGAGACATAATATACATACCTCTTTGAAAGACACATTAGCAAACCTCATCCATATAGGCACTAAAATGAAGGAATGATGCAAGGGCAGCAGATCCAATAGCAAACCCTTTTGTTGTTGCTTTTGTGGTATTCCCAACAGCATCAAGAACATCAGTGATCTCACGGACACTTTCTGGCTGCAAGAGACAATTATTTTTATAGAAGCATGAAAATTCAAAGACAACATAGGAATAATTCCAACCACTCATATGACACATACCTGCTGGCTCATCTCAACAATCCCACCTGCATTATCAGCTATAGGACCAAACATGTCCATTGTAAGAACATAAGCTGCAGTGCTCAGCATTCCCATTGTAGCTACAGCTGTTCCAAATAGACCTGCAATGGGGTTTCCCTTTTCATCCATTAGTCCCGAGGTATTGCCCAGCCAAAAAGCAGAAATGATAGCTACACTTGTAACTAAAACAGGAAGAGCCGTGGACTCCAGACCCAAGCTGACCCCAGCAATTATATTGGTTCCATGACCAGTGGAGCTAGCAAGAGCCAACGTCCGAACAGGCTCATACTTATAGTCAGTAGAATATCTGGATATCCAGACAAAGACATAGGCTGTGATAATGCCAACCAAGCCACACATGAAAAAATTCACCCAAGCAGATGGAGCTTGTTCTGTGTAAAGCAGCCAGCGAGTCGACTACAAAACAGAGGTAATGGTGTCAGAGAATTCCATCGAAATTACAAGACTAACAATAACTTCAGTTGCTTAGATGGGCCCTAATGTGCATGTGTGTGTAAAGTCAACTATCGATAAAACTGAGAAATAACATCAAAAAAAGCTACTGTTCAAAAGCCATTTAATGAACAAAATAATCAATGACATATGTAGATGACATTACCGCGCCAAATGTCAAAACGGCTAATATAATAGTCAGCGAATATCCTTTCTGAAGCACAACCATTGGATCCTCTACTGGAGATTTCACACTAGCATTGCGAGTTCCCTTGATCGATAGAATTACCAATTGATGATATTACCAAGTCAAACGAGTGAACAACTAGAGGAAATAGAATAAAACCAGATGGATCTGCATGATAAACGAAAAGGTTGAGTAAGAAATAAAAAACCAAAGAAGATTACGATATGCGCTTCAACCTTTTCTGCTTGTTTAACCACAGTAGAGCTAGCCATCCAATTTTATGGCTAAAATACTAACAGTCTTAACTCTTTAAAATAAACCAGAGATGCCCCCACAAACCTTCAATTAAGAAAATTACTAATTACTAATTTCCAAGCCCAACAGACGGTCCACGAAGAAAATTTACCAAAAGTTGATTTTTTAAAAATATAAAAAAAAAAATCAAATGATTATCTTCCGTCAGGAGCTGTACTTTGGATAAGAGATTCAAATTCTTACCCGGCGAAGAAGAAGATGAAGCAACCGGCGACACCAAACGCGGCGGAGGAAACCAAAGCAGAACAGAAGCAGAAATCGAAGAAATTCCCAACTCCGACGGAACTAATCTCTCACTACCAGAAACGAGGGCTGGAACCAGCAGAAGCTTCCATTAAGGTCATCGAAGACCTACAAAACGCGCTCGTCCGAGTCGTTTCGTCTTCCAGAAACGCCTCCAGCAAGGATAAGCTTGTAACCGACGCCAGGAAAATCGACGCCATTAACGGGAGGCTTGCCGTCGTCGACGCGAAGCTGGAGACGAAACCTGGATACGTTGAGACTTTCGTGTTAGGGTTAGCTTCTGGTGCTACACTTAACGGCATTAACGCCGTTTGGCCTCACGTTACCAGAGGCATTGGCCAAATTTGGTCCGCCGTTAAGAGCGGGACGGATCCTTCATCTGCCTCTTGAAATGTTAGAAAGGATAATTCTAGATTGATTTGGTTTCTTATGAGTTTTTTTTTTCGGTTTTGTATCAGCGAAATTTGAGTATCATGGACTTCAAGTTTTCTACTGTTGGAACAAATAATCAATCTCATAAGAAATTTATCCTAATTAATTTTGCTCTAAAACAGAAAACCAATTGTAGAACCTTTTTTAATCCCAATGGCATGTACTACTTTTACTAAATAAAAGATAATATATACACCGCAAAATAAAATTTCTTAGCAGGCAACTTTACACAAAATTTTGCAATTGGAGTTGCCAACACTAAAAGTTAGCCAAAAATTTCTCCCACTGCCTAGTTTCAGAGTTGGTACATGAGAGAACCTATGATGAATGATGCCAGAGGAATCTATAAAACTTACCCATGAAACCGGAAATTAGCAGCTGGTTCACGATTGTGGGAAATAATAACCTTTGTGAAATCAGTTGTTTTTTGTTTGTTATCTTTGTTTACTGTTGTTCTTGGTCGACTCTGCAAATAAGAAGAGTGTAATTCAGTATTAAAACATACTAATTTACAATTGCACATCAGCTTCTGAAGCAAAACATAAAGAGGTTAGATATGCAATGAAATTTTACCTTTGATCGCCTTAGGCGGTCTTGTATCACTGCCAGCGGTTGAACCTGGGGACAATGGTCGCTTTGGAGGTTTGGGCTTATGTGAAGGAATCAGAGACGAATTGAGAATGGCAGCAACAGCTTCACGCTGTTGCTTTCGTTTGGATATCATATCTTCAACACCTCCTTGATTAGAAGCATTGCCTTTGTTTATTTGTCTATCTTTCTGTCCAATTTCATCTATGGGATTTGCCCTCTTGCTACTGTCAACCTTTGATGAAGCCTTCTTAGATTTCTTCCACTCATTAGAATTTTCGTTCTTTGAACTATTTGTATCTGTATTCTCTGGATTACTGCTTTTCTCTCTGCCTTTCATTTTTTCTTTCTTTTCATGGCTCCGTTTCAGAGTCTCTTCAGATGCTACCTTCTCACAGCTTGCAGCTTGTTTTTCCCTTTGAGAAGAAGCTTCTTCTTTGACGTTTCGTCTGCTGTGCTTTCTCTCTGATCCTCTTGATGAGATAGGCACAAAATCTCCATCAGATTTCCTCATTTTTCTATCAGAAGATGTCTCTGCCCTCTGTTCTTTGCGGCGTGAATGCTGTTTCTCAGGCTTAGGAAAATTCTTTGGAAGATTCTCAGAATGGTTTTGTTCCATCACATATTCACCAAACATGTTGTTGTATGGTCGCTTAACTGGTATGATGACTTCTCTTTCTTTTGCATCTTTCACAAGAGCACCCCAGTTATGGTCTCTTTGCAAGGTTCGTGTGTTACCCAAAACCCAAAGGGAGAGTTTGGCTCTAGTGAGAGCAACATTCATGCGTCTAACATCTGCAACAAAACCAATCCGACTTTGATTGACCCCATCAGGATCAGAATGTGTAGCTCTTACAGTGGATAACACTAATATGTCCACTTCTCTGCCTTGAAAGCCATCCACAGTATTCATTTCCATATCTGCTGTTACTTGAGCCCCAAATGCACCAGTGAAACGCGAACGCAAAACGGCAAGCTGACGTTTGTAAGGGGTTATAATGCCAATTCTTCCAGCAACAAATTCGGAGGGGTACCTGTAAGCATCAAGCTAGCCAGTGAGGAAAGTAATATCATATAACTCTCTAAAACATGTGTGAATAGATAGCTTAGGATGATTAATGACCTCTTCTTGAAAAATCTAAGCAGTTGAACAGCAGCTTCAGCTTCTTGTTCATTGCATACAGAACTAGAATCGCCACTTCGATGCTCTTGGCCATCAACAATATCATAGAAAACATATGGTCCAAGATGATGGCTCTCGTGAAACGGTGCTGATTTACTTGACATGTCAACACCATTTAGTAACTTATAGTCGTAGAAATGCATAGACGGGAATCGACAAATTTCTGGATGCATCCTATACTGTTAGCAGAGAACACGTTAGCCCAACTTTCAGAAACAGATATAATTTTATAATTTAAAACAAACTTTCCATCATTTTACTAACATGAAAAAGAGAACACGTTAGCCCAAATTAAATCTAAAGGCCAGAAAACTCTAATAATCAGTGTACCTGCTGGGTAAGCATAAGGATAGGGTACCCAGCCCTTTGCAGACGTTCAAACATGCTGCATTCATACAAAAATTTACTTGCAACGTTAGAGAGCACAGTTGCTGGAAGCTGCTTTGGGTCTCCAACCTGTAATAATAGGCAATGTTATTGAATAAAACTGCGGAGTTGATAGAACATCGATGCAAGTGAACGATTCTCACCATTATACATTTTGTTCCTCTTGACTTTAACAGTTGTAGAGGAATCAACGTAGCAGGCTCCAGGGCCTGTGAAGCCACAAAAGCAAAGAAGTTATGAGTTGTGACGAGAACACCTTTGCCAAACCATCAAGCAAGTTGAATATTTACCTGAGCTGCTTCGTCAATCACTACCGCATCAAATAAATTATCTTCAGATGGACTACCAAATTTATGGGCTGATAAAGATTCAGCACACACACTGTACAGGTCTCCTCCACAACCACTTAAAGTTGTAACGACTATTTGAGCTTCTTTAAGAATGGACTTCCGCAACTTATGTTTCAATGCTCTCATTTCATAGTTGGCTTTTCTCTCTTGAGCCTGAACAGCACTAAGATCTTTGTAAATTTTTCTCTTCTGCTCATATAACCTTCGCAATCTTATTCCTAGCTCCGCATCGGACATTGGCTTGCCATCATCATCTTTGTTGTGGTGTTCATTCTCCGGCTTATCTTTGGCGTCTAAACTTTCCTGATTTATGTTTGCACGCTTCGCTTCAAAATGCGTGATCTGATCAACTATTTTTTCTAGATTAGAGCGCAGTAATGCAGAAGAATCTGCACCTTTATTACTCTTAGATTCGTTTATCCTTATTCTCTCCTCTGCCAAACGCTGATCAACAAGGGTATCAAGAAAGAAGGGCATTGAATTTGGATGAACAGTTTTTGCATTTCCAACCCTCACAAGATAAGGTTTGAACATCTTCCCATCCCTGCCATATATGCCTAAACTGGATATTCTTGAAACTAATTCATCAACTGCAGCATTTGACTGAGCACAGATCAGCACCCTTCCTCTACCATTCTTTTCTGCTATCTTTTTATTTGTTTCCTCGTCATCATTTAGCTGTTTAGCCAGAGCTGCATCTTGCCATGCCCTTGCAATAGCGACACTCGGATTCATTCTCTGCCTAGAGGTTGAAGAACTATGATCTGGTTCAGAATTTCCCCTGTCACTTGCTTTATGTAAAGCGGATGCAAGCAAGCCACTAATAATGGCAACAATAGTGCGCGTCTTGCCAGTCCCTACAGAGCAAACAAATTTTCTTTACATTCATTAAAGTCCAACATCAACAATCAATTAATGTAAAATGTTATTCTTTCTCCCAGAGCATATTATAGATATAATTAGCTGTGTTGACAAAGAGATAAAAATGACTAACCTGGTGGACCCTGGATAAGTGAAATGTCAAAAGCTTTCATCAAATTGGATGAGCCAATAGCAACACTAATAGCCTGAAGTTGACTCTCATTGAAAGATGATTTAAGTATTTGCTGTAGAGAATGTGGTAGTGAACGCAGATCTGATCTTTTAACTTCGGAATCATAATTAGAATCACTCTTAGGACTTAAGATCAGAGGTAGTATAGGAATATCCTTTATGGACGACAGAGCTTGAAACTCGCGAATTTGGGATGTAATGTTGAGAATGCGACTTGCATGCCACTGGCTACGTTCCAAGAGATTTCTTCTAGCTTGATTCAGACGTGAAGATGCATTCTGAAGATACAACCGTACATTCAAAATGCTGGACCGTTTTTTGTCATCCCATTCCCGTCCTTCTACCTAAGAAACAACAAGGTAAGTAATCTCTATCCCATTACAAAGTATGTTTGATATATCCAACAACTATGTAAAGTATTAGAACATTAGGAATAACCCTCTATCTTATATTAAATTCCACTGAATCTCCAAACCAGCACCCTGAATATATCAGGTCGAGTAACAATGTAATATTTATGGTTTTCAAGCATATACATTCCTGATTCTACTTTATCAATCACATGCAAGTAAAACAATATACCACATACCTTTCCCATCATATTAACACCGACATTGCTGCTTTCTGGATGCTCTTTCGTGAACAAAACCAAGTCATTCTCAGAGAAACTTTTCGAGTTGGATCCATCATTTTCGTCTTGCATAAAACGAACAAAATGAAAATCGTCAACCCTTTCAATCGATAACACTGAAAGAACACCATAATATATCTCCTCCAGTGATGATATCTCCTGGAAGGAACTTTGCAGCTGTGCTTTAAACTCCTCCAAAACCAAGGGCTGAAAAATCTGAATATATTGCTCAGGTGAACCAAAGCGCACAGGAACTTCCCTAAATTTTCCAACATTCTGATTCTCATCTTTATTTGTTGACGCCAATCCCACTATCGCATAGTAGTCCATTTGCAAAATCTTTCTAAACCAATCTTCAAGCTTTGGTGGTCTGAATCTTTTAAATCCGGCTTCTTGCCTCTGCCAACGATCGGATTTCTTAGTGACAGGTGCACAAAGTTGAATGACTTGTCTTTTGGGAACAATGGGCCCTGGTTTTGCCAGGGGTAATAACTGCGGTTTCAGAGATTTAAGGGCCAAGTCCAGTGGATCAGCCTCCGTCTCATTTACCACCTTTCTCAAATCCATGCCTTTTGTGTTGGAAATCGCAGATTTCTGAGCCTCTTTTGAAGTTCCACGAGGGCCGAGTTCATCAGTAGCCTTTAAGTTGGGTCTGTTTCCAGATGAAACAGGATCTTCCACATTCTGTCTTTTTTCCGCTTCCCTACTCATACCAGCAGCCTTGCTTGGTTCAGCGTTTGTCGTGGGAAGATCCCTAACAATATTCGTGGAGCTAACTGTAACATCTCTCTCTGAGAGAACTGGCGCTAAAAGCTTTGAAGCATCAATACTAGAAGTACTCTTCTTCAGAGAAGAGACCTGTGAGATGCTTGTGATAGGTGGAAGAGTTTTATTGATGTCAGGTTGATGAGACTTATGCAGACTAGGTAAATTCTTCAATGATTCCTTTTCTGTCTCATCCACTGTTAGATCCATCATATTATCTTGTACTTTGCCAACAACATCAACAGGTTTGAGAATCTGGTACTCGTTTGCCTTGGGAACAAGGCGTGAGATTTGTTCTGCTAATTGCTCGATGTCAACATCATCTGAATTAAGAAGAGTCAGAGCATTATGACTTGTATCACCTGGGAAAAAATAGTTCTAAGATGCCATAAACTATTAACAAGAAGGAAACCACTTACCAGAGGCTAGAACATGTCTGATAGCTTGGACTGCCGAAGAACAAGCGTCACTGTTTGATCCTTGTAAGATGTCTAGCAAAGCCACTAATGCTCGTTTCCAATACGCAACAACAACCTTAAGTTGTGACCTTCCCCAATCAATGAGATCAGGAAGCCATTTAAGACCAGACACATCTTTCAAAGTTCCTCTAGTATGAAAGGACTCTTCACGGCTTACTCTAAGTTTTCCCAGAACGACAGGAAGAATCTCAAGCAAACGTACACATGTCATCTGCCAAATTAGATAAATGGAACCTTAGCGAAAAACCAGACTCGACTCATATGAAGTACATCCAAGATGACAACCGAAGAGGACAGTAGAATGAAGAACAAGAAATAAATGTAAAACCAAGGTTCACTACGAGAACTTTCAAATAATACCTGGCAAAGACTTTGATTGATGAAAGCCTTTCCCTCAACTAGGCACTTCCTTATCACGCCCCATGCAACTTCTGCCAGAAAGTACTGAAACTTAAGCAATTCCGGGGTAGCACTCAAGGGATTTCTGCCCTCACTCACAGGCAAAACATTAAAGTTAGGTTGCCTCAGAAACCCCCCTGCGGAAATCTTCACCACGTCAGTAATGGCCACCTCCTCTTCCTTAAGCAACTTGAACAATAAAAAGAAAAAGTGGTGCAGGATCTGAAAGCTTTGAAGGACAGAGCTCAAATTGACCTGCCAAAATCAGAGGAAAAAAAAAAGAAATAAGCAATTTAATAACAGATGCAAGTCAGAGATAAATCTCCCAGAAGAAAAATGTGGACACTAAGAACGTCTGAACCTCATAGTAGTTTGTGAGCCTAGACTTTCAGTTTGTATAGTGGAAAAGAGTGGGACGATTTGTAGCCTTAGCAAAAACTAACATGAAGAATAACAATACATATTCTTACATATTGAGCAGAAAAATGCAGATTACTAATGAACTTGCATTCCGTGAGACAAACTTCAAAATGGATAGTTAAAGGACTTATTGTATGCATATCCTTCTATATGTTGAATGAAAATTAGCTGCTGCCTACCTGCTGTAAAACATGTCTAACGCCGGAAGAAACAAATAGGAGGTGAGAAGTTTGAGAGCAGAGAAACTTCAACCCACAAGACAGACCTCTGGTATTTGAAACATGCTCCAGCATAGACTTTCCAAACTGCCTTACATTCTGTTAACAAAAACAACACTAGCAACATTGGTCAACTTTACACAATTAAACCAGAACGGAAAGTAATAAATATCAAGTAATCATCTCTTATGATGAAACACAGCAATCATTACGGGCGTTACGTACGTCATCTGGGTCTGAAAGAGAAAGGATGAACGTTTCTCCCATCCCTGGTACCCAGGTCCACTGTTTTCGACATTCTTCACCCATTTGGACCAGATAACAAGTGGTCAATCTACAAAATAAAAACCCAAAAGCCTCACCATTATAAAGCGTAATAGAAAACTTAGCATCTTTCTTACCAGGCTACCACAACAGTTAAATGGAAAAGTACCTCTTCAATGTTCGTATCAATGTAAGACACATCTTTGATACTGTCACTGAGTTTTTGGACTCCTTTCCTGGCCCCCCGTCATCAGATCCTGTTGCTACCTTCCATCCAAGCGTGCCTTTGATTTCAACAGCAGAAGATGAAAGCCAAGTTTCGATATCAACTGTCATTTCATCATTCTTTTCAGATTCCACCAAACAAAAACGTGATCGAGCCCAAAATACTGCTTGGGATAGCGATACTGGGAGGTTTAGAAGATTTGTATTTGTAAGAGTAGTAATCCACAGCATCGGAATGCACATCCACTCTTTGCATTCCCCAAGAGTAATTTTGCTCTGCTGGGTAAAGTCACTCCAGGAACGATCACTTACGTCTTCAGCAATATGGGAAAAGGGGAGATTACTGTCATCATCGTCAGATTGCATCTCATCGCCCATATATTTACCAGTCTTATTACGTAGCAGCGAAGCTAGTAAGGCTGTTGCATCAGATACCAGGATAGCTTGGACAAGATCAATAGCAGGTTGTCGCAATGAAATATGAAGTGAAGAATCTTTATACGACGACACAAGAGATGGGCCCCTGTCAAATCAGTTGACTTCCATGAATTGTCTATAAGAAAACTTAGTGTCCTTATCTAACATCCAACAAATATATGCCAAAACATACAAAACGAACGGGAAGATACACTAAACACAGCATTCAAAACATGACAGTTATCTATCTTGACATGCTGCAAGCAGATCCCAGTGAACTTTATGTATTATCCACATAGGACTGTCAATAAATAACTAGCATCCATATAAAGCTAACATGCAAGTTGCGGGGAGAAAGAAACGATAACAACTACAAAAAATTATATATGAAACTAGAACCGTCTTACTTAATATCATTCATGTCATGTAAAAAGTATTTGATAGAAATCCAAAACCAAGGATGAGAGAAAAGCCAATTCCTCAAGTAAGTAACAGACGCAACAAACAGCTGCAAACAAAAGATAGGCCCGGTTGTACTAACCACATGTGTGCACACTCAAAGGGAGGGCAAGGTGGGTTCATCTTGTATCCTCTGAGTACAATAAGAAGAGCAATCTGAAGATAAATTTAAAAATCTAAGTGAAGATACGAAAATATAGGAGCTTCATTCCAAGATAAAAAATGCTACAGATGTGTCTTAGTGAGAAAGAACTAGAACTACCTTGTGGCCAATTCTTCTTGCTAAAAGGCTGAAGTTACTGCTAACTGGGACCTGATGAAGGAGAAAGTAGAGAAAGTGTCTACGTTGCTTTTCATGCTCACCATCTCGCAAAGCCTCAAGGGACTGGACAAACAGGATATGCATAATATGGCAAGGTAAGTAAAATGAAATCATGTCAATCTCATTAGAGAAATCATATATGTAAGAGAAACTAATGCAAGCTTGCCTGTAATAATGGCTGGAAAAGATCAAAAATGGCTTTGTGGATCTTCTCAGCTTTTGTATGGAAACACTGACCCAACAATGTGTTACGCATCACACTTGGGGACAAGGTAGACCTAAACCAGAGCTTACAACCTTTCATCATATGGGAATGTGTCAACTAACAGAATATACAGCTTCAAGATAAACTGGCTACTTTACAAAACAACAATAGTTACCATACCAAGTGTCTTAAATAGCTCTTTTAGACAATTAACAGCCAGCGAAAATTCAGGTGAATCACCACTTATGTGATTCAACACTGTATCGACAAAAATGGGATAAGGCTCTAATATCCCCTCTTCAAAAGCAGGGCCTTCTAAGAACTCAAGCCTTTAAGAAGCAGGAAATATTCAGGAATCAGCAAATCAAGAAAAATATTGAAAAACAGTAAACGAACAAAAACTGTAAGGGGAGATTTAGTCACTAACTCTTACAATGATGTCATCCCAAGCCATATAGATGAGCGGTCTAGATAAATCCTCGGCCTCGGTTCCTGAGACGCAGAAGGCAGTCCCTCCATCTCCAGAATTCCAATGAATTTCTTGAGCAATGGTTGGAGGCGCTCTAACTGGGTTGCTGACCTGCCATGATAGCAGATAATATCATACATGGTAGCTATCAAAATTTCACAAGCACTAAAGACAGTACAGAGCTAGCTATGAATTTACTTAGTTGCTGAATTAAAAAAGGGAAAATACCTCAACTTTCCCATGGCCCTTGCCAAGCGATAACCAATTATACGCACCCGTCTATTGAGAAAAAGGAGTGCATACACACCCTAAAACGGATAAAATATGAGAAAACACCAAGTCAGATAGATTTAGTTTAGTAAGAAGCACAAGAAGCTCTCCTCTGGGTATTAACAGACCGGAAATTCTTGATTCTCAGCAAACGCAAGCTCGTGTATGTTGTCGATTGACTCAATAAATTTCTCAAACTCAGCGCATAAGGACATATCATCAAAGAAGAACGGAAACATCAAAACCTGACACCAAAACAAAGGCTCACAGTTACTAGTTACTAGATGCCAATCCCAGGGTGCAAAGAAAACAGAAAAATACAAATCATCAGAGTCAGTCGGTAACGCAAATGATTCATCAATGAAAATAACAATCCAGTAATAATTCAAGTGAAACAAAAAGGAAATGTTAAGAAATCGCAGACCACATATATACTACAAGTACCTCGTACATAACACTAACAACTTCCGCATGATGATGATCTGGATCATAAGTTCCATTTTCAACTTTGAAATTGATCTCTTGCAAGTGCCTCGTGACCCTTTCCTCATCAAGTTTCCGCAACACATCAAGTAATGGACCAACAGAAGAGCACTCATACTCTTTTTCATACATCTCTTGAGTCTGATGGTGCTGACAAATGCATTGGGCACAAAGCCGCATTTCTTCAGAGATTCTCTTCCACAAGACCTTGAGAGGTGAATCAACTCTATCATCTTTGAAGTAATTGTAGAATGTCTCTAGAAGAGGTCCCATTACATCCCCATGCCCACACCATATATGAGTATCCTTGGGCAAAGATATCAATAAAGTGAATGCATCCGTAAACCTAAAGGAAGATATAAAACAAAACAGTCAGCTAGAGCTGAAATCCGAGCAATGTAATAGCTAAATTTTGTCTGATTTTCGGATTTCAATCGATTTAACAGTGAACTATTCAGAGCAAACAGAGATATAGAAGGAACCATTGTTCTTTGCGCTGATTAAGACGCCGAACTGAGGAAGGATCAGAATCGTCATTCTCCTCTTCGTCTTCCTCGATTCTCCTCCACCGGCTCAAGAGCTCTCCACTTGGGGAGACTTTACTCAACATTTTACTCTCAATATCAACAAACAGAAGGCGTAGTCAAAAGTTCCGGCGACGGGAATTAGGGTTTCCAAATTACAGAGGAAGGAATCGAGGAGAACCAATTTGAAATGGCTTAATTCGAATTTCTGGTCTCGTTCCCCAAATTCTTCGATTTTGAGAGGAAAACCAATTTTCAAAGCCCTTACTGTTTGTTAGTGGGGAAAAAAAGCGAGCGTAGTAAAACAATGACACGACATCGTTTTATATGGAAAAATAAAACAATATTGGGCCCTATTGGGCTTTCTATGAAGGAAAAATTCAAAACAATCCTATATTATTGTAAAAAAGATCTCCTCTTTTCTCTTGCTCTTTCTCTTCCTCGCGTTCTGCTGCAACTCCTCCTCTTTCGATTTCAGGTGATTGATTTGATTAGGGTTTTGAGCTTTAGCTGCTTTAGCTCAATTCATGCTTCTGAATTTCTGATGTTTTTCTCTATATGGGAATCGTGTAGAGTATGCTTTGTAGCTATGAATTCTTTGTTGATTATTAGGTATACACTATAGATCTACTATGTCTCCTTTGCTAATTATGTGGGTTATGTAATGGCTCTTTATTTGTTCGATTGATAAGCTTGATTCGTGTTCAAGTCCTAGTTCTAGGATCTCTTGTCGATACACAGGGGAAAAGAAAGAAAGGCTTAGAGATTTTGGAACCTTGTCAATGAATTTTGATTATATGTTTACTGATGATATTTGCTCTCCGTTTGCTAAGTGGGTAGGTTGTTTTTGCTTATCAATGTTTCAAAGAAGTCACCAATTCTCAAGCTTTCAGAATTTGAAATTTCATTCTTGGCTTCCAATTTGTAAAAATATAAAATTTATGTTTTGTGGACCTGTGTTGCAACTGATCAATGTGTGGCAAAGTCTTTGTCTGTTAATGAGCCCCGTCAATGAAAAAGCTTCAGACTTGAATTTCTAGAAATCTCCATTCTTGGATTCCAGTATGTAAACCTAAATTTATGTTTTTGTGGTATTGTGTTCTGACTAGCAGCCAAGAGATGTCGGCATACGACAATGTTATTGGTGGGAAGCTAAAGCTAAAAGGGAAGGCTTTGGATGTGAAAGCAGGTGGAGTAAAGAAGAAGAAGAAACATAAGAGACAGGAAGAACAAGCCCTTAAATTTACTGAACATGAACTCATAGAAGGTAAGAAACAACAGCTTTCTTCTCATAACCTTGACTAATCTGTATATTAACATTCATCGACAAAGGAAAGTCAATATATTGTTGTTTGGGTTTGGTTATAGGAGAAAGCACAGAAGCATTGGGTAAATTGATTGAAGGAGAAGAAGAAGGTGAAGAACTTGGCAGGAGTGATAAGGCGAGCGAGGATGCGAAGTTGCAGCAGCAGCACGATGATGATGATCTCTTAACGCCAGCAGAAAGGCGATACATAGAGCAGAAACAGAGATTGGATGTGCAGAAGCTAGCTAAGGAAGCGAACAAATCTCACCGTAACAGGATTGAGGATTTCAATCAGTATCTGGCTAACATGAGTGAGCACTACGATATCCCTAAAGTCGGACCTGGTTAATATTATACCTTCTTGGCTTTGTTTTACTCTGCTTATCTATTTGGCATTGTTAAACAACTACTTTGGATGTCGGTTATGCGTAGTCCCTATAACTTTTCAATTATGTGATCGCCAATCTGTAATGTCAAAAACACATTTTCTTGGAATATTTCTTCTGCATTTCTCAATTTCCTTAATAAAAAAGTTTGTGAGGATAATTAACCCTTTTGAACCATAATTACAAATTAGCACCAAAGCTCTTATATATACCCAATGAAGATCTTGAGTACTCATTTTTTCATCATATACTTGACAAATTGGCTATTATTAGTTAAGGCAATAATAATATCATAGGCCAAATGAAATGATGATCCCTCCTGGGTATCTCTTATTGAGTTTGAGTACAAAAATCTTTATTGTTTTTGTCTGTACACCAAACAAATGAAACCATGAAGAGAGAAAGAGAGATCAAATATTTTTACAGAGGCAACACAACAACCACTTATTTCTTTTTCTGGGCTCAAAACCTGGATTCATGGACGCAGCATTATACCATTGTGATGATGCTCGAATACTTACTGGAAACTGCTTGCTTATCTTTCAAACTTCTGAAACCTGTGTGATGAAAATAAACTAAACTTTAAGTTTAGATCTCGATTTCTTTTCTAAACGAAATCTAACCGACAAAACAGCTTCATCGGTAGAAGATTTGCTTACACTAAGAGGTAGAAAAGATCTCCAAGCGATGTTTGATGAGAGTGTAAGTAATCTTCTGACCATCCATCCACTCCAGCTACTCTCTAAACAGCCTGTGTTATCGATCACAAATATATAAAATTTTCAAAAACCAAAAGAAGCACGCCAAAAAAGTTGATAACTCAAGATCAATACCTGATTGGCCAAGTTGTAGAAATGAATAACCATCCACACGGATTTGTAGAAAGGGCAGAATTTATCATAGCTGTCACATTCATTCAGAAGTAAACAGTTATTTTACTTTAAGAAGTGATATTACCCATGGCCTCAGGAGGAAAGGCAACATGGTGTGTCACCAGAGTATTCTCAAAGACAGTCATACATTTCAAAATTTTACTTTGCAATAGTCTTCAAAGGACTCTGTGATATTAACAGAATAAATATCCAGCAATAGTGAGAGAAGCTAGAATCTCTAACTTGTAGTGGCTATAAATTCCAATCTAAATCTCTAAAATTCCAACTGAAACTGAATTCCATCAAAGTTATTTCCCAATATTCCTGGTCCAAGCTCCACTGGTAGTGGCTATAGATTGAAGCAGAAATATTTATAAATAGCTACAAAGTACAAACCAAACCATTTCAAGAAAAAAGCCAACACAAACCTTGTGTGTTCCAAACCTACATTGTGATACACTCATGTAATTCCAATCTAATTTCGGAAAAATTGATTCCATCGGAGAAAAGAAATGTCAAAACAGCATAAAGAAGCTCAAATAGAATGTAGACTTCGATCAAAAAGAAACATCGAAAGAGAGATAGAGATCGTAAGTTCGTAACCAGTGAACGAAGCAGAAGAAGAGATCTAAGATTTACAGAGGCGGGTAAATTAACGTATCCACATTCTACTCTCGTACATTCAATTTGTTTTTTTAAAGTCCCACATCGCTAACATAAGAAACACTCGCTCTACCACGATAGTTATAAAAGACACTTGATATCCAACTTCCAAATCATACCTTTCTCGGCCTTTTGGCTAAGATCAAGTGTAGTATCTGTTCTTATCAGTTTAATATCTGATATGTGGGCCATCGGCCCACACGATATTAACTCTATTTTTTAAGGGAGAAAGCTCACCAAGATAGCTTGCTATCTGGGTTTTCGTGAGTCGCCCATGCGTTGCACTACTGCACGGGCCTGGCTCATCCCGCCAATTTCAGTAAAAAAATTCATAACTGTCCAATTAAATTATTATGGAAATAAGTTGTTTTGTACTCGTTATCGACTTCGATTTTAGCCTAAACCAAACTGGCCCAATGTTGTTTCTTATTAACCCAGACAAAATTGATTCTCAACCAAAGTCAAAATAACCAAATTGGAACCGGACCGAAACTCGTCCCTGTTTCATCTGAAAGAGAAATGTCGGAACAAACAAAATGTTCCCGGTAAATTTGTGAGAGAAGAGATGGGGGAAATGGGGAAGGCGATAGGATTGCTGCTAAGCGGGACGCTTGTGTATCACCATTGCGCTAATCGCAACGCGACTCTGCTCTCCCTTCTCTCCGACGTTCTCATCGTTCTCTTATCTTCACTCGCCATTCTCGGCCTTCTTTTTCGTCAACTCAATGTCTCGTAAGTTTCTCAAATTTCCTCCTAAAATTTGCCGATCTATTGTGACAAATTGTGAAATTTATTGTTTGGCTGTTTGATCTGTTTAAAATTCAAACTGAGTGAGCTTTTGTTGTGTTTAGTTTCATATAATCGTGTGAATTGTTGTTGTGATGCTACTTGCTAGTTTCCACGTGTTCACGAGGCATGAAAAGGTTTTATTTTGTTTGATTTGCTTTTGGTTTCAACATAAGGAACCTCAAGCTCTTGTTTCTGTGAATATTATCCCACTTTTGATCGGGAAGTGCTGTGTTTTGACTCTCTCTTTCTCATCATTCTATTACTTTCATTCTCTTCTGTAATCAACCATAAAAGTGTTATTGACGTGATGTTATACTGTTTGAAAGATCTCTTGCATTCTTATAGGTCACATTATTTATAAAGCTCAATCTTTTGTTTCTTTGAATGTAACAGATTTTGATCTTCATAACCATGAGCTTTGGGGAAACTGTTTTGTTTTTTTACTGTGTATTTCTCATAATTCTATCATTTTCATCAACCTTATAAATATAATTGATTTTGATGATTCACTGTTTGAAAGACTCTTGCAGTCTTTATAAGGCCACATGATTTAACAAAGTATTAAATTTTTTGGGAAGGGTACCTGTGGATCCATTAGAGTGGCAAATATCACAGGACACAGCCTGTAACATTGTTGCGCGCTTAGCTAATACTGTTGGAGCAGCTGAATCCGTTCTGCGGGTTGCAGCAACAGGACATGACAAGAGGCTCTTTGTTAAGGCAAGTGCATTATGGTTTCTTTCCTTTTTTGGATTAGAAGAGCTAGTTTTCTTCGATCACCGGGGTGCCTGCATGAATGGGAAAAGTATATAACACCAATGCAACGCAGTTCTCTGATTTTATACTTGGTGGCAGAATTCTAAACTGAAATTTTGTTATCTTTGCCTGTTTCTGTCTCCCAGGTTGTGATATGTCTTTACTTCTTGGCAGCTCTAGGACGAATCATATCGGGTGTGACCATTGCCTATGCAGGTAAAAGCATAATGGTTCACTCTTAACCATAATGTGGAATGATGCTTTCGATATTTATTTAGGATACTTTTCTTCTTCTTCTTCCTGGTATAAAATGTATATCAACGAATCTGCAGATACACTGTTTCTGACTCTGTTAATTCTTCTGTCCACAACAGGACTATGTTTGTTCTGCCTCTCCATGCTTTTTCAGAGCTCAACTGGAAACTCTGTATTGAACCGCAGAAACGGAGAGATTTTGGATTGAGAAACAGTTTCAGAGTTCTGATACACAATGTCCTAAACGTTATATTCTTTGTCCTTCTCCCACTTTTACATGTTCATCATAGCTTTTGGATAGTTGTAATAATGCTTGCAGTTCCTAAATGTAGAAATATTAATCGTAGTTAAATCTGATTTAATTATCAATCTTAACTAAGAGGATGATTACAAAATTTTAGTGAAAGTTTTATTATGTTCACTAGATTCTCCAAAGTGTAAGAAATGAGTGGATTATTGACTAGCAAATTAAATACTTGAACAGCAGAACCTAAAACCGGAGTGTACCGATATCTAAAAGAACCGAACCGAGTTCGGTATAGTCAGCCGTAAATTCGAGTGTTCCTCCTAAATCTTCTAACCCAGCCAAAACCCTTTTGCCGTTTCTTGCTTTCATTAACCTTGCCGGCGGTCTTCCCTTTCCAAGTCGCAAACTTTGTCCTCGATCTCAACTGGGTTTCCCAGAAAAGTTCTCACTTTCCCGAGAACACGCGTTTCATGGTTAGGATCTTAGCGTCACGAGTAAGATGCTATGGAGATGCAATTGGGTGAAGCAGAGGAAGAAAATCCTTAACACACTCAGTTTCTCTTCAGTTCACGGTCAATATTCTCTGGAAAATACTGCTGGGCCTCGTAGTATTGCTTCGAAGCCACTCACGCACGATAATGTGTATTCGTGTTTACGAGAATCTCCATCTGATCTCAAAACTTTGAATTTCTTCTTCTGGTGCGCGAGGCAGAACAATTACTTCCACGATGATCGAGCATTTGATCACATGGTTGGTGTTGTTGAGAAGCTAACTCGTGAATACTATAGCATTGATCGAATCATAGAGGAGTTGAAAGTATATGGTTGTGAGATTAAGCCTCGGGTTTTTTTGTTATTGCTGGAAATCTTTTGGCGTGGCCATATCTATGATAAGGCTATTCAGGTTTACACTGGCATGAGTAGTTTTGGATATGTGCCCAACACTCGTGCCATGAATATGATGATGGATGTCAATTTCAAAGTCAATCTTGTTAATGGAGCTCTGGAAATTTTTGAAGGAATCCGTTTTCGAAATTTCTTTAGTTTTGATATTGCATTGAGTCATTTTTGCAGTAGAGGGGATTTGGTTTGTGTGAAGATAGTTTTGAAGAGAATGATTGGAGAAGGTTTTTATCCTAACACTGAGAGATTTGGGCAGATTCTTAGGCTGTGCTGTAGAACAGGCTGCGTCGCTGAAGCGTTTCAAGTAGTTGGATTGATGATATGTAGTGGAATCTCTGTGTCTGTTAATGTCTGGAGTATGTTGGTTAGTGGTTTTTTTCGTTCAGGAGAACCGCAAAAGGCGGTTGATCTGTTCAATAAGATGATTCAGATCAGTTGCTTTCCTAATCTTGTGACGTATACTAGTTTGATCAAAGGGTTTGTGGATTTAGGAATGGTTGAAGAAGCGTTTACCGTGCTAAGTAAAGTGCAATCTGAAGGTTTAGCTCCAGATATTGTTCTTTGCAATTTGATGATACACACATTCACAAGACTCGGAAGATTCGAAGAAGCTCGCAACGTTTTCACCAGTTTGAAAAAAAGGAAACTTGTGCCGGATCAGTATACTTTTGTTTCAATACTGTCTAGTCTATGTTTGTCAGGGGAGTTCGATCTCGTTCCTAGGATCACCCATGGTATAGGAACAGATTTTGATCTGGTTACTGGAAACTTGCTCTCAAACTGTTTCAGCAAGATTGGTTACTATTCGTACGCGTTGAAAGTACTCGGCATCATGTCTAACAAAGATTTAGCTTTGGATTGTTATACATATACTGTGTATCTTACTGCGCTTTGTCGAGGAGGAGCACCTCGCGCTGCCATTAAGATGTATGAAATAATAACCAGGGAGAACAAACATCTTGGTGCTCATTTTCATTCTGCAATAATCGACAGTCTTATAGAGCTTGGTAGATACAATACCGCGATTCATTTGTTTAAACGATGCATCTTGGAGAAGTATCCTTTAGATGTAGTGTCATTTACAGTAGCTATTAAGGGACTTATGCGCGCGAAAAGGATCGATGAAGCTTGTTCTCTGTGTTCCGACATGAAAGAAAATGGGATTTTTCCGAATCGAAGAACTTATCGGACTATTATATCTGGATTGTGCAAGGAGAAGGAGACTGAGAAAGTGAAAAAGATTTTGAGGGAATGCATCGAGGAAGGAGTTGAGTTGGATCCTAATACTAAGTTTAAAGTGTTTAGTCTCTTGTCTCGATACCGGGGAGACTTTTCTGAATTTAGATCGGTTTTTGAGAAATGGAAATCGGAATTTACAGAGAACATGGATGTTTCTGATTCCGACGATGAATTATTTGTTTCTGTTGGTTGAGTTTGAGGTAAATGTATTATGTGAAATTGGCGCTGTAATTCTGTTATAGACTGTATTATAGAAATGAAAAATCTAATTTCAAATCTTTTTTTCTGATAGTGATGTTTTGTTTTCGCAGTAGATGTACTAGTGAAATTTTCTCAGATTTTGAAAATGTCCTAGTGAGAGATGAGAGGGGGAAAATGCCATTAGTGGTTTTGAGCAAACCGCTGCTTAGTAGCTTCATCGTCCCATTCTGAGTAATTCAATATTTTGGAGCTCCGTTGTGGAATCCAAATTCAAGTCACAATGAAACTAAACTCATAACTCATATATATGGACTCAAATATGCTATCCAAAAGGCCAAATCATGGATTTTGACATTTCTTTTTGCTTCATCAAAAATTTGCGCACTAGCTTATCATATATCCATGCTTCATTGCATCTGCTCTCTATAAACCCCGTCTCCAAAGTCCAATCCAATTCTTCCTCTATGAGACGTGAGTTCCCTAACAACATCCCGAATACTTGCTCACCATAAAGATAGCTTGATCCAATATTCTTGCCTTCTTGGAACAAAATTTATTCAAAAGCAACCTCAAGGTCAACCAGATTTTGCGGGGGCTTCTTGATGTAGATTCCATCCTCACATAAGCAGCCATAAACGTAGTTCAACCTTTGATCACAGGATATCTGGAAAGTCCCATTTCGACAAGCACCAGAGAGATTAAGAGTTGGAACAAAACGCTAGACAAGAGACTGTAATGGAACAAATTGTGCTATTTCTTGGCTGAGTTTGAGGAAAATACATCATGTACAAGGCGTTGTAATACTTTAATCGGCAGTATCTTTTGTTTCTTTTCGTTGTATAGAAATCAAACTCTATAGTAGTTGCCTCATTTCCAATTCCATTAACATAAACTCTTTGTTAAATAAGTGAAAGAGCAAGGAAACAGAGATATATACAACAACTGTGAAAAAGAGAAACAGAGGGACATGCTACAAGCCTACAACAACTACTCTTATTCGATATTCCACATTTCGGGATCAGGTATAGAAATATGGTCGTCTATTTCACGTCTTTGCACTTGCTTTTGGTCGTCCGATATTTGGCAGCTCGTAATCTTGACAATCTACAGATCCTGAAGAGCCTGCAAACTTCAATCTTTCTCTTATCAGAAACCCAACAAAATCATAAGAACTTGAAGATTCATGGATATATAAATGTGATTCCATCAAGGTCATAACTATAGTTTTGGTTAAAAAAAACTCACCCAAACAAGTAGTGTCGATTTACGCTTCCTCGTCCTCGGAGTGAGACTCAGTATTTGAAGCTGCCTCGGTCTTGGTCTCCATCAATTGAGGTTGTACACCTAAAAACCCAATGAACAAAACAATATTGTCAAATCAATGAATGACCGACAAAAATCAGATTCTCATACACCACAACTATTATTAAGAACCTGTACCACTCTGCCTAGATTAAAGATTTCTCAAATGTTAAATCACATATCTATGATCTCCCATTCAGAACCTGTAACAACATCGAGCAATGACTAACTTTAGGATTGACATAGCATTATCAACATTATCTAAATCTGCCACTAATTCAATCATCTGAACGCTCAAATTCGACAAAAAAAAATTGAACAAATTCAAATGTGATCAACATATTGAAGATTCCAATCCAAGCTTTATAGAGAAAGTTAGAACATTTTCCAACCCCAATCGCAAAACTGGATTATCAACAACCACTAAAACAATTATCCATCAAATCGCATTTCCATCAAACCTTTAAGGAAATAATCGGAGGAAGGCCATCCATGAGAAGAATTGGTAGATAAAGATTCTTCGTGGGTTAACGGATTCGCGAGTTTCACAACGAGCTGAGCGATTCCATGAGACTGAGATCCAGATCCAGGAGGCGGGACCCAATAAGACGCACCAGGAACAAAAGGGAGCCAATCAGGTTGAGCTCGGCGCACAAATATCCGGTGAACGGCGTCCTCTAGCTTCTGTATTAAAGGATCCGACGGCGATTGCGAAGCCGCGGCTGTATCAATCTCGTACAGATCTACCCGACGATCGGAAGATTGAGATCGGAATGAAACAAGCTGTGACGAAGGGGGAAGAGAGGATGACCCGGTGGCGAAACGGCCTTTAGATAGAGAAAGTGAACGAGATAGAGATCGAGCCATCATCATCTAGAGAAACAGCGACGAGATCGGTTTCTGTTTCAACGCTGTAATTTTATGTTTTGGATAATGCTGACGAGACAGAGCTATTTTTTCTCTCCCTTTTTATCGTAATATTTTGTTTGCTTATTTTGTTATTACTACCTACAAATAAATACTTATTTTTTATTTTACTTTTTCAGCCGACTTAGCTAAATTAGCTGTCTTTTTTAGTACTATGGATAAACCACGGATTATTAGGAAGTTTACCCATGGTTTAGACTTTTATATCCTAGGACAATTTTTTTTTTCTTTTTTTTTTTTTTTTTTTTTATCATCTGAAATTTTATTATTGATCTTGAAGTGGAATACAAAGCCTAAAAAAGAGAAACTAAAGCCGGCGGACAACATGAAAGCCCCGGAGATAAAGCCGGCGGAAGACGAGATTTCCCCGGAAGCTAAGCCTTAACGAAGGGAAACTAAACATAATAGTAGAACAAAGCAAAAGATTTCAAGCCACAAATGCAAGAGGCCGAAATCAAAAACTAAGAAAGAAGCAGAAGGCATTAACCTTAAAAGAAACAATAGACCCAAGAAAACAAGAAACCCAAAACTTATGAAGCACCTGCGATTGAAACTTACCAAGGATGTCCGCGGCCAACCCGAATATAACATCTACCTCCTCCTATCACGATGAGAGCTGATCTCTCGAAAGCAAGAACCAAGACTTCATAACTCTGCAAGCGAGACAAAAGAGTTAAGGGAACCTCGAGCACACTTCCGAATACGGCTGCTGACGACTGCTGTGTCCACTAGCGTCTAACTAGAAACCTTCAAAAGGCGATCCTATCACAATAGAACATGAAAGAAAGGACAAGGAGAAAGGCCCAACCACTCGAAAACCGAGACAGCTAACAACCACAACGAACAACATCAGGGAGAAGAATGAACTGAAAATTTTGAGGTCTATCGATCCAACCAAACAAAACTGAACTTCTTCTTAGCAAGGAAACAAACCCAATGTGATTCAAATGTTGAGACGAGGAGACCGGGAACGGAAAGAAGAGCAAAGGCTGAACTGAACCCGATTAAAGCCCAAACATACTCAATAGAAACGGTTTGGAGACAGTAAGCACAAGCGCGACAAAGCAGAAGGAACAGATTCAGTAAAACAATGGCATAATTCTCAGAGCAGCACCGTAGATCCTACAGATCCGGAACCAAACGTTTCGCTAAAACCATAAACCCACATACAAAGCCGTTACAACCGTAACCGCAAGATCCAAGAACACACTCGCAACAAACAAGAAGAAACACCAAACGCAGGCCAAAAACAATGCAGACAAACTAAAAAAACAAAGACAAGGAGAAATCTGACCACACCAGAGAGAGATCTGACCATAACAAAAGAGAAACAGCCTTCAATTCACAAGATCGAAAACAAGGAAGTGAGAACACAAGCCAGAAACAAACCGGCGAGCCGACAGAGGCCACAAACAAAGCCAAACCAGCTAGCAAAAATCGGGACAAAAGTAACGAGCTGAGTCGATTGAGACATCTCCAAAGAAGATTTGTCGTCTCTTTCACCCCAACAACCATAATCCCGACACAAACTGGCCAGATTCCTCGACCAAACCCTAAACCTTGCTAAACGAGCAGAGACCGAAATAAGCAAGAGTAAGCCAAGAAAAAGCAAAACAAAGGGAAAAGAGACCAGCGCCGGTGCTATGGAAGCCACCCAACGCCGGTCTCAGACATCAACGGCGAGATTTGACTTTGATCAACGGAGGCGGCGATTAGGTTTTTTTTGGTCTGACCAGATGGATGAAACCATTTCAGAATGATTTAAGCAACTAGATTTGAACCCGCGGTACACCGCGGGGCTATAATTTTCTTTTAAAAAATCTAAATATAATTAGTTTTGTTTATTAATAGAGAGTATAATATAATATTTCGACCTATTTTATAAATGTACCATCCATATATCTATATTAATAGTTTTGAGTATATTAATTGTGTTTTAGGTTTAAATGGTATATCTATATATACACTTAAACGACATTTGGCTTTCTTCTTCTTCTTGTCTCAGTTTAGGAGAAAGATTTTTCTTGCGGTACACCGCGGAGCTATTATTTTTTTAAATAGATTTTTCTTCCTTAAACTTCTAAATCTAGATTTTACCCCGCGGTACACCGCGGGTCGATATTTTTATAACTAAAATATAATTTTGCACAATTTTAAGTTGTATTTGTTTTGTTAATATTGTTTATTTTGTTTAGTGTTTCTGATTTTATAATTAAATTTTGATTTATAATTCTAGGATTTCATCCATAGTATATTGTTTAATATTAATATTGATCTAAACCCGTTGCACCATATAACCCCGTCCCATAAAATTAAACATCATTTGTTATTTTTTTTTGAATAATATTTTTATCCACTACGGGTCGCAGGTTCATGCGGATAAGCCCATAGAGAATTGCGGGTTTGCGGGTCGACCCGCCAAAAGAGAAGCTATCTTTTGAAACCCTTTGTTTTGTTTAGAGGTTTAAGAAAATATCCCTAAAAAATAATTTTCATTATATGAAAAAAAAGAAGTAGAAGAAATTGTAGTATCAACATTCTCGATTTTTACATCACTCCTTACAATTAACTTTTTTTTTTGCAGATAAAAATCAGAAGTTAACTAAGTCGAGATTTTTAAAAAGATTGTGTAGAGATTTTTGGTAAATTGTTGAGAACATATTTGAATTCAAAATCTTTACTTAAATAGATAAGAAAAGATTTTGTAGAGACTTTTTCTAAATATATGAGAAATGAATTTTAATTAAAAATCTTTACTTAAATAAAACAAATCTAAATAATTAATGCTAATGGCATGTCATTGTAAATACTTTTCAACTTCAGGATTTATTTGCTAATTGTGATCCAAAAATGTATATATAGATATATCCTAGGACAATCTAATTTTAGAAAATGAATATGAATTTTATAATTTTTTTTTTAATGAATTTTATAATTGTAATACAAATTTGTATGAATGAAAATAATATCCAAAGTACGTAGAAGATATAAAATTGATTTATATTTCTTACCGTACTTCAAAAACTGTGAAAATGATTCCACAGCTAATACGTCTGATCACTATTTTAATATCTTCTAACATGATTCCGACAAAAAAAAAGAAATATCTTCTAACATGATCGAAATTCGAAAGTATCTATTTCAGCAAGAGGACTAATTGAATCACCGTCACATATCACAATCATGGTTTTTATAGTCTTAGATATATATAATAGATTAATAGGGAATATTTTCAAAAATATGATATAATATTTCCAGCCTTTACTGATAACTAGATATTTTGGATCAGCATATAGATAGTCTTATTTTTTTTTTTTTTTAATAACCACGGATCTTCCAAAGGCTTCCTAGGCCCAAAGACTAATCCTACGAGACTGGCAATTCCCCTATGTAAACCTGTCAGTGGCCGTGCCTCGAACCCTGGTGGCAGAAGTCACAATTGTGACCCCTTTACCACTAGGCCACAAGGCCCGGTTCATATAGATAGTCTTATATCTTTAACTACGACTACGATCGTCTTAGATATTTTGGGTCAGTGGTTTAGGTGAGGCTATAACTTTAATTAGAGCATACGAGACTAATCCCCATTTGTGGACAAAACCATTTTTATTGACTGTATGTCTATATGCTACGTATATTCTAGTCTTAACTCCAAGTCTAAACTTTAGAGTCATGTCTTATGAGTTCTCAAATCCTTAACGCAATAACACATTATCAAATCCCAAATTTATTAATCTGCTGAAATGTAAAATCTGAAATATCATTATATTCATGACAAAAAGAAGAACGATAATAAGTGATGTGGATTGGGTCGTTGTATACAGAGAAACCATGTGATGCAAAATGCAAACAAGAGAAACAAACATCGACGATGTGGAAATATACTCCCCCAAAACTCTGTCGTTTTGATTTCAATTGAAACAAACACACTAATTATTTTATGGGATTAAGTAAAACCCATAAGCTAAAAACCACAGCGTATTTATAGCTCATCCGTACCCTCCGGCTGATTCGTCACTCTCTTCACCTTTTCTTTCGCAGTTTCCACCGTATCACTCACCACTTCCGCCGCTGATCTAGCAGCTTCCTCCACTGTTGCTTTACTATTCTCAAAGCTCCTAGTCGCCGCCTCTTTCATATTTTCACCGGCTCCCATCGGCGCATCATTCTTTCCGGTAAAACTATACAAAAAAAAAAGAGTGAAAAAAAAAACAAAACAAAAATGGCTCGTTGAGTTCAAAACAAAATATTCTCCGATCAAACAAAGATAGTATATATGTACTTACTATGTGTTCGGTGGAAAGAAGTGGGACTGTCCACGATCCAAAGTCTCTCTAAGTTTGGCCCAATAATTTGTACCGGACCGTTTGATTTTAGTTAGCCAAACAGTCGTCGTTTTGTCTTCAGATGGCACCGCTCTCTCAGAATCGACATCAGCCGAAACATTCACTGATAACACGAAGACGAAGAAGAAGATCGAGAAGATGCATAGTAGGTTAAAAACTTGCCCAGGGTTTACTTTTTCAGCCATTCTGATGTTTTTCTCTGTTTAAAATTAATTTGGTAAAAGAAGCTCATGAAACTTTACATATACATAAATGTTTTGAGTTTGCCAAGCAAGTCGGCAAGAAAAGTCATGGTGTGGCCATAACACGTGTCTAACGCGTGAACCATGAAACGACAAAAATACCGACGTGAATTAGGTGGCTCATGGAGCACCGAGACACGTGCTCTCTCACTCTTTCAGATTACTTCTTGTTCTTCAATTAAGAACGGACCGGTTTATTGGTTGAGCAACCCGGGGTTCTTTTTACTCCGATCCGACCGTTTCGATCTCTTTTGGAAATTATACTACGACAAAACAAATGAAAAATGTCATTTAAATTTCAGTTTACCATTTTTATTAGTTTAAATCATGAATTTTAGATTTGCTGATTTAAATATTTAATTTTATGTTAATTTTCATTTAATTATGAATTTTCATTGACAAAGTCAATTGAGACACATTATTAAATAGCTAAACAGATCAATTGAGGATTTAAATCACCAAATCCACATAAATTGAAGATTTAAATCACCAAATTCAGATTTCATGTTTTAAACCAACGAAAATAATAAATTGATGATTTAAATGATATTTTTTTCCAAAAAAAACCGGTAAAAGACTGGTTCGGTACTCCAACGTACTAATAGTCATTATAACTAACTATTATATTTCCAAATTCGAAAATCAAGAGACTATCGTGTTTTATAATTATGTTAACATCTCATCAACAGACTTTATATACTTTGTTAAATTGTTTAAGCGATAGATAAATGCTCGAAAAAGTCACTTCGTTCTGACTAAAAAAATTGTTAAATGACGAGACTTATACACCTTTGTTTTGATTAGATAAAAATGAACTAAGAGCACGAAGACAAGTAACCACGTTTGTGTGTTTATTTATTAATAACTGTTTTTAATATTATGACTCAACATTATATTTTTTTTTTTTTCACTGAAAGGATTATGTATTGATATTTAAACTTATTGGGTTGTATATTGGGCTCTAGGCCTTAGTCGTTAAACCGACTCGTAGAAAAGCCGACTTGTATTGTTGCTTGGTCGGCAAGCTTATTTTAGGGTTTATCATTCTTGTATAAATACTTTGTAAAGCCGTTCATGAATAAAGACACACAATTCATACAATTCTACATGGTATCAGAGACTAGATCCTTCTAATCGATCTAAGCTTCTAAATTTTCTTTGCTTTAAAAGTTTTGCTTTTCAAAGCTCTTTTCTTCTTCTGTTTGTGTTTTTCTCTTGATTCGTGAGATGGGAGACGACGAGAAGAAGAAGATGGTTGTGGCCGGCGTGTCCGGAGAGAAAGTTGCCATGTCCCCCTACTCGATCTTCTCCTCTGATAATCCAGGGGTGATGATCACGTCGGTGCAGCTGAAGGGTGATAATTACAACGAGTGGGCTACAGAGATGTTGAATGCTCTGCAAGCCAAGAGGAAGGCGGGTTTCATTGACGGGTCCTTGAAGAAGCCGTCTGAAGGAGATGCTGACTTGGAGTCGTGGCTAAGCGTGAATTCAATGATTGTTGGGTGGTTGAGGACGTCGATCGAGCCGCGTGTGAGGTCGACAATGACTTTTATCACCGATGCTCACAAGTTGTGGGAAAATCTCAAGGAGCGTTTCTCTGTTGGAAACAAAGTTCGTGTGCATCAGTTGATGGCTAAGTTGGCCTCGTGTAGGCAAGAGGGACAAGCGGTGATTGATTACTATGGTCGTTTGGCGAAGATGTGGGAAGAGCTGCAAACTTACAAGCCACCACCAGCTTGTACTTGTGATGCGGCTGCAGCCTATGAGAAGGAGAGAGAAGATGAAAGAGTTCATCAATTTGTGATGGGTTTGGACGAGTCTCGATTTGGGCATGTGGTGACTGCGATCATTGAGGCGGATGTGCTGCCAGATCTTGGAAAAGTTTACAACAAAATCATTCGGGAGGAAGATAGGTTGAATTCTGCAAAAGTTCGTGAACAGCAGCAAGATGCAGTTGGGTTTTTGACTCGACGGGAGACCGGAGAGTCAAGTGCAGCTCGCCGTGATGGAGGTGGTTTCGGGATTCAGTCATCACAGACTGGAGGCGGAAACAGAACCCGTGATCGAGCTTGCTCCAATTGTGGAAGGTCCGGTCATGAGAAGAGCACGTGTTGGCAGATTGTGGGTTATCCCGAGTGGTTCTCTGAGAGAGGAGGCAGAGGTGGACGTGGTTCTTTCAGAGGAGGCGGTCGTGGTGGTTACTCCGGCGGGAGAGGAAGAGGACAAGTGAATGTTGCGTATGCAACAAGTCAGAATCCAAATGTTGCGACGTCTCCGGAGCTCACTCCAGAACAAATGTTGCAAGCGCTATCTCAAATGCTGAAAGAAAAATCAAATGGTGGTTCTGATAAGCTCATTGGTAAGATATATGGAGATGTGATCCTTGATACAGGGGCTTCACATCACATGACGGGAAATTTGTCGGTTCTTGTAAATCTCAAGAATTCTTCCCCTTGTACGATTGGTTTTGCAGATGGTAGTACGACGTTGTCAAGACAAACGGGCGTGTTCCGTTTATCAGATCGTATAAGCTTGCATGATGTTTTATATGTGCCTGATTTAAATTGTTCTTTGGTATCTGTTTCGAAGCTTTTGAAACAATCTAATTGCTTTGCAATTTTTACCGATACGGTATGTGTTTTGCAGGACCGGTTTTCGAGGACGCTGATTGGAGCCGGGAAAGAACGTGATGGGGTCTACTATTTTACGGATGTCAAGGCTGCCCGAGTAAACACAGTTCGGAAAATTGATGAAGTGTTGTGGCATCAGCGGTTGGGTCATCCCGCATTTTCAGTTTTGTCGTCTTTACCTTTGTTTTCTGGTGTTTCTATTTCGGCTAGTCCAAGTCATTGTGACACGTGTTTTCGGGCTAAACAAACTAGAGAGATATTTTATGATAGTATTAATAAAGCAAGCGAGTGTTTTTCTTTAATCCACGTTGATGTTTGGGGTCCATATCGTATCAAAGCCTCTAATGGAGCCGCGTATTTTTTGACCATCTTGGATGATTTTTCTCGTGCCGTTTGGACGTTTTTGTTACTTGAAAAATCAGAGGTGAAGAGTGTTCTTCAAAATTTTTGTGCATATTCTGAAAAACAATTTGGCAAGACGGTTAAGATGGTGAGAAGTGACAATGGAACAGAGTTTATGTGTTTGTCTATTTTTTTTCGTGAAAAAGGAATTGTGCATCAAACTACTTGTGTAGGAACACCACAACAAAATGGGAGAGTAGAGAGAAAACATAGGCATCTCTTGAACGTTGCTAGATCACTGTTATTTCAAGCAAGCATGCCTACAAAATTTTGGGGAGAAGCGGTTCTAACAGCAGCTCATGTAATTAACTTGACGCCAACAAAAATTCTTCAAGGAAAGAGTCCTAGTGAGGTGTTGTTTGGTAAACAACCTACGTATGATGACTTGCGGGTGTTTGGATCATTGTGTTATGCTCATAAACAAATACGGGACAAGGATAAGTTTGTGTCACGTAGTAGGAAGTGTGTTTTCGTGGGTTATCCTTTCGGAAAAAAAGGTTGGCAATTATATGACTTGGAAACAAATGAATTCTTTGTTTCTCGTGATGTAGTCTTCAAGGAATGTGAATTTCCTTTCTCTAAAGAAACGCCACCAGAGAACTCTAGACGTGTTGCTATTGAGTCGTGTGATGAAGACTGGTTTTTGGACGTGTCGGGAAATATTGAAAACAGGGGGAGTGTTGTTGAAAACGAAGGCAGTGGTACCAACGACAGGGAGAGTGCCCCAGAATCTCCTAATGGTACAAATTTAATTACTCATGGTGATGACGTTGTAGTACGAGATCAAGATGCTAGTCCGGGTGATCTTGATAACGCCATTTTGGAAGTAGGTCCTGTTTTAGTGCCTAGGCGAGTTGAGGAAGTTGTTGTAGATGAAAATTCTAGTAGTGTTGGTGTTACACAGCCTGAATCTGCTTTGGGTCAAGGCAAACGTACAAAAATGCCATCTGTTCGATTGCGAGATTATGTGTTGTATAATGCAGAAGCACAAAACAAGACCCATCACGTTCCCACCGATAACTCCGTCAGCAACTCCCTCGACATGGTCCAAGGTAATTCACTTTATCCTCTTGTTGATTATATATCCGACGCTTGTTTTTCGGTTCGCCACAAGGCTTTTCTTGCAGCCGTAAGTGCTGAAGTCGAACCAAAGAATTACAAAGAGGCCATTAGAGATAAGCGTTGGACGAATGCTATGGGTAAAGAAGTTGGTGCTCTTGAAGAAAACAAAACGTGGAGTATTGTGGATTTACCTCCGGGGAAAGTGGCTCTCGGAACAATGTGGGTTTATAAAATCAAGTATCACTCCGATGGAAGTATAGAACGGTATAAGGCAAGACTTGTGGTGCTTGGAAATCGTCAAGTTGAAGGTAAAGATTTCGATGAAACTTTTGCACCTGTTGCAAAAATGACTACGGTGAGAGGATTGTTGCGTATTGTGGCTGCTCATAATTGGGAAGTACACCAAATGGACGTCCACAACGCTTTTCTTCATGGTGATCTACATGAAGAAGTATACATGAAGCTTCCGCAAGGTTTTACTCATCCAGATCCGAATAAAGTTTGTCGATTGCATAAATCACTTTACGGACTACGCCAAGCACCGCGATGTTGGTTTGAAAAACTTACCACGGCACTCACTAAGGCCGGCTTTGTTCAGTCTTACTCTGACTACTCACTGTTTTCTTATTCTCGTGGACGTGTTGAGATTCGAGTTTTAATATATGTGGACGATCTTATTATTTGTGGAAACGATGGTGAGGCAATTCGCAAATTTAAAACATATCTTGGAGAATGTTTTTATATGAAGGATTTGGGTAAGCTCAAATACTTTCTTGGTATTGAAATTGCTCGTAATGAAGAAGGTTTTATGTTAACTCAAAGAAAGTACGCTTTGGATATTGTGAGTGAGACGGGTCTCCTTGGTTCGAAACCAGCTGCTACACCAATGGAACCAAATCATCATTTGCTTTCGGATACAAGTGATTTTCTTCCAGAACCCGCACAGTATAGAAGACTCGTGGGGCGTCTTATCTATCTCACCAACACTCGACCCGACCTCTCTTATTCTGTTCACGTTTTGTCGCAGTTCATGCAAAAGCCACGAGAGCGACATATGGAGGCTGCTCTACGTGTCGTGAAATTTCTTAAAGGAACGGCGGGACAAGGTATTCTACTAAGTTCTAGTTCAGATTTGCAACTCTCGATCTATTGCGATGCCGATTGGGGTACATGTCCATTGTCTCGTCGATCTTTGACGGCTTATGTTACGTTGCTTGGTGGATCTCCAATTTCTTGGAAGACTAAGAAACAAAAAGTGGTGTCACACTCTTCCGCTGAAGCCGAGTATCGTGCGATGTCTATTGCTACACGTGAGATTATATGGTTACGACAACTCTTCACTGATTTGGGGTTCCCGCCAAGTAAACCAGCTCGTTTGTTTTGTGATAGTAAGGCCGCCCTCTATATTGCTTCTAATCCTGTCTTCCATGAGCGAACAAAACATATTGAGAACGATTGTCACCGGGTACGTGATGCCATTAAAGATGGAGTGATTACTACTGCACACGTTGGTACTAAGGAGCAATTGGCGGATGTCTTGACTAAGGCGTTAGGGAAAGTTCAGTTCGTGTATCTTATGTCCAAGTTGGGCGTTCATGACCCTCACGCTCCAACTTGAGGGGGAGTATTGGGCTGTATATTGGGCTCTAGGCCTTAGTCGTTAAACCGACTCGTAGAAAAGCCGACTTGTATTGTTGCTTGGTCGGCAAGCTTATTTTAGGGTTTATCATTCTTGTATAAATACTTTGTAAAGCCGTTCATGAATAAAGACACACAATTCATACAATTCTACAAAACTCAAGAAGAACAATTACAAAAGAGACCCATAATAGTTACATGAGAGCTGCAACAGATAAATACCAAACACCAAAAAAGATGACAAAAGATTGGACAAGGAAAAAGAGCGACAGTTAGAGAAAGGTTCTCTCAATCTCAAAGAACTGACTAAGCCAAAAAGGAGGACCAGAAGCAACATAAGATTGTAGTCTGTCCTCTTTGACCACACTTTGAGCAATTAGAGAAGCTCTCCTGTTCGCGACGACCTTTTCCTCCATAACTTTCCATTCTCCAATCTTCTCCAAAAAATGAGTTAACTCTCAAACTTGATAAGCAAAGGAAGGCCAAGCAGAAGGCCTTGCAAACGTCGACAATAAGTCTCCTGGCTCAAAAACGAAGAGAACTCTGGTCATCTTGTGACTGTGCATACTTTCAATTGCCCACCTGACACAATTCAACATCACATCTTTTTTTTCACATAGATGACTAAAAGCCTTCCTGCTATGTAACAAAACCTCTCCAAGATCATTCCTTAACACCCAAGCACCCACGCATAATCTTTTTTTCCCAGACCAAGAAGCACCTATATTACATTTGACCCAGCCAAAAGGAGGGGGATCCCATCTATGCATACCTGGATCAATCAGCCTGTCTAAAACAGGAGCAACATTCTGAATTTGAGATTGAGCCAGAAACCATTCATGTGTGTCTTCTTGAATCTTTTCTATTGACTTTAATGGGCAGAAAGTGAGACCATCGAAAAACAACTTGTTTCTGTTCTTCCACAACCTCCAAAGAACCCATGGCCATGATCTTTTTACCTGTTCTGGTATCATCAAGTTCTGTTTAAGCTCAAAGAGAAACTGGATATTGGCAAAGATTGAGCCATTTTGAAATCCATTCTCAGGAGTAGGAATACCAGACAAAGCCCAAACTTGACGAGCTAAGGAACAAGTAAAAAGGACATGGTTTATTGACTCACCATCAGCACCACAAACCTGACAACGTGGGTCAATATCCATCCCTCTTCGAATAATCTGATCTGCAACAGGCAGGGCAGAGCAGAGAATTCTCCATATGAAAAGCTTTATTTTTGGGGCTGTTTTAGAGGACCATACCTTTTCTTTAAGACCATTGGTTGAGGGCAGTTGACTCGCTTCACGAATTAGATCAGGCTTATTAGATTGAAAGGCTAACCAATAACCTGATTTAACAGAGTATTCCCTTGTTTTTGAATGAAGCCAGACCCAAAAATCATCCAAACACACCACTGGTTTCCTCTTTACAATTAGCTCCACGTCAGCTGGGTAGAACAGATCCTCAAGTAAGTCTCTCTTCTAGTCTCTTTCATCAAAATCAATGAGATCCTTTACCATGAGATTCAGATTGACAGAGAAATGTCGTTGAAGAGGAAGTCTAGGAGCAAAATCATGAATCCAAGGATCCATCCAAACATTAAGGGATTTTCCATTCCCTATTTCTTTCCTGAGGCCTTTCACAACCAGTTCTCTACCATGTAAGATACTCCTCCAAGCATAAGAAGGCATGACCCCTATCTCAGCCTCAAGGAAATCTTCATCAACAAAATATCTATTCTTGAGGAATCTTGCAGCTAAACAGTAGGGGTTTTGAAGTATTCTCCATGCTTGCTTAGCCAACAGAGCCTGGTTAAAACTTTCGATGTCTCTAAAACCTAGCCCTCCTTGTTCTTTAGAGAGACACATTTTCTCCCAGCTCACCCAATGTGTCTTTCTTTTGTGTTCCAAAGAATGCCACCAAAAATCTGCCATCGCACTTGTCAAGTTCTCACAAGTTATTTTTGTCAATTTGAAGCAAGACATTGCGTATACAGACATGGCCATAGCCACAGTTTTGAGTAAAATCTCCTTGCCACCCATGAATAGAGTCCTTTATAAGGACATTTCTTTGGTTTTATTTCATTTTTAGGAAATATCTAGTTTATGATTTATATATGTTGTATTCGTCTTGCTTCAACCATTATAAATGAGTTACATTATTAGCTATTACGTGTCTTTCGCGCGTCGAGGTTTTCGTATAATGCATACTAATGAATGAAATCACATGTTGTGCCAAAAATGATCATAAATCTGTATATATATATTATATGTATGTGAATTATGATTAAAATAGGTGATGGAAACATAAACTAATAATGAGTGTTAGTTTCAAAATAAAATAAACTGATAAGATATATGATATGATAGAGCTTGATCAACGGGGTAATAGACTGACTAACCATTGGATGTGACCAATCATTATTACGAAATTTTACTTTGCTTGAAAGAAAAGCTTCCAATAATCTAAATCCAATCGCAAAATAAAACAAACCAATAACACTTATGGCGTGAGGAAAAAACAATTTATCGTACCAAATTATATATGTGGCCGACTTAACTTACCAAAGTATGAAAAAAAAGAAAGATATTGACAAATCCAGTCACCAACTATCGAATTTGATGTTAGCAACGAAAACATAATCAAACGATTAACGATGTCTGTAGTTTATAATCCAACTTGTTTGTGGCTTATTGACACCAACAACAAAAAAAAAATTGTTCGTGTCTTTATAATATTTAAAGAGTGTTTAGCAAAATGGAGTAATTAAGAAAATTGACAATAAAAAGTGAGTTAAAACAAAATTTAGATAGTTTTAATCCAATAATTTAAGGAATGTTATAGAATAGAAAGAACAACATATTATACAAAGGTTAGGTGGAAAGAATCTTGAGGGGTGGTAATGTTACATATATTATCAAATGATTAAATGTTTCAAATGATACAGTTTTGTAATGTCGACATAGAAAAACATTTTTTTTTATTATTAAATTCACATAGTATTTGTTTTCATTTGTTTCTCTTGTAAAAAAAGAAGAAAGTACAGAGTGTTGTTTCTTCTTCCTCTTTGTATCAGTTTGGTAGACATTAAAAAAAAAAAACCTTAGCCCTTTTGGAGAGAGAGAGAGAGAGACTGAGACAACTCATCAGTTGTTGCGGCTGAAAGAGAGATCGAGATCGAGATCGAGATCCACACGACGGAGAAGAGAGAGAGAGAGAGAGCTTAACCGGTGATGGGATCTTGGCTTCCCCAGTATTGCTTCCTCTTCATCTTCTACTGTCACTCCCACAATAACAATCACTTTTCCTGATATCCTTAGCTGCATTTTCTCCGAAACTCACTCTCTTCTTACTCAGGTACCAATCCACCTCTTGTCATTTTCCTGGATTTGATTGTTCCTTGTGTGATCGTGTGTTTTGTTCATTTTTTCCAATTTCATTTTCACCTAGTTTCAATTTTGGGGCTTTGTTGGAAAATGGCGATCTAGATTTCCGATATTTGCAGTCTACTTGATTTTGGATGTTTTACTTGGAAGAAATGGAAACTCCTTTGCTTTGATTTTCCTGCTCATTCAGATTTTCTATAATTTGCATTCGATTTATGTTTGATTCTTCTGCTCATCTTTTGTTTAACGACTTTAGGAAACAATTTGGAAAAGAAAAAAAACGATTTTTAGATTTGAACTAGACAATACCTGGTTACCGCAAAAATCGCTGTTAGAAACTTTAGAGATCTGAGCCTATAGTTAGTGGTCCACTTTAGTATATACAAATGGCTATTCTGATTCCTGATGAGTAACTCTCTTCTGGCTGCTAGCCTTGTAGTTGTCGGCATAGGTCTTTGATGCTCTTTCTCTCTTGTTATTTCTGATTCTGGTATCGCCCATTGTTTCACCTGTCACAATCTTTATCTCACGACGACTTTTTCTTCTTTATTTTAATCTTTTAATGTCTATACATCATACATGCAAAGCATTATGCATTTCTCACTTCTTTCTCTCTTGTTTCTCTAGGATTTTAAACTCTTTACGTTTTGTACTCTGCTGCTCTGGTTACGTTCTTTAAGTAACCAAAATGGGTTCGAGATACCCATCTCATCAGCTCAGCAATGGGCTATTTGTGTCTGGTCGGCCTGAGCAACCCAAAGAAAGGCCTCCAACTATGAGTGCAGTAGCCATGCCTTACACGGGTGGCGACATCAAGAGATCAGGAGAATTGGGGAAGATGTTTGATATCCCAGCAGATGGTACTAAGTCTAGGAAGTCTGGTCCCATACCTGGTGCTCCTTCAAGGTCTGGCTCATTTGCAGGAACTGCACAATCTGGTCCAGGTGCTCCTATGGCCACTGGCCGTATGTCTGGCTCTTTAGCTTCTGCTGGCTCTGTTTCAATGAAGAAAACAAATTCCGGACCTTTGTCTAAGCATGGAGAGCCTTTAAAGAAATCATCTGGCCCTCAGTCTGGTGGTGTAACTCGGCAGAATTCCGGTTCTATTCCTATTCTTCCGGCTACAGGTCTCATAACCTCTGGGCCTATTATATCAGGCCCCCTGAATTCATCTGGGGCTCCCAGGAAGGTTTCTGGTCCACTAGACTCTTCTGGTTTGATGAAGTCACATATCCCTTCTGTTGTCCACAACCAGGCGGTAACTACCCTTGGTCCAGAAGATGACTTTTCCTGCCTGAAGAGCTTCCCAAAGCCTGTGCTCTGGCTGGTTGTTCTTATATTCATTATGGGGTTCCTTGCTGGAGGCTTCATTCTTGGTGCAGTTCACAACCCAATTCTCCTCGTTGTTGTCGCGATCTTGTTTACAGTTGTTGCTGCGCTTTTCATATGGAATATTTGTTGGGGGAGACGTGGTATCACAGATTTCATTGCTCGTTATCCTGATGCTGATCTTAGAACTGCCAAAAATGGTCAATACGTGAAGGTCACTGGGGTAAGCATTTATGCGCCGCTCCTACCATTTACTATATTTTTTGGTTTCTCCTTCTGCTACTTGTCTACTTTCCAGGATGTATATTCTGTCTTTGGTCATACAGTAAACTATATGACTGCTACTGAAGAGAAGGCTATTGCTTTTTTGCATGTGGTCTCTGTTAAACTAATGAAAAGCATAGTACTACTTAGTTGAAATAGTGGAATAAAACATGTTTTGGATAGATATTGTAATGCGTTTGTAATCTTGGCTTGCTATGTTTATGACCTTGATTCTTGTTTTATTGTTTACAGGTGGTTACTTGTGGTAATGTACCGCTTGAGTCATCCTTCCACAGAGTTCCTAGATGTGTGTACACATCGACATGTCTATATGAGTATCGTGGATGGGGTTCGAAACCAGCCAATTCTTCCCATCGTCACTTCACATGGGGACTGAGATCATCAGAGGTTAGTGATTCCCCACCAATATTTTCGTTTTGACAGAGGAAATGTTATATATCTTCCTCAACCCCATCAAAACACTTCGTTGTAATGTTATGTTGCAGAGACATGTGGTGGACTTTTACATCTCTGATTTTCAGTCTGGGCTCAGAGCCTTAGTCAAAACCGGAAGCGGTGCAAAGGTAACACCTCTTGTAGATGATTCTGTTGTCATCGATTTTAAGCAAGGAAGCGAGCATGTGTCTCCCGATTTTGTTAGATGGTTAAGTAAGAAGAATCTAACAAGCGATGATCGAATAATGCGGCTCAAAGAAGGGTAATGAACAAGCACTCCTAAAGTAATGAAAACTTAGCAGAAGCTTTGATCCTGATTCTAGCTGCTGGGTTTCAATTTCAGGTATATAAAAGAAGGAAGCACAGTGAGTGTGATTGGAGTGGTGCAGAGAAACGATAATGTGTTGATGATAGTTCCATCATCTGAGCCACTAGCAGCTGGTTGGCAATGGAGGAGATGTACATTCCCTACAAGTCTTGAAGGAATCGTATTGAGATGTGAAGACTCATCCAATGTTGATGCCATACCGGTTTGAGTCATCATCATCATCACCAACATCCTAGTTTGGGTTCATTAAATATTTTTCATGAATCTGGAAAAAATGTGATTTTGCTGGTGGGTTCGTTTGGTGGTGGTTGTAGTGTTGTTATTTTCTTTCCTTTTAATTCTCATTAATTTTTTTCTTTTGGGTTCTCCGAGTTATTACGGTTAGGATGGTGATGGTGATGGTGATGCTTGGAGGGTGTGGTTTCTTTTTCCTAAGATGAGCTAATTGTTTTTTCTTCTTATTCTTCTTCTTCGCCTTTTGTTTTGTATAGCTCTTCATGTCAATTCTTTTTCAATAGAACTTGTGTACTTTTCTCATTGTGTTATGTTCTGTCTAAATCTTTCCTTTTTGTGAAAATAAAACTCAATCTGGTGTTCTTTTTAAACCTATTTGGCCATGTTATGTTCTTATGCTATTTGGAGTAATCATGCTCCCCAGAATAGATATGCAATTCCACAATTTTTTTCCCACCAATTGCCTGTTTTGTTAGTGAAATTTTTCTGTTCTTTCACAACTTTTTGCATTATATTGTTTTCAATTGGAGCGATGATAAATGAGAGGCACTGATTTTATTAGAAAGAAATTTAGGTCCAAAAACCAGTGTTTTACAGACAACAAAAACCTTAAACTATAAACTCAAACAACAAAAATCTTCCTTTTAATTCAGAAAGGTCAATGAAAAGAGTTTCCCTCCCAAACTAACGGGATAACTTAAAACACCAGAAAAGGCGACATTAAAGTAATCAAAATCACAATCTATTTTGTTTGTTTGTGTGTTTGTTCCTCAACGCATGAAGGGGACTAACCAACGCATCTCTGCTCCATTTCCATTTGCCAGATAGTATATCTTCTTCCAGTTTTCTTCGGTGAATACTTCACGCCGAACTAGTCTTTGCCTGAAACAATACCACATTGAACGTTTGTGAAATCGATATACGGTTTAGGGCCATACACAAGTAGATCAACTCCATAATGAACTAGAACTAAAAAACGGGGTCTGATCAGTAGAGAGGATTACAGAGATGAGTACTATTAAAATTGGTTTCATGTAAACTCACCGAAGGTAGTAATAGCAGACAGCTTCTGCTTCATCCAAAGAATAACGTGGGAATTGCTGACGAACATCAACTGGAACATCTGGCAAGTCTTTGCGTAGTTTTCCTACTGCTGTTGAATGTGAGAATGCACCCACCATCATATCTTCATGCATCATGCTTCTGAAAGCATTCACCTGCCAAAGGAATTGAGTGAATTGCGATTTTTTTTTTCTGAATCATATGAGAATTTGGAAGAAAAATTCACCGTTGTAAGTTCTCTGGCATGTATAGGTCGGCAAGAACGTGGTGTAACGGGCTCTTCAAACTCGCTGAATGTAAACCAACTGTTATACTGAAAGACAAGTACACAGAAAGAAACAAACAGCATTAGCAATAGTGAAAAAGAGGCAGATTTAAAATAATAGAAGGCGAAATAAGGTATCATAAAAGGTAAAACTGGGGACTCACTTGATCAATTACAATCAACACTGGTACATCTTTTACAACTGAGAGTTCTTTTCTAAGTCGCACTACGACATTAACAGCTGCATGAGTGCTCTTAATTCCCATTTGCACAAGGTCATACAGAGTTGAATCCTCGGGAATCGGCATAGTATCTGCTCCTTTCAAGTATCCTACACCCGCACCCTCTCCAAGCACGATAGGATCATGGATTTTGCATCGCAACTCTCTTAAGCGGGATTCATTGAATTTGACAAAATCCTACAGAAGTTAAGTTTATTAAGAAATTCTCTTAAATAGGAAGAATTCCATTCCCAAAGAGGAGGCATGTGAAATCTTGCCTTGAGAATATTCTCAGCTTGTAGAGGAGTGTCCCAAAACCCTGTATGTGGATTCTTATAGAAGTAGCCTCCGTGAGTCCAGTCACGTCCTTTTGGTGCATATAAAACTAGCCAGCCTTCGTCACGTGCCCAGTGAACAAGCATCGCCAGAGCAATACTCTTTCCACACTTAACAGGGCCATCCAAGACAATCTGCTTCTTAAGTTTGACACCTTTTCAGAAGAGAAAAGGAAGCAATGATTATAAATACTTATGGCAATACAGATCCCCGGATAAGGGAATATGACAAGTAAGACTTGGCCAACAAATTAGACTGCTTTCGTTTCTAAGGAAAAGAAAAAACACAAATGCTGACGATAGAAGAGATCACTAATCCTTATACTTAAAAGAAATCAACAAAACGGAAACAAGGATCAACAAAGAACATACCTTTACCGTCACTTGGCCACATGGGAGGATCAGCAATGCGGCTAAAATTATCCCTCAGAGCCAAGAAATTTTTTCTCACAAGCAATGCAGGTCTCCATGATTCATTGAACTCATCTTCAATCCCTGAAGCTAATCCCTCCGGAAGAACTGCTTTCAGCGCTGCCTCACTATCATTACCACATTATACATAACATCAACACACACACACAAAATGATGCATACAAAAATTCTAAAAATATATAAAGAGAAATATCAGATAGAATAAGGGAAAGAGAGAATTGAGATTACTCGAATTTGAAGTAGGAGCCAATATCCTTGTGAGATAGCTGCGATAGTGTAGTATCTTTAGGAGTAAAGAGAGGCCTTCCATTAGGACCAACATCTAGAGACGGAATCTTCTCATCATCAGCTAATCTCTTGGCACGACCCGCTTCGAGGTCATCTCCACCGGCGGCTCCAAACTCTCCGTCATCGGCTCCGGCAGCACCAGGATCGCCGCCTTTAGGTTTTGATTTTTTGCCTTCAGCTTTCTTCGTCTTGGTGATTGAAGATTTCGTGCTCTTCGAAGATGAAAAGCTGCGATGAACGTGATCTAAACTCGGAAAAAGTGTTCCCACGGCGGCTGAAGTCGGCGCTGAGAAATGACAAACGGTATCATTTAGAATCGAAGACATCCGATTCAATTTGACATTCCCGGCGGCGAGTCTTCCGACGAACTTCCACATTTCTCTGGTTCGTCTCTCTCTCAATGTCTATCGTCAGCGTCTAAGGTTTTAGGGAGGGATTTGGGCGCAAATCTGACGAACCAACGAGAGGGATGAAGCAGCGAGCAAGTGGCAAACTTGTAATTTTCGATACTATGATCAGTTTAGCGTTAGGCCCATTTATATTAGTGGGCTGAAGCGTTTGAGATGAAAATTTGGGCCATTAAGGCCATTACTTTAAAATGATGACGTCATGTTCCATCTAACCTACCTATTTGTTTTAGCGCCACCTAATATTTTAACTAGTCGGTAAAAGATTGACCAATAGCATGTCACATCCGATAAAGTCGGGGCCAATACAATGAAGAAATTTGTCGAACTGTTAATTTCTTTTTAAATAAGAAAAGACAATTTTGGTGGAATTTAAAAATAATATGTGAAAAGTGGGGAAAAAATAAGGAAAAGGAAAGCAAGAGAAATGGCGATCTAACGTTGAAGATAATAAGAAGGACGAAACGGACTTTTTTTTTTTTTTTTTTTGTGATATATTTCTTATTATCGTCGTCTCATGGCGGATAACACGAGACCTGTCCAAAGGCTCTTCTTCTTCTTCACTACTAGTCCTCTCTAACGTTTTCCTCATTCTTCTTAATTCCGATATTTGATTCGGATTGAGTTATGGCTATGGCCTCTGCTTCTGGTTCTGCTCTTTGCTTCACTGATGCTTCTAGCTCTCTAGCTTTAAGACGCGATTGTGGAGCTCTTTGCTTGCCTCCGAGGACAGTTACGTTTGGATTTGTCGATAAATCTCTTTTGAATCTCGAGCGATTAAGGTCTTTGTTTTTTTTTTGGTTGATACTTACTTAGCTATCTCTTGATGTCTTCTTGAGAACTTGAATTCGAGCTTCTTTTGGCGAATTTCTCCTTTTTTGGATTGTGATCTTACTCTGTTTGTGCTGGTTTTATTTCTTCCAAGCTTCATTTGTTCTGAATTTTCTCCACAGATCTCGAAATCCGTAAAAGTATCTCATAAATGAATTTAAGGATTATCATTAATTTTCCGAAGTTGCTAATCTGTTTTTAATGTCCAAATGATCTTATTCCTAGTTGTGAATTCGTATCCTTTTTGGAATTTTGAGCTGATCTTCTACTGATTCAAATAATTCAATCAATTCTGTATTTGTTTTTCCCTGTTTCAGATTATCCAGTTTGAAGCCGCGAGCATCAAATGCTACTGCCGTGGAGGTATGAAAATGAATTTGATTACACTAAGAATTTATATAGAGTTTTATATGTTTTTGATTTTGAAGAATGGAAAGCAAGGTGAAAGTGCCGCTGATTCTGATAAAGTTCCAACTCCAGTGGTCATAATCGACCAAGATTCTGACCCCGATGCTACCGTTCTTGAAGTTACATTCGGAGATCGTCTTGGAGCTTTACTTGACACTGTAATGGCACTTTCCTTCTTCTTACTCATTTGCTGGCTGCTTTCACAAAGCTTTTTACTTCCTTTCCGGCTTTTTTTTCCCCGAGTTTTGACTGTGTCTTGAGCTGATCAACTTTGCTCTTCTAGATGAACGCGCTCAAAAACTTGGGATTGAATGTTGTCAAGGCAAATGTTTACCTCGATTCTTCCGGCAAGCACAACAAATTTGCCATTACTAAAGCGTATGTCTTTTCATATCATCAAGAGTTTCTTTGAGCTCGAAAGAGTCGTTTATATAGTTAGTTAATGTTGCTTTGATCAATTGACTCTGTCAAAGAGTTGACTTTAGATTGAATTTTGAGCTGACTGTAATTGTTCTTAAAACAGGGATAGTGGAAGAAAAGTAGAAGACCCTGAATTGCTTGAGGCCATTCGTCTCACTGTCATAAACAATCTGCTTGAGTTTCATCCTGTAACTACTTCACATCTTAATGTCCTCTTTTCTAAATTTCCTATCTTACATAATTTATCAACTCACACTTTGTTTCTCAATGATTTGGATCAGGAATCAAGTTCTCAATTGGCAATGGGCGCAGCTTTTGGTGTTCTTCCTCCAACTGAACCGGTAAAAACCTTAAACTCTGATGCTGTTTGTATAACCTTATCCACTTCTTTCGTCGTATTTCACCCTTTGTTCGAGAAGTTTAGCATCCTCGAACATAAAGGTCAAGAATGCTTGTCTTTTCCTCCGTCATGAACAGATAAGAAACAATAATAGAGAAAACAAAGACTAACTAATAATCAACATGTTTGGATTTGGCGGGTCAATGTAGAGTAGAGTTATTAAACTTCATTATAGTATTCACTTCATTATACCCACGCAACTTCAAAGTTAGCTTCAAAATTCATTTTTTCCTGTATTTTGGATTGGGATGTTGACAGATTGATGTGGACATAGCAACACATATAACCATTGAAGATGATGGACCAAACCGCAGGTAAAGCAAACCCATACCTTATCTCAACTTTAAAACCATATATCTTCATTTACCAATAGAAATGCTTTTATTCTTAAAATATATGATCTGATCATTGATCCATAATTATTTGTTGAGGATGCAGTTTACTCTACATAGAAACAGCGGATAGACCTGGACTATTAGTTGAGCTGGTGAAGATCATTTCAGATATCAGCGTCGCTGTTGAATCTGGAGAATTCGACACCGAGGTATCTAATAATCCGGAGTTTTTATTGTTTTAAACATATTCCACTAATAATATCGCTCTGTTTCTCATGTTGCTTCTTCTTGTTGTATGTGAAACAAAAAGGGTTTGTTGGCTAAGGTAAAGTTCCATGTAAGCTACAGGAACAAAGCACTAATCAAGCCTCTCCAGCAGGTAAAAATTCTGAAATTAGACTTTTCTCTTGATGAGTCGAAATGTTTTTACTGAAACCAAATCAAATTTTTGTTTTATTGTAGGTTCTTGCTAATAGTCTGAGGTACTTCTTGAGGCGTCCATCAACTGACGAGTCAAGTTTCTGATAATGCCCATTTTTCAAAATCTGAAGTCCCATTCCTCGTGACTACTTTTTACCACGTTTTTTTTTTTTTACATTTGACCAAAATAAGCTGTGTTTCATTTAAGCGGACATCTCATACACCTGTAATAGTAACATTCTCCATCATTCATCAAATTTACTTTGATTCACAACCTGTGTAATCTGATTATCTACACTGCTTTAAAGATTATAGAGCATATTTAACACAACCAAAGATCAAAAGCAAGCACAATTGATGAAAGTTAGATTCCAGATATGGGTAAACTTAGATCCCCCTAGTTATACAAATTCAGAGAGTACAAATCTTTTTTCCCTGTTTTCAGAAAAAGGATTTAGATAAAACCTTGAGATAGAGTTTCACCATATAATGTTATTTAAATGACAATGTTCTTTTTCCATTTGCAATCTTCAAGCACCACTTGCGTAAAGACGAGTCCATTCCTTAGCTGCATGTGTTCACATTGATACGAGATTACCCGATTAGAGAGAGGAATAAAGTTTTTATTGCAACATTTTGAGTTTTTAGATCGTATTTTATCACCTGTTTCCACAGCTTCTGCTTCATTGCTCTTCCAATGCTTAGCTATGTTCTCAGACAGAGGATCATCTGGATTTGGTGCACTTAGAAGAGCTTGGATACTGTTTTTACACGGCATTGAAGAATCAGAAAGTGTGAATAATTAAATATTAATTTCTACAATATTTTTGGTTTAGTAGGGAGAGAATGAATCTATGAAAGATATTCATACCTCAAGAGCACAGTACGTATTTGTAGTGCAGGACTCCACTTGTCTTTCAGTATGTCAAGGCAGATTCTTCCAAGCTAGTATACATGATAAATGCAAACAAAACATATTCCATAAGTATATAAGACCATGTATTTGGTTAGATTATCTTGACAGTAAGAGAAGAAAAGGAAATATTTCACAACAGACCTTGTCGATGTTAGGATGGTATATCTTGGTGAGAAACCTAACCTGTTTTTCAAATGATGTCATCAATAAGACCCATAAACTCTACAGCAACGAAGAAAATTGGGTACCTTGTCTAATATTATTATATGTGAATACATTCGGAGTATTCATAACAAACCAAAATGACCAATCTCATAAACCCATAAATAAAATCCCAGTGTTAAGAGTAGAGAGAGACAATCACATAAATAGCATTTACCTCCACTTAACAATGTGGGGTAACACTAATTTTACCAAAACATGAGAAACATGAAATGAAAGAAGAAAAACTCACAAAATTCGAAGCAACTTACCTTGGGAGCTGCCATGGGATATTCTTCAGGCAAAAAGAGCTCCAACTTGAAAACTCCTCCTACAAATTGAGAACGAAACAAAATGATAGGTAAACATCAATTAACAGAAATCTGATGAAAGATAAAACAGCAGACTTAATTCTGGAAGAAGTTATATATAAAATGGAACCGGAATTTCAACTTGTCATTGTATATTATAGAAAAAAAAAATGTGTCAAATGAACTCAATGGGAGCTTATAGACTCATCATCATACCACCACAATCCAAACATGAGCAATCTATGACACCTAGTACCTAAACGAACATATCCGTTTGTATAAACAAATATAGAAACAGAGCAGAGAGTCATTACTTGCAGCAGAAAAGATAAAACAAAATCGGTGAGTGGCATGCATAAAAGAAGAAAAAAAGGAACAAGTAATCGATGAGAGCATCTTTGGAGATAAAAACAATTTGACTACCTTCATAAGGAGATTGAGTAGGACCAAGAATCATAACATTGAAATATCGCATATTTTCCTCTGATGGAGACGCACTTATCCCAGGAGCTGCACTTTCGAACGATATAGAACTTAGAATTGAAATCAATAGTTGCAGCTACCAAAACCAACTGTTTGAGCTAAAATCGACTGTAGAAATCAACAAGGAAATAATGAATTGATGAAATTACCAGGTTCACTAAGCAGACGTTGAGTTTCCTATCAGATCGGAGAAAGAAAAAAAAGTCAGATCATAAGTTGCAGAAACTTAGAGATGATAAGATCGAACAAGCTATCGAAATTCTTCCCCAGTTCTGGTGAGCTACAAGCGGTCGGTTCCTTCTTCGGATTTCCGATTAAAAATCCCCAAAATGAAACAGAGGGGAATAGGGATCGGAGGATTATACAGAGGATCGGAAAACGTACCTTGATGATTCTTCGGGGAAGATTACTATTGGCCATTATCGCACGCTATCGGATTCGATCGGTCTCAGAGAAGTTAGGGTTTTTGAGAGAGAACGAAGCTAGAGAAGGCTGATGATAATCGACTACTCTTCGTCGTCTCTAATTTCGTGCCCCTTTGATCCTTTTAATTCTTTTTTTTTTTTCCTTTTTTCTTTTCTGAAAATAAATCGATGCTTTTATACTAATAAAAATATATAATTACATCAAATAAGGAAACATCAATACGTCAAAATTCTAATTATTTCAACTTTGTATTATTCTCTTCCAAATTCATATTCAATTTCTTTAGAATTAATTTCCATATTCAGATTTTTTTTCTTAACCGTAATTGAAAATTAATGATAAAAATTATTGTATATTTCGATCACCAAGAAAAAAAAAAATTATTGTATATTTTTCTTTAAATCTTTGGAAAAGAATCTATTGTTCGTTTTGTAAAGACATGCACTATTAAATTTAATCGGATTGTAACATAGTGACAACATTATCACAAACCTCAATACATCTTGATCTCGATCACATTATTAGAAAAACTAATAATTTGTTTTAGGCTATTCTCTTTTTTAAAAGATAAATCTTTTACAATAAAAAAAAAAAAAAAAAATTAGTCCATTAATTTTTTAAATTTTATTGCGTTCTTTTTTTGGTGCCCTTTTATGACGCGTTGGACGAACGCCAACTTAAAGAGGACAGAAATATGAATTATGAAGTGCCCTCCATAGTCAGATAGTCTTCTCATTTTCTTCCTTTTTCTCAATGGCCAAAATTGGAATACGCAATATCAAAAGGACAAAAAGGATAAGACTTTGCACAATAATGTCATCAACATAATCTTTCACGTTCTTCTGACCAGTTGCCATTTGGAGATTTCTTACAAAGTCAAAACTAGTCTCTTTAACGACTTTACCACTACAAACCGTGAACGTGAACTTAAAAGCCGATACTAATCAGTTATTAGTTATTACATTCCGCTCAAAACTGCCCAATGAACTGAGTTAAAGCTACAACTCTAGAGAGTCTTAAGGATTTGTGATCATTTTGGGACTCTTCTAAGTGCTACGTATTTGCCAAACACGTTTTTCCCCTGCCACATGTACGGGATGAAGAACGATCTATACTTAGCTGGCGAAAGCTCTCTGTCCAAATAAGGCAACACCGCAATAGCCTGAAAATGGGTGAAAAGAACCAAATTGAATAAGTTGCAGTGAAATTAAAGATCCATTTTGTTTCAGGAAGATGGTTTGATTCCTATACCTCCCACGTAGATAAGTCGCTGCCTCGATATTGATACGGTCTGCTAAGCTGCAACTCAATGAGGAATGTACAAGTTTCGATGTTTTTTAACTGAAAAAGAATAAGAAAGAGAAATCAAGCGATGCTGAAGTTTATGTTTAGAGAATTTTCAAGGTGTCACGACAGAAGAGTGTGTGAGTATTACATATTGTTCTTCGGATGCTTGGTTCTTGTTGTTGAAGTATGCAGGTGATGCTGCAGTGCCTCCAAGTGTACTGTTAAATGGGAATGGAAGAAGACCGCGGAATCCATCATCGATCCACCGTACTTCGCTGATGTAGTCAGGCACAAAAAACGATGATGGGTATCGATGCCATTCACTTCCCACACATAGAACAGAACCTAAAATACCAAACCAACCAAGAACTCATCAGTGATTAGAAAACTTTTGACAAAAGGACTCTGTTACCCTTTGTCCAACAGCAAATTACTATTCTTGAAGTAAAAGTGAGAGGTGATCTTCACTCGTGTTAGCATTGTAATGATCAAAATGTTCAGTTCGATATAGATATACCTGGTCCTGCATCATCATGGTGCTCTAGTAGTTTGTAGACCTCTAAGGGAGCGGAATAGCCATTAATAAGAGCAAATGTGCGAGAATGTGAAGCACATAAGATAAAACCAAGAATCACAGGTCGCATGTATTTGGTTATCTGCATATTAAACAGATATGTGAGCATCGTACAATGTAATTCTTTTCAATTTGCGGAAAGGAATCAATCAGAGACTGAGATATTGTAAGTTGGAACTTACTGTCACCAGAAGACTTTCACGTGAGCTATACTTTTCCCGGAACAGCTCAGGGATGTTCTCAATAACAGCAGAGGCAGAGACACATATAAGAGGGTATATAGGATAAAGGAACCTGCAGCAATTAAATGACAATCAAAAACATTGTTTGTTGAATACCGTGATTTTGTAGAAGTATCATAAAATCCGCTTCCTCAGGATCTAGCAGCCACCTAATGAGTGCTCGAAAAAATACAGGATGAAAGATATAGAAATCACCTTTCTTCTTTGTGGGGCTGAATTGACATGAATGCCAGCCAAATATACATCGGCGAAATCACAACCAGCAGGCCACGGTCATACTTTCTTCTGATAATAGGATATATTGCGACAAACAACATGGCCAAAACGAAACAGAAGTTGAAGTTGTTAAATCCATTTCTTATGTAAAACAGTGCTCCTTCAGTCCCATAGAGATGGCTCTCTCCACCCCCTAACACATTGTATATCAAGAGATTCAAAACCGATGATGTCCATCTCTTGTAATAATAGTAATCCACAAGTAGTGAGACTCCCTAGAAAAGAGACAAAACTGTTTAGAAGAGAAAATAGTAATTTAAAGTTACAGATGCGAATGAAAGTCAGCGAGATGCAATAATTCCCATAAAATCCACACAGACAAAGCATCTAGGATTGGTTTTAACTTACTAGGAGGAAAAGAGAAGTGACAGCGCCAGAGATAAATGCTTGCTTGAATCTCTTAACCAGAGAGTAAATAACGACAGGTAAAAAGGCCAAGATAGAAAATGGCCAGCCAAGAATCACCCCGACAACCGAAACTGCAACAGCCATGGCATACTTCTCGAAAAGTAATAAACCAGATGAGAGGCTTATGGCGTACATAGAAAATGAACTGGGGAGGAAACCTATCCAATTTTAGGGAAACATGAATTAGTAAGAAGCCAGAACACAATGCCAAATTCAGAGCAATGCAGGTCATCAAAATAACTTATACAAGCGTTTGAAACAAAAATTTATCGGATGCAAGAATAACTTGAAAATCCTATATATGCATCTTAAGGAAACATGAAAGAAAGCTTAAGAAACGGTAACAGATCAAAACACTCACTGGTGCTGGCAAAGAAGCAACCACTGGTTAGGCAGAGCATCGCAACTGCATATGTAGCAAGACGTTTGCCGTACTTTCTGGAAAGCGCAATAACCAGGACAGTGTCTGAAACTGCAGAAACCAATCCGAGAAAGAGTCTCACTGCATAGAAAACTCTAACCTATCCAAATGATAGACAAAAATTGGATAAAAAATATGCGGTTATATATACCAATTAGAATGTAGATCAGTAAGTATGCATTGCTAACCTTGTCATCACCAAACCACCAAGAAGCAGGCCGTCCAGCCAATTCATGGAAAAGAATGTATAAGTACGACCGAAGAGCAAAGTTGGAACTGCAAAACACACACACACAAAAAAAAAAAAAAAGTAAGCAATCTCATGATTATGTTTCATATAAAAACTCAAGTTAAAAACATGAATACACAGAGAACATGCATCAACAATATAGAAGCAAAAACTAAAATAGAGATTCAAATCATCAGATACTAAGAAGCAGGAAGAACCCAGCCTCACTTGTGTTCTCTTTAAAAAAAAGGACACACTCTAAAACTAAGCTCGATAACCTAAGAACCATTCCATTGAATCGAAGTTCCACTAAACCAAATCCCAACTTCACATTTCTGATTTCAAATTGAAAATGTTGAGAATGAGTAGTCACCGATACATAAATATAGAATCACAGCTCAAAGTACATGCTCACTCGAGCTAAAATTGCGTCTCTAGCTCAGTAGTAACATCACCAATGCGGATTATAGAAAAAAACATAGACATTCAAATGTAGCGCAAAACCAAACCTGTATTCCCAGGTCTGAAATCCGGACTTGTAGAGAAGATAATGAAGAGGCTCCCAGTAATTGAACACTTCATCGCAGTCATGAATGATATTAGAAGTCGCGCTCATGTAACGAAGATAACAAAGTGCCATAAACGGCAAGAACCACCGGAGACCACCATCCTCCGCATCCCTGCCGTTAGGTCGGCCAGGCTTATCGGTCTTCGAGTAAGATTTCGTGGAAGACGAAGAAGAAGAGTCACGTATAAGTGGACGCCTCTGACGCGTCGTCGTTAGATCCATCGAGCTTAGATGGTTTCAGTACGAAAATGGAGGTCGTAAAGTGCAGATTGCAAAAGGAAGGTTTATTAGTTCATTCTCTTCTCGACGAAGCAATGAAGAAAAGTATCTGATCAAATTAGAGGCTCTAATACATAGATTAAAAGGCCTTGTTACCAAAAGGAAAAAGATTAAGTTGTACATTTAATGGGCTTCTTAGCACTTTAAGCCCATTATGTTTTTCGTCTTTTCTACACGTTTAAAGATCAAACATTAGGGGTTTTGATATAAGCCACTTTTCTGGAATCAGAAACTTTGACTAAAGTTCCAAGCTCATGAGCAATCCAACACTTAAAGCTACTTTTATCGTAAAAATACCCCAAGCATTTACAGTCTCGACTACACAAACTTCGACATTTGCTCTCTCCAAGCGCAAGACCAACGTTATACTTAGTCATGAAATGGTCAACACCTCCAAGTCTATAATAATGAAAAGTCTTCGGATCACAACTCTTCACCTTCTTAGGCTTACAAGCCTTACTCCAGCCCAGTAAGCCCATCTCCAACGGACAAGCCACACATTGATTATCCTCACAAAGCCCAAACTCTCCACACTTGGACGGTAACCAACAACACTCGTTGTTGTTGTCGTGGTTGAAAAGCTCGAATGTTACTTCCCATGCAAGAAAAGTGACCTTGAAATCGAAAGTGTAAATCCTAAGATTTCCATCAGCGTCAAGCCTGAGGAAACTTTGCGAGGCGTTGAATCTAGGCCTTGCGAGGAAATGTTTATACGGAAACTCAGGCCTAAGCCCCGGCGTGGATAGGCCCAATTGAGTCGTGGTCCCCTGGTCTTTAGCCGCGTAAAGAGTGGCGCTTGGAATAAACCGACCTTCTATGACGTAATACACAACGGATTTGTTGTTGCTCCGAGGGACTAAATGGTTTAGAACGAGTCGGTCGGGCTCTAAGATAAGACTAAAAGCCCCATTGTTGCGACTTACGAGTTTGTTCTTCGACCCATCGAGTGTAAGAGACTGGCCGACCAAGAGTGTATCCGTCGGGAAATCAAAGCTCTGCCATACGGGCCACCCTCCATCATCAAACAACACAAGATTTCCGTTTTCGTTCATCGTTAAGCCTATAACACCTTTGTTTTCTGTCATGGTCTGCCATACGACTGTGCCATCTGGCTGGGCCAGGACAAGGTTTCCTTCAGGTCCGAACGAAAGAGAAGCTTCTTCTTGAACCGGATTTTGAGGGTTAGCTTGCCAAACCCAACGAATGATGGAATCAGAACTTCCTGTTCCCATCCCAATAGCGAGTGTGAATGCGTTTGGCGTGGTGTTGAAGAAACATAGACGAAACTGGTTACGTATTACACCTAAATCTCTGTAACTTGCACCGTAATCCACCGTGGACTCTCCAAAGTCGCCGTTGTTAAGGAACCGGAATTGCTCCAATGAAGGAACTTGTGGTCGGGCGAGCGAGATGAGAAGAAAAAGAGAAAGAAGAATAAGAATATGTGATGCTAATGCCATTTTCAAGGTCTTGATAGAAACAAAGGGATCAAACAGTTGTATATATAGTGCAAGATTTAGAAAAAAAAGAAGTCAAAATAGATTAATTAATTTAGTCAAGTCTCAATGTTTCTATTTTATGACGATTTGTATGCTCGTGTAAATTTCTTAAGCCGTACTATACGACGTCGCACATGTGGTTGGGGATACGATTTTAAAGATCGTTTTCATGGTATGCTGATGGTTTTGACTTTTGAGATTGCGGAGACATACAAATTATAAGCTGTCATTGGTTGCCCTGCGTTTAAATCTATAACAAAAGTGAAAAAAGTAGATAAAAAGAAGAAATTAATTAATCTAATTATATCTCTTTACATCAACTTGAGTTGTATTGAGATTTGAGAATAGGATGTCAAATAAGTTTCAACTTGAATAGAGAATTTTAACAATTTATTTGTAGAATTGTAGGTCCACTCTTCTGAATGTATATATGGTTCATAGTTACTCTAAAAATGTTAATTGTAGGTCCAATTCTGGTTGACAAAGTTAGTAGTTTAATTAGAGTAACTATCAATACCTTAATTTTATCACTATCTAAGAGCAAGTGTGTAGAATGAGTATTACAAAATTAGAACTTGATTTTTGGCATATATGAGTCTTACTTGAAGTCATGTAAGGTATATGAAAAATCTTGTTCATACTGCGTGAAAGTGAACCCTAGAAAGTATGTATATATTGACACAAAGACTACCAAACTCTATGACGTTATTCAATTTAATTAGGCCAAGCAAGGTGAGATGGTTATGCTATGTATACACCTATATATGGGGTTGTATTCTTGTAGATATATGGAGGTGCTTTCTTTAGAGTTCAGATCAATTAAGAAATCATAATCTATAAGAAGTTATGGTGGGAGAAGTAAAAAACTGTATGGTTTATCACTTTTCAAACTGTGAACTGTTAATTAGGCATTCCCCTTAGAGGGCCATATTTTCATATTAATGGGCCAAATAAATTGGATCCATTGGGCTGTTTAAGAAGGTCCACCTTAACGACGGAGAAGACAAGCTGATTCCACACGACTGCTCAAACTGCCTGGAAGACTACTGGTCACGTTTCCTGCCCAGATTCTTAAATCTTGGTAACACAAAAGAAATTGCAGAACATGAGGTTGGATTTGGTAATGGTGCTTGTTAATTACATCCACGGCTTAGGGGCAGTGCTGCAATAGAGATTTTAGCAGTAGGAACCCTCTGAATCAAATTGAGACAATGACAAGGATAGAAACAATAATCTTCGCACAAAGCAGAAACCAAATGAGTATGAGTATCAGATTCTAGGGTTCATAGAAAAAGAGATACACAGAGCCAATTTCTTCCACTGGGTTTGATAAAAAAGATCCAAACTTTAGGTCAACGATACTAGAATCTCAAGATCTTTTGCATCATCTAGATCAAAACAAAATTACAAGAAATGAAGACGAGAGAGAAAGAGAGTGTGTGTGATCATCATCATTTCATAGCTTTGTGAATCGAATTTGGAGGCGTTTGATGCAATAAAGCTGCATCTCCATGTTGTTGATTCTTCTCCTGCTCTTGTTTCAGAAGCGAGTTTCTCTCCATCTCACGCCATTTATTGATCGCGAAAGTACATAGAACTGCGAAATTTTGACAGTCACTCCTGGGTCATTGTTAGATTTACTCGATCAAGATTATGAAGCAGAAAGCCAACTTACATCCGGCGCCGACGAAGTAGACCATCCGAAGCATCTTCGGAGCTGGTGGACCTTCTTCCATCATTTCTTCTAATCGCTATCTTCTTCTTTCTTCTCTGCTCTGCTCTGCTCTTCTCTTCTCTTCTCTTCTCTAAAGAGTTGTCTCAAACGTTGTCGTTTTGTTGTTTTGTCACAAAATGAGACCTAACCCGACAACATAACGCAACCCGACCCGGTTCTGAAGTTTTGGTTTTGGATTTTTTTGAAGATACAAAAACAGAGAAATCAGAATCAAGTTTGGATGAACTTAGCGTAGTTGAGAGAGATCAGGAGCGAATTAAATTAAGTATGCAGAGGTGGAGCTGAAAGATTGATTGTGGGTGCCAGCGGGTGAGCTTGCTTCTCACGGTCATGAAGTTCATGTCTTTGAATCCAGATGCTTTGAAGAAACCAAAATTCCATAGAATAGTCTTTTGCCTAAGATGATGTTATTACCGTTGAAGAACTATTACTCTCAGTTCACATTGATGCCCCCATTGTTGTGTTACACTCATTGTCATTAGTTAGATTGATTCGGATTTTTAGTTCTAAAGTGTAGTAATTAGGGGTTTTTTGATTCTTGACTTTTATCTTTTTTCATTGTTTTTTGTTCTCCCCATTGTTGTGTTATACCTCATTGTGATTAGAAAGCTAGATTCGAGATTTTGTTCTATAGTGTAGTAATGTTGATGCAAGCATTTTGCTGAGGGTTCAAGATTAATGATCCATATCTAACTGAATATTCAGTTATCTTTCGAGCTATGGTGTAAGCTTCTTTCTTGTCACAGGCTTATCTTCTACCGTCTTCATGCTTTTTGTGCATACATACCTACACTGCTTATTTGTATGTGTGATTTTGGGATAGTCATCGTTTGATGTTTTATTAGTCTTTCAGGGGGATATGATGAAAGATTGAGGGAGAGTAGAGCATGTCTGATCGTGTTAACTTCTCTCAATATGCTTGTGTGTTTCTCTACACACCAAGGGTAAAAAAGGCACCATCCTTCCTTGCTTCTTCCTTACAATCTTGATTTTAATTATTCTCATAGTCAAAGAGAATCTGTTTTATAATTCAAAAACCAAACCGAAAAGTTTGATGTTGCAGGTATTGATTGTTCCATTAGAGGCAATGGCAGTTAACAATCCCATGATCGCGTGCAATAGGAGTGGGCCTATGGAAACAGTGAAAGCAGAGTAACAGTTTATCTCTGTGAACCGTCTGCAGAAGATTTCTGCTAACTTCATCAGAAATCCTGAGTTAGCTGATTGAATGGGTACTGAAACTAGGAAACACGTCATTGAGTTATTTTCTACTGAGAGTCTGAGACAATTAGACACAGATTGAATCAATCAGTTTCTCGATGTCTTGGATCCTAAAGAAGATTGCTTCTGCTTCGTAACTGATGTATTCTGAAACTGATTCACCAACAATTTTTGAAATACAGTTACAGAAACATTATATAATGTGTAGTCTAAAACTTATATTAATGTCGATAGTGTTACAAAACAAGAACAGAAGCGAACAATGGACCATGGGGGTTATAATTCTCTCTCAACAGAAACAAAAAAAAAAAAAAAAAGCCTTCAATTTGAGCAGCACCCGAGTTTCTTCAGAGCAGAGACATCGTTTTTAACTTCTATTTTCTCACCTTTCGGGACAGAGGCATTCCCATCTTCACCAGCTTCAACTTGCTTCTTGCTTGTGATGCGATAAATCTGTGTCAAAACCTCTGCAAATGCGTCCTCGACATTGGTAGCTTCAAGGGCAGATGTTTCCATGAAGCAGAGCGATTCTTGTTCCGCGTAGGATTTTCCGTCTTCTGTAGGAACAGCTAGTAAGTGGCGGAGATCAGATTTGTTACCAACAAGCATCACTACAATGTTTGGATCTGTGTGGTTCTTGAGTTCCTTTAACCACCGGTCTACGTTCTCAAATGTTGCACGGCGGGTTACATCATATACTAGGAGTGCGCCCACAGCTCCACGATAGTATGCACTGGTGATGGCACGGTACCTGAAACGAGAACCAAAGTGAGTCTTAAGATTGTGGCTAGAATCAGTGATAAAATAGAGCAAAGGTGGTAATAAAGTGATAGGCTCTATATTCATTTGTCATACAAGAGAATTTCTTTCGTTATCCTAAATCTCAGTCCACTCCCCAATCTAGATACTGGACCTGCCATAGTTAGTACAAGAAATAACCTGATCTGTTTTTATCATGCCTATCACGGATGTGCATACTGACCCAGTATCCAACAATATTGCCAAAATAGGCATAAACTGAAATGTCAGGTCAAAGAAGGCAGTAAAACAATCTATTCAATGGAGGCAATTCAACAAGTCGACGAGAGCAAGTTCTTTTCTTACATTCTAACAATAGTCCGTATAGCGTTCCTGATTCTAGTGATCATTAACAGAAAGAATCACATGGTCTTGTTCATCCATCCAATAAAGATTCCATCAAAGCAATCATGGTCATATTGAGTCAACCACAAAGACTTATTTTTAGAAGAAGGGCAGTTTTTGAATCTACATTATTAGCTACCTCCATATTCTATCCTTCAATGGTGGTCAAATGCAGTCAACTTCAGACAGGCGTTTCCAAAAGAGCAGTATTTTGAGAATAAAAGTCAACGGAGAGACTCTCTAGTAAAAGGCTGCTGAACACATTCACTACTCCGAAAGCAAAAAAACTAAAAACAAGTATGAGCCAGTGAATGAATCAGACATTGAATAGGCATCACCCTTGACCTTGAGAAGGTAAGATCAGCTTCATCTTAAGCTTCCATTCACTCTAAAACGGTTTGATAGGAACATACAGATTGTGTTAAAGAGCTCAATTCCGATACACTTTCATGAATTCAAATTAAGTCAAAGAAACGAATCAAAAGCTAATGTTCCTTATCAAAGTTACCAAAACGATAGATCTGTGGAAAATCGTTTAAAGGCACTGCAATGAGCTTATAGTGATCTATGGGACAGTGGCTTGAACCCGAAAAAATCGAAAATACGCTATGAAACTCAAAGTGAAATACCACCAAGATCTAGCTTGAAGGCCGATTTACATACAAATCAAACACAAAGAACGAAATGAAGAGACGAGAAAGACGGAAAACGAACCTCTCCTGACCAGCAGTGTCCCAAATCTGAGCTTTGATGACTTTACCATCGACTTTTAAGGTACGAGTAGCGAATTCGACGCCAATGGTGGATTTAGACTCGAGGTTGAACTCGTTTTTGGTGAATCTGGAAAGGAGATTGGATTTGCCGACTCCAGAATCGCCTATAAGAACAACTTTGAAGAGGTAATCGTAGTCATCTTCCACTCTGTACCCAGCCATCTCCGCCGTCTCAGGTGGTTGCTTCTTCTCAGCGATTAATCTGAGAAATAGAAAGAGAGAGAGAGAGAGAGACGCAGCAGTGTAAAGGTGTAAACTGAGATTTGAAATAACGCGAAGAAATTGGTGTATGTGTTAAAGTGACGGCTGGTGACAGTCTGTGATTGTAATCTGACATCTCGTCCGTTGATCTATTGGGTAGGTAGGTGACTGTAGTAATATCTACTGTATTATCTAAAGACTTTTGACAGTTTTACCCTTGGCGTTTAACGCCATGTGGGCGAGGGTTAAATAAGTAATCACTGTATTAGAACGGTTTAATTACGATAATAATTGCCATAACTGTCCTGCGTTGACTATTATTATTGTCTGCATTTTAGAAATGTCAAAGATGTTAAAAAGAAAGCGAGACGATCTCTGTGTCATTTCCCCGGCGAATTGACGGCGATTTCGTCTTATTCTTCCTCTTTCGCCGTCATCTCTTTGGGAAAATAAGCACAGGTAATTTCAGTAGCGTTTGATTTTTCTGGAGATTTTGAGTTGACTTTTAGCTAACTGATTTGTGATTTATTTCTGTTTTGTGTTAATGTTTACATGATTGAATCTCAGACTATATAATTTCACTGTAATTCAGAGTTTAAGCAGACGACATGGATGTTGAGAACTCTGTCAAAGAGAAGCAGAGGAACTCCGATAGGATAAGCAATTTACCTGATTCTTTGTTATGTCAGATTCTCTCAGATCTCTCCACAAAAGAATCGGTTTGCACAAGCGTTTTATCAAAACGATGGAGAAGTCTCTGGTTACATGTTCCTGCACTGGATTTGGATTCCAATAACTTCCCAGATGATGATGTTTTTGTGAGTTTCGTAAACAGGTTTCTGGTTTCTGAAAATGAGCAACACTTGGAGAGATTCAAGTTGATCTATGAGGTTAATGAGCATGATGCTTCTCGGTTCAAGTCTTGGATCAATGCTGTGATTAAGCGTAGAGTTTGTCATTTTAATGTTCATAATGAGGTGGATGATGATGATGATGATGATGAGTTATTTAAGATGCCTTTATCTCTCTATTCTTGTGAAAGCTTGGTGAACTTACAGCTCTACCGCGTAGTCTTGGATCATCCGGAATCTGTTTCCCTGCCCTGTGTCAAGATTATGCATCTTGATATGGTCAAGTACGATGCTGATTCGACTCTAGAGAGGCTAATATCAGGTTGTTCTGTTCTGGAAGAGTTAACCATAGTTCGTGATCCCAATGATTCTCTACAAGTTGTGTGTGTGCGTTCCAAGTCTCTAAAAAGCTTCAAGATAGAGTGTGAGCGCTACGAAAGTGAAAATCATGTTGTTGAAATCGATGCTCCAAGACTCGAGTATATGAATCTTTGTGATCATCGATCTGACAGCTTCATAATACACAATATTGGCCCCTTTGCAAAGGTAGATATTGATGTTATCTTTAATGTGGAATATAATGATCCATTGGAACCAGATGATTCTTCCAAGATAGCTATGCTAGGTAAATTCCTCACTGGGTTATCTACGGTCAGCGAAATGGTCATATCTTCTGATACTCTACAGGTATATACTTGATTCAATAACATTTAGAATATTACACATGCACTTCCCTTATCACATTGTCTCAGTGAACCTATGTTTTCTTTTATTTTTCGGTGCACAGGTTATTCATGATTACTGCAAAATGGAACAACTACCTCAATTCTCTAACTTATCTCGCTTGCATGCTTACTTCGAAGATTCTTGGTGGGAAATGTTGCCAACCTTCCTTGAGAGCTTCCCAAATCTACACTCACTCGTCATGGTGAGTTTCATTTGCTTCTGCCCACATGTAAATCACATTGAGATTTCTAATAACAAAAACTCAAAACTTCCCTCGGTTATATGTTATCAGGAATTTGATTGCTTTCCAGATAAAGAGCAGATTGATCTTTCATCTGTACCACGATGTTTCATATCATCTCTTGAGTTTGTTCACCTAAAGACACCGTTTGTTGTAAACATGCAAAAGGAAGGGAGACCACTCACAGGAACATCAAGTAAGATGAAATTAGCAAAGTACTTTCTAGAGAATGGTGCAGCTCTCAAGAAACTGACAGTAAGTGCAAGTTTCTGTAACATTATCAACGAAATCAAATCGATTCCAAGAAGCTCTACGAGGTGTCAAGTTGTCATGGATTAATTGAGCCAGCTTACAAGGTCGTCTCTGATACATCCAGCTTTGTATCCGATGATCGACAGAGAATCAAGGCTTGTTTTTCCAGCCATTAGTTTACAGGTTGATGGTTTAGTGAACTCTTTTCTCACAGACCAGGTTTCTACGTACTATATATAACACTCTCTCTTGGAGTTGTAAAACAATGATAAAACCAGATGGGCTTTATTAGATAAAATTACCTTATTTTTATTGGGATAATGATATGAGATTTCTTTTTATTGGGACGTTATATATTTTTTTTATTCTTACGTAAATCTCGGTAATTATAGGATTTGGATTTTCCTAAAAGTTAATTAACCTTCCTTAAATTGCCGCATTCACGTGAATTCGTGATCAAGACTCAGAAACCCTAAGCAGATCATGAGTCGGGTGATCGGATCGTCGTTCCTTGCTCAGTAGTCAGTACTCTTTCGTGATTATTCGACTCTAGATTTTTCTTTTTCTTTTTCCAACTCTGGTTAAAATCATACGCCTTCAAAAGATCTGTGTTTATATATAAATAACAAAAAAAAAAAAAAAAAAATCTGTGTTTATATTTACTCTTCGAGTTTGATCATACAACGCAGAAGTTATAGATGATGTTTATAATGTGAGAAGAAACCTGTTGGTCATAATATAATCAGAGAAGAAGATATGATTAACCAATTACCAGATTCTTTGATTTACGAGATACTTTTCAATCTTCCCACGGAGGATGTGGTCAAGACTAGCCTTTTATGTCGCAGATGGAGATATGTTTGGCAATCTGTGCCTGGGTTAGATTTGGTGATCAATGGCTTCATCAAAAAGTATGATCCCAAGTTTGATTTTCTTGATAGGTTTATAGATTTGAACTATTACTTGTGCTTACAAAGAGTCAAGCTAAGGTATGTTGGATATGGTCAAAATTATCGAATCAAGACGTCGATGGACACTGTGATTAAACAGAAAATTCAACATTTAGATGTTGGGAGTAACTCAAGGTATGCATATGATAGACTTGAGATACCTCCAACCATTTATACATCATGTGAGAGATTGGTATCCTTGAAACTCTATCGCGCAAACTTGCCTAAATCGCCGGACTCAGTTTCTCTGCCTTGTCTTAAGATCATGGATCTACAACAAATCAACTTTGTTGACAGTTTGGAAATGGAGAAGCTGGTCTCAGTCTGCCCAGCCCTAGAAACCCTAACAACGGACAAGATGTATGGAGTTAAAGTCTCATCTCAGTCTCTATTGAGCTTCTGTCTGACCAAAAATGGAGATGGCTATCTGAAAACACAAGTTGTAATGCAAACCCCAAAGCTCAAGTATCTAAAGCTGAACCGTCACTTTATTGAAAGAATCATTCTAAATGATTTGAGTTCCATTGTCATGTTGAATCTTGATGATTTGATGTATTTTGGTGAAACCTTGCTTAGTATTCTTAAACTCATCTCTTGTGTCAGAGATTTGACTATCTCCTTTGATATTCTTCAGGTAAACTATCTATCTTTATTCTCCCTAACTATATATATATATATAAGTTTTTTCTTTTTCTTTTTCTTTTGAACTTGAAAAGTTGTAACATGCATTCTCTTTTTGTAGGACATTTGTCAGTTCTCCAAATCGAAATCACTACCAAAATTTCATAACCTTTCTATCTTGAGCGTCACGAACATGATGACCGGATCTTGGGAGTCTTTATTAATCTTTCTTGAGAGCTGTCCGGATCTAAAATCTCTTGTCCTGGTTTGTAATTGTTTTGTTTATTAATTAACTAGTTGAAACTCATATTCTGAAAATATTGGATATATACTAAATTTGTCTTCTTTTGTTTCTTTCTACTTTAATTAATTTGCAGGGGTTTCAAGATCATAACTGGGGAGTAAATTTTTCAGATGTGCCCCAATGTGTTTTATCATCGCTTGAGTTTGTTGAAGTTAAAGCAAGAGACGTGGCCGATATGAATAAACTAGGGAGTTATTTCATGGAGAATTCAACAGTCCTCGAGAAATTTACTCTATGCTTAGATTATATAAGTGAATGTGATCATGTGACCCTCGGAAAGCTCTTTACATTGCCAAGAAGATCTAACAAATGTGAAGTTGTTGTTAGCTCTAGAAAATTTGGAACATACAAGCCCTTGTCTTTGTTTTCTGGTGCTGATGGTTTCTGCTGCTGAGAGAAAGTCTAATTTTGGCCTTTGAGCGTTTTTGACGACTTTTGAATGATTTCCTCTAAGGCTTTGTTATAATCCATTGACTCGAATTTTGAGCATTTTTCCTCTTCGGACATAGTAGACGACAACAGACAAACTATGGTTTCCATTTTTCTTTTGACGTCTACAATGTTTACTTTTTTTCTTCTTATCAGAAGAATCAGAAACCCTAGATTGTTCCTTGTTAAAGAATATTTTGTGTTTATTTGATTGTTTTCATCGCGGGGTATCATACGCTTCAAAAGACGTGCGTCTTCAATTTAATTTTTAAGTTGAGAAGAAACCTGTGAGTGCTAATACAATCGGAGAAGAAGATATGATTAACCAACTACCAGATCAAAACTAGTCTTTTATGCCGCAGATGGAGAAATCTTTGGTACGACGTGCCTGTATGCGATTTGCAGATTAATGGGGGTCTAGATGATGCTAAATTTTTATATTTTCAAGAGGTTTGTAGATTTGAACAGTGACGTGTGCTTACAAAAAGTTAAGGTAAGGACCGTAAGGTATGTTGGATATTTATTCGCGTTTAGAACCACAAATTTGATAAACTATATATATGTGATTAAGCAGCAAATCTAACATCTAGACCTTGAGGATTATATACAAGAGAGATTGGTCTCCTTGAAACTGATCTATTGTGTAATTTTGCCTAAACTGCCACCCAAGCCCGGCCCTTTTCTTTGCCTTGTCTTAAGAATTAAGATCATTGATCTACAAGAAATCAAGTTTGATGACAGTTTGGCAATGGAGACGCCTATCTCAGGCAGCTCAGCTCTCGGTGTATGGAGTTAGAGTCTCATCCCAATCTCTATTGAGTTTTTCTCTTACCAAAACTGAAGGTGGAGGTAAGGCTAATTAGGAAAACAGTTGCAATATGCAAACTCCAAGACTTAAGTATCTAAGGCTGAACCATCGATGTATTTAAAGAATCATTATATTATAGAAGATTTGGGTTCCGTTGTTAAGTTGGATCTTGATGGGTTTATTAAATTTGGTGAAACCTTATCTAGTCTTACCATGGTCTCCTTTGTTAGAGATATTACTATATATCTCTTCTAATATACTTCAGGTAAACTATTTAACATTAACCTTTTTTATTGCTTTCGAATATGGAAAGTTGTAACATGTATTCCTTGTTTGTAAGTCGTTCACTAGTTCTGGAAATCGAAATCACTGCACCAGTTTCATAATCTCTCTAGCTTGAACGTCAAAGGCATGAATCATGATCGTTGAATCTTGGGAATATTTGCTAACCTTTCTTATAGAATTGTCCGAATCTTAAATCTCTTGTCATGGTTAGTATTTTTCTTTTACCAACTAACTAATTTAAACTCAAACTCTGAAAGATAAGTCTTATTTCGAAGATAATACCTCCTTATTAATTCTGATGAAGCAAATTAGGATAAACCCAAAAATATATTGAACAAGAGTTTGGGTTTATGTTTTTAATTTTGGAACTTCAATAATAGAGAACAAGAGGTATGAATAGTAATATTTTAAAGCATATAATTGTGTGCAATGGATAAATTTTTGCTATAAACAGTTAAAGACACAAAACTCCAACAACAAAAAGAAGTCATACAATAGTATTGAACCATGCACACTGATAAGGAGCCACAGAAATAAGTGGTCATCGAGATACGAAGAAAATAGCACTTAAGTTTCATCAACTTTTCTCGTCTCTTACGGAACATCTCAGTCAGTAAACTTAGCAAGACATTGGACAAATGTTTAACTGAAGAAAAACAAATTATTTTTGTATTTTTATATACTGTTTTATAGTGGTGTTCAAAGTTAAAAAAAAAAAAAAAAGATATATTTTTTTCTTTTTTAGATGACATTTCTGTTGTATAAAACTCAATTCTGCTATTTTCTATTACTGTTAAATTAATAAATTCGGAACTGTAATATGAATGTCATTTTATCTTTTTCACAATTACCAACGAAAAAAGCATGTATGTATGGTGAAAAAGATTTTTTGTCTGCGGTTCTTGGAGTTATAAAAGCACAAACGCATATATGTGTGCAATTATGATTTATGCATTGATCAATAAATTATAATCATAGTAAAAAAAAAAAAAATACAATCATAAACACTGTATATACGAACTCACCAATTTAGTTCATATGTACCTAACCCAAATAAATTACCATTGACCTCGTCCCTCCGTTCTCTCTCTATATATATCCACTCTATCAAGTATTCACTCACACAAAAACACAACCAAATCCCAAAAAAAAAATACCAAAACTTTTCTTGTTTCGTAACTAATTAATTAATATCAGAATTATACAATATAATCAATTACAGGTAATGGCTCGTCCAAGGATCTCCGTCTCGATGATTTGCTTACTGATTTTGATTGTTGGTTTTGTCTTGCAATCTTGTCAAGCTAGAAAGGTTCTAGTACCTTACCGTACAAGCAAGGGTTTGTTTCTTAGTGCCCTACCCAAGGGCAATGTACCACCTTCGGGTCCAAGCGACAAGGGTCACACTTCTCCTCCGGATGATTCCGATCAGCGTATGGTACCGGAAAACTCGCCGGAGATTTACCGTCGACTGGAATCAGTCCCTAGCCCCGGTGTGGGTCATTAGACACATTAATTGATTGTCGACTATCACTTCATATATGTTGATAAGTTGTCGATTTCTTTTCATAATAATATCATATATCGTACGTACGTCTTATGAAGAATGTTTGTGTATGTGTGTCTTCATATATAATTTGATATATATGTGTTTGTGTGTGGTCTGTTATATTGAGTAATAAAAAATCACTATTTTACACTTTGACTTGTCCTTTTTGACTTTTTCAGATATATATGTTATCAAGTATTTCAAATATGTATGTAACGACATGCAGCTTTTGTCTGTTCGAACATATGTATTATAGAATTAGAGAAAATACGTTTCAAATGATATTTTTTTTATGAATTACCTTTCAATTATCGCTTCGAAAAATTGAAGTTTTCAAAACTAGTTTTTCATATAGTTTTTCGCATTAATTGAGTTCACGGGTGAAATTTATTTTATAATTAAAAAGAAGATAAAGCCTAACTATATCAATATAAGAAAATTAGAAAGTTTCAGAAAATTTGATTAAAATATAAATAAATCCTCGTTTTATTTACGAGTGTATTTAGTACAGAAGAACTAAGTAAAATGATCCATTTGTGGGGATATAAGGATATTAATAGTTGCGCAAGTAGTGAATATAACTCCAAAGACTAATACTAATATACTATAGATTTAAAGAGACAAACTTTGATGAAAAAAATAAAAAAAAGAGACAAACTTTTATATCATACGATTTTCACACATATGTAAACATGAACATACGATTGGTGCCCACCATAATCGAAACAATGGAAAAAGGTTGCGTACGTAAATCAAATTCTTCATGAAGAAACTTAACCTTTTACCAAAAAAAAAAGAAAAAAATTCTTCATGAAGAAAGCTACATATATAAGCCTATAACTTAGAAAGTAAATAATAATTCAAAATCTTCGCTTTGGCACCTTCGTAGCAAAAGTTGATGATTTGACAATAATTATGTCTGTTTACGTAAGAGACGTCTTCCTCTGTCCCGTTGACGTTCTTGTTTTACGATATCAATAGATTCACTGATTCAGGGTTTAAGACTACAGAAAAGAAGAAGAGGAAGAAGAAAAGGAAAATGAAAATAGACATGCAATAATATAAGGAACACCATTATTGCTCATCTAAGGGATTATACTATTTAAAGACTAACTTTTTGTCATGAAGCTCTTCTCTCACTTTCCTTTTTTGTATTTTCTTAATAAGTTTAACTAACCAACTAAGTAAGATGGAGCCGCTTGTTATACACATTCAATGCATGTTATATCTTTAAGTAGTGATTTTTTTGTCAACTGATAATAATTATTTACTTTAAGTAGTTTTTTTCTTTTTATTTTTAAAATAGTTAAATCTATACAAGAATATACGTTGTTAATATCTAGCTAGATACTGAAATATTTGTATTAAAACATTAGCAGTTCTAGTAACAAAAATAAAAAATCAAGCAATTCTTATGACTTTCATATGTCACGTCATCTCATATATGAATGTGCCATCAGATTTGAAAAATGGAAATCCATTAACTTTGAATTTTGACTTGATAAAATTTTAAAATCAATATATATATATATATATGTGTCGAGTTATATAATCCCAAACTAGTAGGTTTATATAAAGATTATATGACACGCTAATGTTATATCAAAGCTTGAATTATGCTGTCAGATTTCCAGTTTCCAAATCATGAAAACTGTTGAAAAGACATCATAAGGTGTATTACTTCCAAAGCCCAAAGCTAAAGTAGAAATCGTTTAATGGGTCATTATCATACATTAGTCTACATATAAATCTTGGTAAATTTGCATTATAGATTTGTTTGAAACTTATAAACCACGTTAAGTTCATTATCAGCATGTAAATCGTACCAATGTGACTTTTATAACATCGGTGCGTCTAATAGAACAAAACCCATTATTTTCACTTCATATTCTTTGATAATTATGTATCGAAGTTCACTTCATATTCTTTGAAAATGATGTATCGAAGTTCACTTCACTTTACTTGGTAGAGTTAATTAAGACATCGGCCATCTTTATTTGACATGACCACATAATTAAGTAAAAATAAAACTTAACGCTGTAAATGATAACGTGTATATAACAAACACTATATATGTCCATTATAGCCCAATCCTGTTGACTGGCTGATATCTACCTACAAAGGTAAAAACTCTGTATCCTTCTTCTTTCTATTATACCTGTCTACTGTCGTCATAAGAAAAAATAAATCCTAATTTCTCTTTATATTTTGACCCAACAAAAATCTCTTTATTATTTAATTATATCAAAAGTTCAAAACGAAACCATATATATTAATTTAATTTTGTTATTTTTGTATTAATCGAACCGTTGATATTTGTCTATTCTAAAGTCGTAATTTTTTTTTTTGTAGAAGTCCTTGTCCATTGGTTGACCAAGAGTTCATTAATGTTTCTACACCTAGAGGTCTGGGGTTCGAATCCCAGATACTGCGATTTATTAATAAATTTGCAGATTATTGGAGGCAAATGTGCATGAGATCTCCAGCGATGTACAATTATAGTCGTTCGCCAGGATTCTACACAGACAAGAAAGTGTCCATAAAAAACCATAAAGAAAGAGTTGAGCATGAAGAAGGAGGTGAAGGGGGTGAAAGAAGTCATGGATCTAATAAGAATCGAAAGGAATTATCCGTTGTAGAATCATCTATATAACAGTTTTCATAATTTGCAATAAATAGTAAATTTAGATGACAAAAAAAAAAAGTCGTAAAAAATGATCTAGACTTAAAAAATGAAACGGCAAATATCTCTCTTTTTAGTTTATCTAGACGTTTGGAGTTCGAGTCCGTAGCTATCTTATTAAGTCACGGATTTATTATTTATTGTAATCGGTACTCACTAAAAATGATCTAGACTTAAAAAATGAAACGGCACGGTTGGTAGAGGCAGATAGCTACGGGCCTTACAGGCCCACAGTCCTCAAGCCAAAAGCCCAAAAATACAAAACCGGCTTGTTGCAACTCGTCGTTATTGAAAGTTGAAACAGCATGAGTACAAGAGTTTTAATCTATGGTATATGACGAAAAATAACTATTTCGGATTCATATAGAAGAAGCTATTCTAGCAAACATTGTCCAAGATTTGGCTTTGAGATAATATATTGTTACATATATGTAGTATGAATAGTTCTATAAAAATATTGTATAAGTTACGTATGATCTTATCTTTAGCCATAAATAGTTAGATGATGAAATTCAAAACTACCACACCTTTGTGGCTCACGAGTATCTCACTTTGAACAGACCAAACATTATGGAGAGAAAGAAAGAAGAAAAAGAGCAACCTTGTGATTCACGAGATAACGCAAACCATTGTCTCTCTTCCTACAAAAAATATCTCTCTTTTTAGTTTATGTGTCTACAAATCTTGTAAACTTAATCTCTCTCTATTCCTTATCTCTGTCTCTGCTCTGTTTACTCTGCTTTGTAGAATTTGTAATGTTCATTTGTTGTTATCGTCTACTAAGGAAGTCAAATAATGGGTTGTTCTAGCTCGAGAACCATAGCAGAAGGTACTCTATCTCTATCTCTATCTCTTTCATTAGTGGTACACAAAGATAAGAATTTGATGAAATGAGAGTCAAGAAATGATCCACACACATCGGATCTAATGTTTTCTTCTTCATGATGGTTCTTAGTTTGAGAATTGTAGATTCTCACATTCAACATATGATGATCTAACTGCTTGGAGCATCTCTGTGGTCTGTGTTTCGATTGTGTATTTGAAGGGAAAAAAGAAAAGATTCGAAGACCAAAAACATGGAAACATCCTCAACCGATATCAAGCGCTGAGCTGACACAGATGCGAGAGGAGTTCTGGGATACAGCTCCTCACTATGGAGGCAAGAAAGGTGATCATTGCATTTAAATATTTATGTCCAAGAGTCAAAAGTTTTTGTACTTCAATGTATATACATATATGTAAACAGAGATATGGGATGCGTTACGAGCAGCAGCAGAAGAGGAGGATTTATCGCTTGCGCAAACGATACTTGAGAGTGCTGGTGTGATTGTTCAGAACACTGACCTCACCATTTGTTATGACGAGAAAGGTATAGTCTTATTCTTTTACACAAGTTTTTTTTTTTGGTTGATTTTGTGCAAAGTAGTTGAGATGTTAGTTTTTGCAGGTTCAAAGTATGAATTGCCTAAATACGTTCTCAGAGATCCATCAAATTTGATCCGAACCAAATAGAGAAAATTCAAAAACAAAAAAAAAGAAGAGTAAGAAGAAAGAGAAAAAGCTCGCTTGTGTATGTATGTACTCTATGGAATCATGCTGTGTTTAATTTAGTTATGTTTTTCTTGTTTGGATTTCTTACCTGTGTATGTGAAAATCTGGGAGGAGTGAAATGGATTACAAAGGTCCATAAATTTCTTTATAATTTTTCCATAAAGAAGAACCTTTGAATGCTCAATAAAACTACGCTCATACCAAAATATTGTATCTCTAACTTTATCTTGTTGTTCAAGATTCATAGCATAATATAGAAAATATAAAGACTGTTATGGATTTCGTAAAATATAAACTCCACCATAAAGTTAGAACAAAGATAACAAATTAGTGGTTACCCAAAAGAGACACCATTACACTTAAATCCAAAAGCTTTGTAGGTGAAGCAAAACGCTGAACAATGAACCGGAAGATAACTGGGTCCAGTTCCCATCAAAAACCGACAAGCTTTTCGATACCGGAAACTAAAACGTAGCTTCTCTAGCAGGAGTTATAAGTCACGGTTAATAATGTTATTTACCAATGTGAGTCAGAATCCGATTGATCAGAACTTCTTTCTTCCCGCCGAGGGGAAGATTGTTGGCAGTCAGATATGTCTTCAGTTCGACCACAGTCAAGTCCTTCAGCTAAACAAAGAAAACAGAACATGAAGATAGCTTGTATAACCATAGAGATCCAAAAACCAATGAAACAAAACGATGAAATCATTAAGCAGATATCTAAATCAATGTTTAGAATGTTGCTTTCACCTTTCCGGTTTTTGCAAGCTCTATATAGTCATATTTTCCATCATCTGCATTACCAGCTTTTCGCTTTCTTGATTTCTCCTTTGCCCCTGAGTCACTTTCTTCATCGGGGTCATCGCCGTAAATCGACTGCTTAAAATTTTCTATTGCTTTTACAACTGCAGGTCTGCAAGAAAAAAGAAAAAAAAAAGGTTCACTCATAAGATCCTAACGTTTTTTTCCTTTGCTTATGGATGGAATGTTAAGAGAGAATTTGAAAAGTTTGTTGAAAACCTGTTCATTCCTTCCTCGTCAGGAAGCGTTTCATCTCTGGTTTCACTAACCTCGTTTTCATCGAGTGCAATGGCTTGTAAGATAGCATAGTGTCTCTGCAAAGCTGCAAGAAAGAGCAACTTCATATTATATATATGAACGGTTTCCAGATCAGTAGCTCACTACAACTAATAGAATCAAGACTAATAGAGAGTTGAACTTACCTGGATTAGCAAATTGGCATACGGAAAAGTCTTTTAACTCCAGACGTCGCATTAGAGCTGATGCTTTTTTAAGCTGATCCTCTGATGCGCGAGGAGCAGCTACACCAGGTTTTGAATGCAACTGCCAAAATTCCACCAACTAGTCAAAATTTAACATACATGAATAATGTTGGAACCAAGTAGCTTTTCAAAAGCTATTCTTTCTTGCCTCGTCGATATCTCTAATATCATTAGCATAGGGAAGATATATCATGTTCATCCCTGGTGGCTCCACTTGACCACCATCACTCTCGATTTCATCCTGTTTGGGTTTAAGAAAAAGACATTTGAGTAGATTGTTTAACAACGCACAAGTCAAAAAGAAAATAAAGCTAAAAATCAAGATGAATATACTTATGTGGAAGAAAGGTCTTTATAGAGTTCTCTCACCTGAGCAACAAGTGCAACCAATCTCGGAGGTGTAGTGCCGCCATAAAATGCAACAGCAAAACTGCAACACAAGAGGATACAGCAATTATATGGTTAGTATATCACAGCAAGTGCTAGAGTATAATAGTCTGTCTTAAATCCAGAAGTTATATTCAACTTCGAGATCATAGAATTATGTATCAAATATGCTTACCGTTCAAGCTGTATCATGGATCTATGCAAGGCAATGAATGCACGAGTGCTCCCTATAACTTCCTGCATCAGTTAGCTATCAAAAGTAAGAGATTCCATGACACACAACTGTTTTACAAGATCCATGAGGAAAAAACATGTATTCAGGTCACTTGCTTCAGAATTTCTCAGCAAAATGTCAAAATAAGATATACAACTCTGAAGCTTAAAATGATAAAGTATGGTAGATATCTGAAGCTCCCTACTGATAGGAACATTTTTTAAAGTGCACAAAAGAACTGAAATTAAAGATGGTACGAAACAACAAAGATTATAAACAAAGCTATATAGGGTCATGAAGCTCTATAACTAATAGAACGTCCAAATTTGAGTAAACAATTTCAGCACCAAAGTGAAAGTCTTTGCTCTTCTAAGTTCCAAAATTTATGAACAAACTACAAGAAAATTAGCAGCAGCCATCAGATAAATGAGAAGCGGGTAACCTTATCACTTGGATAGAGAAATGTAGAAGGCTTCAAATTGTAATAATCTTTGAGGCAACTAAGTGGCTTGAACCCCAGCAGTCTTAAGTGTCCAGTTGAGATTTTTTTTACTTGGGATAGCTCTTCCACGGTAAACATGATATTCTGACTAGAAAGGAGAACAAAAAATTAAAGCCAATTTCTACTGGACAAGAAAGAGTGGGGGATCAAAAAATATTTCAGTTATCGAGTAGAGTGAATTTTAAACTTCATGACTGCCAAGAAAGAGATTCACATTTCTGAGGCTGTAGTTTAATATGCTCTAATAATTTCTTCCTATTGAATTTACTTTTGTAAGGATATTAAAAATCTAGACATAACTAACCGAAAAAGACCATTGCTTCTATGTTTAGACGAAACCAGAAATAAATCAGGGTGCTAATCTGACGCTTACTTTTTGTAAGGCTGAATCCGTTGTATAGGATCTTGCATTATCGCTCCAGTGTCCGTACAGATATATGATCTTTCCACCTGCAGACAATCCCACACCACTCATATATCTAGGAAATATATATCTTATATACACCAAAACATAGATAGATGTCAAGGAAAATTCTTGATTCATACTATTAAAATAAAAAAGGACAGATTTGATCTGAAAACAAAGGTCTACACTTGTAATGAAAGTCAAAAGAACAAAAGACGAGTAAAGGCACATACTTTCAATTCAACTAAAGAAGCGTTTCTGTACAATTACCTTCACAGGAAGATTAGTTGTAGAGTCAAGCCAGGTTATGCTGCCAGGAATAGCCGGACGGAGTAACGCATAACCATTCAGTTCAATAGACAAACCATCACAGATCACAAACGTAATTCTTTTTGCTATTCTCTTGGCAAGTACACGCTTCTTCAGCTGGTCCTTCATGTCCTCTAACCTGAAATACATTTCAGTAAAAAGTACAACTAGTTGCGTGAATCCCTATAAATCCAAATTCAAATTAAAGAGAAAAATTACAAAGTGGTGTTTTTGAAGTCTGGAAACTTCTCAAAAAACCATAATGGCTTTGTCTGAGTGTAGTACCATGATGCTATAAGCAATTGAATGACAAAGACATATAAGGAATTCCAACAGGCAATAAAGAATGAAAGAACATACTTCTGTCCAACTGATGGCATGAACTCCGTAAGTTCATCACTGTTTAATCCAATTAAATCCTACAAATATGTTGACAAAAAAATCATGGAAATAGAAATTTAAGAAAAAATGGCTATAAATCCCCCAGGTATATAAGGTCAACACAAGAAGTAGATTGTAAGAGATTAACCTTGTAGAAGAGAGTTATATTGAATTGCTTATCAGGTTGACTGAGGGGAAGAAGCTCAATTGAAATGCCAAGGTCTTGGACATCCTTAAGGAATCACCAAAACGCAGTAAAAAGTAAACCCATTAGTCCTTCTATAATTTGATAACCAAGAAGCTTCTTTAAATAGATTTTATTGTAAATCATATCTAGGTAAGGGTTAAAACCAAACTACCTTAGCTCTCTGCAATGTCGTCCTCGTCATATCCTCTTTTACAGAGATCCTCATATTCCCAAAAGGATCATCTTCATTAGTGAATAGAAACATGCGCTTATCTGCTGTCTTTGAAGATCTAAGTATGTTTTTGTTACAAAATATTAGCAACACAGGGATCAGATAACAGACCAAATTGTAAAACATATCACAAACTTGGCACCAAGTCAAAAATTGAAATTAGATTGTTACCCTTTGCGCAGTAGTGCTTGTGCAACCCAGAGAGCACTATAAAGGGAATTCTCCCGAGAATCTGAGACAATACCAGTTTGACTACCAATATCCTTATCAAATGATTCTGCACCCAAAACAACAAAGTAAATAACTCTCTTTCAGCACACTACTCCACTCTTTAATGTTTGATTCAGTCTGAGAACTACCATTGAGATCTCAGGCGCTAAAAAGTTGCTCAACCAATCAAGATTTTAATTATAACATGTAATGTCTTGTCTTACTAAGTGATTGCTAAGAAAAGGATTCGAAACTCTAAAGTTAACAAAGAACTATGTACTAGAGCATAACAAGAAAGTTAGAGATAAAAGGGTAGTACAGCACGTATACCTTCTATGAGATCGAATTCTTTAATCAGCCTCGCTGTTGGACGGTCAATACAATCTCTCTCTGGAACATTAAAGACATAGACACCATTGAGATCCTGAAGATTCTTCTTTTCACGCTGCAAGTAGCAATAAAATTGTTAGCAAACAGAGAAGTGAAGATCCCAAAAAAAGAAAAGAAAACAGAAAACAAAACGTTTCATCCAGAATCTTACAGTGTTAAAGAAACATATTGCTATTTCATCATTTGACCGATTGATAATATGAGACTTGAGTGACAGAGCAATGCAACTAACAGCAATATGAAAATGACTTTCTTGTTTGTCCTCTTCCTCCTGTCAAACATCAGTATGATACAAAGTTAGATATCAATTACATAAAAATTGCATCATCAGCACCCACAAAAGGAAGCACCCATGAAACATTTTGGGAAAGATTTCAAAGAATCAAACAAAAAACTTGATTTTATAATTTTCATGCATACTCACAGAAGGGCAAGTAGAGCTGAACATTTTGGGAGAAGCATCAATTAGATAGACTAGAAATTCTTTGGAAGCCTCTTTTTCCTGCAACACCAACAGATCAGTAACCAATACATAAATCAGGGTTTCATTTTTTTTTTGCTTTGACTAAAACTCTCCCAGAAGAAAATAAGGTAAAAAAAACCTGAAAGAATTCGCTTTCTGGGTCTTCGTCTTCATCCCTGAAAACATCATCTGGGTCCAATTCCATCTCCTGACAAGAACGAATACAGATATCGAGTCAATGACTGTTCCTCCGGAAAACCTCAATTTTTGTCACAAAGGTTTTAGCAAGAACAACAACAATACCAATTATGTCTTTTCTGTTTACGAACGTGAATCTCTTTGGGCTACAGCGTGACTTTTTTTATTGGGCCACAACGTGAATTTTGTTGGGCCACAACTTTTCGGTTTTAGGCCCATATAGAGAGATGATGCCAAATACATAGTTAAGAGATTCTATTATTTTAGTGAATAAAGGTCATATGTAAAACTGACATGTAAATTAGGTCATTGTTGGAAATATGATCAGTATGAGAAAAATTTATAGATAAACTGACACATGTGTTTACAAAATTAGTGCCAAACGATCAAAAGTAAATTAATTATTAATTACTGTCCAAAAAAAAAATTGTTAGTTAAGATCATATTGAAAGATACACATATTGATGAGCTATAGATAAAACTGACATATGTTTTTTATAGATTGATGCCAGATTGTTAAAATTAAGAATGAATCTAAAAGAAGCTCCACTTTATAGGAATAAAAAAAAAAAAAAAAAAACTATATGAATTAAAATTTGAATATATGGGGATTAAAAAACACCTGTCAATAACCCAGTGGTGGAAAACATAGATTTGAATTAAAATTCAGAATTCTCTATAATACTACCAAATGAATAATATTTGATTTCAGAATATAACACTTCTATAGAAATTCAAATAGGTTTAATTCGAATATCTCAAATTTTGTTATTAATTAGACAAGTATATAGATGACCATTATCCATTGCATAGTTGGAATTTTTATCCCAATATTTCTAAGATAATAGTGAAAACCAAAAACATAGAAAATATATACGTGTACATTATTAGATCTCATGACTTTTTGGGAAAAAATTACCAAGATCAAAAAGATTGAAAGGTAATAATATCTTCCAATGACATGTGTGCAAAAAAGATTAGAATCACATAACTAGAGAATATTCCATCCCCCCGAAAGTTGAATCTTAGGCTCTTCCTATATATTTGGGGGAAGTCAAGAACAATATTCTCACACTCTCTCATAGCAAAAAAAAAAAAATTATTCTCACACTCTCCATCTAACTGTTGACAAATTTCTGGTAAACAAACTACATACATTGCAATCTTTGTAAACCAGTTTTACAAATCCGACCAGATTAGCTTTCATCAAACAAAGAAGTGCTTAATTTTTTTCATTTAGATTATTATTAAACTAAATTTTAAATTACATACTTTTATATTCTCATTTTCTTACAGTTATTCAATTAATCTGACCATATCGCCTTATTATCAAATAAAAAGTGTATATAGTTTTTTTTTGTTTGTTTGACAAAAGTTCGTCAGAAAAAGTGTATATAGGTTTTTGTTTTGTATTTTGCATAGGACAAAAGAAACAAAATAAGTTATTAATCATTGTCGACATATTTAGTTTAATATAGAGGCAAAAAATGTTTTTGATATCTTTAGTGCGTCCGTTATGATCGTTATTTATTCATCTTATTTATATAGCCCGACTAACTTTGAAAACCAAAGTGTGCAGATCGTTAATTAATTTGAAAGAAGATGATGCATTATGATGATGCGCGTGGTGAAAGGCCAAGACTACTTGTGGTGGCTAACCGGCTTCCGGTTTCTGCAAAGAGAACGGGGGAAAATTCTTGGTCTCTTGAAATGAGTCCTGGTGGTTTAGTCAGTGGTCTTCTAGGTAAGTCATGACTCATGAGGCATACAATAATAATAATAACAATTATTATAATAAAGAGTAATAATGTTTTATTGGTGTGATCTTGAAGGTGTAACATCTCAATTAGATACCAAATGGGTTGGATGGCCTGGAGTTGATGTGTATAATGAAGTTGAAAAAAATGCACTAACTAAATCTCTAGCCGAAATGGTACGAATTTGATCCAAACATGTATAAATGCGTATAATCTCGTACATTATAGTTATAGATCATCCTTTTCATTCTTGATTAATTTTGAAGTGAAAACATTTAAATCTTTACATGTTAGCAGAGTCTAGTATTTCAAGGCTTTTTATTATATCAATTTTGAGACGGAAACTTATATAACCAGTTCTTTGTATTTGCAGAAGTGTATCCCTGTGTTCCTTAATGGGGTTTTTGATCAGTACTACAATGGTTATTGCAATGGTATTTTGTGGCCAATTCTTCATCACATGGGACTTCCACAAGAAGATCAACATGACACAAACCAAACTTTCGAAACACAATATGATGCATACAAGAAAGCAAATCGAATGTTTCTTGATGTCATAATACAGAACTATGAAGAAGGTGATACTGTTTGGTGTCATGATTATCATCTCATGTTTCTTCCTCAATACCTTAAAGAGCACAACAACAAAATCAAAGTTGGATGGTTTCTCCATTCACCATTTCCTTCCTCTGAGGTCTACAAAACATTGCCCTCGCGATCAGAGCTTCTTCGTGCGGTTCTTACAGCTGATTTACTTGGGTAAAACTCAAACTCTAATTAACAGTTTCACATATGGTTAGAAATTATTTGATTTATGTATTGTTTTTCCCAGCTTTCACACATATGATTTTGTAAGACATTTCTTGAGTACATGCACTCGAATTCTTGGAGTTGAAGGAACACATGAAGGAGTTGTGTATCAAGGCAGAGTCACTCGAGTAGCTGTTGTATGACTTCATATCAAATCTTCAACATCATAGTTTTACATATTGTTTCTCTATAACTTAAATCATTACATTAAAACCACAAATATCTCTCTGTTTTTATTTTCTTTCAGTTTCCCATTGGAATTGATCCTGATCGGTTTATAAGAACATGTAAGCTCCCTGAAGTCACACAGAAAATGAATGAGCTTAAAGAGAGGTTTGCTGGCAAAAAGGTAATCACATTTTTCTCACAACCGTTTAGTTTGATGCTTAGTTAAAAAAGAAGAGAATTTACATTAAATATTTTTTGATGTTGACAGGTGATATTAGGTGTTGATCGTCTTGATATGATCAAAGGGATCCCACAGAAGTATCTTGCATTTGAGAAATTTCTAGAAGAAAATCCCTATTGGCGCGATAAAGTTGTGCTAGTGCAAATTGCAGTGCCAACAAGAAATGATGTCCCTGAATGTAAAAGCCTTTGTATTCTATTGTGCTTCTAAATTTATAAGATTGATCTTCAGTTATATAAGATTGTGTTTTATATACAGATCGAAAGCTCAAAAGCCAAGTTCATGGACTCGTTGGACGCATAAATGGTCGTTTTGGTTCTGTCTCTTCTCTTCCAATCCATCATCTGGTTTGTTTACTTTCTCTATCTATAATTCATGTTTTCATAAGTTATATATACTATCTTCATAGTTTCTTGATAGAGTTTTCTCTCATCTTCTCTGTTAGGATTGTTCTGTTGACTTCAACTACTTATGTGCACTGTACGCAATTGCAGGTAACTAATTTCCTTCACTACATGTGATGATCAGTGATTTGGTTATAGTTCTTTATATAACTTGTTTGATGATGAGTTGTTTTTGTTGCTTTAGATGTAATGCTTGTAACATCTTTGAGAGATGGAATGAATCTTGTTAGTTATGAATTTGTTGCATGTCAAGAGGCCAAAAAAGGGGTTCTTGTTCTCAGTGAGGTAACAAAACAATTCGCATTTTTTATGTTAACATAACATTTAATAATGATTTAGGCTAATGTTTAAAGTTAGTAACTTTACATGTAAATTTATACAGTTTGCAGGTGCTGGACAGTCTCTTGGTGTTGGAGCTCTACTTGTGAATCCTTGGGATGTTACAGAAGTTTCTTCTGCCATTAAAGACGCCCTAAATATGCCAGCTGAAGAAAGAGAAACAAGACACAGATTTAATTTTCAGTATGTGTATACTCATTCTGCTAAAAAATGGGGATCTGATTTCATGAGGTAAACCTTTTATTTTATTCAAAACATATATTGTCTCTCTTAAGTAAGAGCTCATTTATGCCAAGCTTTTGTTTATCTCTATGTAGTGAACTCAATGGCGCTATCGCTGAATCGGAGATGCAAATCAGGAACATCCCACATGGACTTCCACAACAAGATGTGATTCAACGATATTCGCAATCTAACAACAGATTAATAATCTTGGTAGCTTGGGAAATTTCTTCATGTTATTTAGAGTTTTATGTTTTTGCATGTTTACTAAATTTTAATCAATAAACTTTCAAATATGTTTTCAGGGTTTCTGTGGAACACTCACTGAGCAAAAGAATAGTCGAAGTAAGGAAATGGATCTTAAACTAAACCCAGAGCTAAAAGGAACTCTGAAAGCATTATGCAATGATCCAAAAACAACAGTAGTCGTATTGAGTAGAAGTGACAAAGACATATTAGACAAAGTATTATCAATGTCTTAGATCTTGTCTTTATCTTTGATTATTGTCACATATTTATATATCTAGCTATGTTGTGACTGATGTACTTGTTCTTAAAATTTAGAATTTTGGAGGGTATAATATATGGCTGGCTGCGGAAAATGGAATGTTCGAAAAGCATACTAATGGAGAATGGGTGAAAAGTATGCCTCAAAACATGAACCTTGATTGGGTCGATAGTGTAAAGGTTAGTAATTCTGTAAAAAAGACAAACTTGATAATCATTTCTTTAATCTTTCTTCTTGAAATCTTTTATGGATTGATTATTTTGTATAATGTAGAATGTTTTTAAGTACTTCACTGATCGAACTCCAAGATCGTTCGTCAAATCAAGCGAGACTTCGCTTGTATGGAATTACGAATATGCAGGTGATTTAGATTTGTTTCTTGGATAGTCTCTCTTTCTTTCTTTTTTACACTTTGTATCTTTTTGTTAAAATTTTCATTTTCGTGACTGTTTTTGTAAGATGTTGAATTTGGGAGAGCACAGGCAGGAGACTTGTTACAATACTTATGGGCAGGACCAATATCTAATGCATCAGTTGATGTTGTTCGAGGAAACCATTCTGTTGAAGTCCATGCCATTGGTGAGACTAAGGTAAACAAATGCTTCTCAGTTCTTATCTTCCTCTTATGCAAGATTCGATATATATTATACTGATGCAAATTGTTTTTTTAAGTATTCTATATTCATTTTTTTTCTTAGGGGGCAGCAATTGGTCGTATTTTGGGAGAAATAGTATACAGAAAATCTATGACCACGCCGATTGATTTTGTATTTTGCAGTGGTTACTTCTTGGAGAAGGTAATGGTTATATTATTATGTATACTAATAAGACTTCGATCTTATCCTTTTGGCTTTTCGATGCAAATGTGTCTATATATGTTGCAGGACGAAGACATTTACACATTCTTCGAATCAAAAATCTTGTCTTCCAAGTTATCTCATGAAACTAGGTCGAAGTCTTCTTCATGTAATAATTCCCGAAAGAAGAAGAAGATTTCAATGAACGTTCTTGACCTCAAGAAAGAGAATTACTTCTCTGCAGCCGTTGGACAAGCTCGCACAAAAGCTCGCTATGTCATTGACTCATCTCTCGATGTTGTAGATTTGCTCCACAAGCTTGCAGTTGCAGATACTACAATGACTGACTCATTTTCTGATAGCGAATTATATGAGCCTCGCAATGAAAATGAAAATGCAAATTTGAAACGCTGGATAAATTCTGTCAGAAGAAGAAAAATGGAAATTGGAGACACTGGGCAGATTGGCATGTAAAGAAAAATCTAGGTCTTGGATTTAACCGTTTGTGTATAAAACCTTATGAGGTCTTAAATTTGTAATATTATCAGCAAATAATACATAAATATATTTTTTATCTATCAAATCTGGAACATGACCACAATACGAATTTTCTACATGGAACAAAAATAAACAGTTTTCTACATTTACTGGTTTTGCAGATGACCCTTGAATATACCTTTGATAAAAACTTTGAACAAAACCTACAAATAGTTTAAGACGGCATGTTAGTTAGGCAATTGTTGGAAATATAAGTATGATAAACTTCTATAAATAAGCTTAGGTAATTTGTTGGAAATATGAGTATGATAAACTTTATAAATAAACTCACATGTGATAAACTTGAGTATGACGGAAAAAAAAACCTTGGAAATATGAATATGAACTCACATGCTTTTATAAAATTAATGACGATTAAAATGAAATTCTTGATTGGTCAAAATCATATTGAAAGACACACTTGTTAATGAGATACTGTTGGAAATATGAGAATATAAAAAAAAAATGTTTTCATAGATTGATGCCAGATGGTTAAAAATAAGAGTAAATCTAAAAGAAGCTCCACTTTACAACAAATAAAATTAAATTAATATGTACACCTGTTATTGGACGACTGGGTGAAAACATAATAAAAAATTCACCATTTCTCAAAGTAAAGAAGATTTGAAATTGTAAGACAGACTATCTGTAAATATTTAAACAAGTTTTGAATTATTTCAAGTTTTGTTAACTTCTGAGAAATGAATAATTTATACTCCCTCCGTTTCGTTTTATTTGTCGTTTAAGGTTTTTTCATACAAATTAAGAAAAGCATTTAATTTTTCTATTTTACCCTTTATTAATATATTTTATAAAAAAATTCATTGGCCAAAACATTAAAACAGTAGGGATAAAACTGGAATTTTCACCAAACATTTGCATTGAAAACCTAAAACGACAACTATTATGAAACAAAATTTAAATCTTAAAACGACAACTAAACTGAAACGGAGGGAGTAATAACTTTGATTGACGAAATTACCTTTTATGATATTTCTAATTTACGGATCCGAGAACGTTAGCTAGTTGAGGCAAAGCTTGATGTTTGGGCCGCGAATTTCGTCAATTTGGGTGTAAAACGCTCTGGACTTTTATTTAACCCCGATCGCCGCCACTTCGACGCAATTTCTCTACTTGAATTTTATTTCAAAATAGAATTCATGAATTAAGTTTTTTTTGTAAAAATATAATACTAAATTCACGAGAAAATTAATGTTTAAAATACTATTTATATTGAAATTGAAAACAAAATATTGGTTTGATGTATATATATATATATATATTGATAATTCAGTGTGATCATAAAGATATTATAGGCCCAAAGATTAATCATGAAGCATGAGAAAACTATGTTAGAATTCGAACACCGATGGATAATGACACAATACTACTCGAATCCAGGTGGCGGAGACGGAAAATTTTCTAGAAAAAAATATAATAGTTGTACGACACAAAAAAAAAAAACTGTAAGAATGATGAATAGATAACAAAAATACAACTCAAAAATGAATAGTAGCACATGAAGACAACATGGGAGTGATGAATGGGCCTCAACGTGGTGATGGAGTTTATTACCGCGTTGCGGTGTTTGGAACATTCGTTATGTGGCTGGCTCACTCTCACGCACCGCCTACGGGTTTTTCGGTCATTTACTCTTAATCATTTCACTTTGGTAATCTATGCGACTCCGATCCAGATGGTAATCACAAGAAAAGAAATATGATGAATGAGATGGATTCAACAGCTGATTACACTAGAAGAAATGTCCAACTTTAATTTAGGTCTACGTAATGAAATGGTTGTGTCTGTAAAACATAATGTAGATATACGTGATTTCCAAAAAAAAATATGAGCTTATCCTAATACCATTAATTAGAGTCTAAAATCATATGTATATAGTATTAAGAATTACATTTCAAATAAATCTAACTATGAACCAAAAATTGATTTGCGTGAACCGCTTTATACTTCTTTAAAATCAACTTTGTATACGTGGGTCACTCACCGTAAGTGTGATGATTCATTGTAGGTTTATCCATCATGCACACATAGAACCAAAAGTAGTCCTTCCATAAATAGTACAGATTTGGCTTTTTTAGCTTTGTCTACATCATTTTCTGTTTCATCCAAGAAGAAAAAGCCGCCATGGAAGCCAAAGGAGAAACCCCGTGGAGCTCTATTTTAGTTCCTTCTGTTAAGGAGATGGTGAAGGATAAGATGATCACGACCGTTCCTCCCAGGTATGTTCGGTATGATCAAGACAAAGCTGAAGTCGTCGATGATTCTGGTCTCATATCCGAGATCTCAATCATCGACATGAAGCGGTTGTGTTTGTCTACCGCCGTGGACTCTGAGGTTGGGAACAGGGCCGGCTCAATTAATTTGGAGTCCCTGTACAAATTTTTAAAATTGGTCCTTTCTTCGTATAAAAAAAAAAAGAAGCCTTTTTCATGTTCAAAATATCTTAAAAATTGGCCTTTTTCATACTAAATAAAATATTTGGGCCTTTTTCATACTAAAAATATCTTAAACTCTTTAAAATATCCTTTATTTCCTTATTAAAAAAAAATTGGGTCCTTAAATTTACCTAAATTTTTTTTGGCCCGGAACATTTGCTCCCTGGAACCCCCCTAACGCCGGCCCTGGTTAAGAAACTCGACTTCGCTTGCAAAGAATGTGGATTTTTCCAGGCAAAATCTCAAACTTCACTTTTTTACAAAATAATCTATGTTAGACCTAACAAGCCTTGTACGTTTCCATGCATGCAAGTATGAAGTATCAGTATTAAAAAATTTCGTTTGATGAAATTATTCGGATAAAATCGCTTCTTACAACTGTTATTAATTTGGTTATGTCTTTATATGGTCCTTAACAGCTTGTAAACCATGGAATAGACCCAAGTTTCTTGGACAAAATAAAGTCAGAGATTCAAGATTTCTTCAACCTTCCCATGGAAGAGAGAAAGAAGTTGTGGCAGCAATCAGCGGTGATGGAAGGGTTTGGACAAGCTTTTGTGGTTTCAGAAGATCAGAAACTCGACTGGGCAGATTTATTCTTCCTTATATAATGCAACCTGTTCAATTACGCAAGCCTCACTTGTTCCCCAAGCTACCTCTCCCCCTTAGGTTTTGCATGCATCAAAAAGTGTTAACATTCTCAACTACTTCCACAAAGTTTCTCTATTTACATTTTCGTTTATGTTTTTCAGGGATACATTAGATATGTATTACACTCAAGTAAAGAGTATAGCTAAGATCTTACTAGCGAAAATGGCGAGAGCCCTACAGATCAAACCAGAGGAGATAGAAGAAATATTTGGTGATGATATGATGCAGAGTATGAGAATGAACTACTTCCCCCGTGTCCACAACCCAATCAGGTTACCGGTCTAACTCCGCATTCCGATGCAGTAGGACTCACCATAATTTTGCAAGTGAATGAAGTTGACGGTCTCCAAATCAAGAAAAATGGCAAGTGGGTTTTTGTCAAACCTCTCCTAAATGCTTTCATTGTCAATGTTGGAGACGTTTTAGAGGTAAACCATATTATATAGATGTTTTGATAGACATTGTGGCAGCTAACCGCTAGTTATATATATTTTGATGATGGGTGTTGGACTGTTGGTAATGCAGATCATAACGAACGGGACATACCGAAGCATCGAGCATCGGGCAGTGGTGAACTTGGAGAAAGAGAGGCTCTCCATTGCGACATTTCATAACACGGGACTGGATAAAGAAATTGGTCCGGCGAGAACCCTTGTTCAAGGGCAAGAGGCTGCAAAGTTTAGAAGCCTGAAAACTAAAGACTACTTGAATGGCTTGTTCTCCCGTGAACTCAAAGGAAAATCTTATCTTGATGCTATGAGAATCTAAGGGAAGTGATATCTTGTTTCCCAAGAAATTCTGTCTTCTCCAACTGGTCACTGTTGTGTGCATACTCTGTTTTTCCTTCTCTCTTATGTCTTTAATTCAAATCTGTTAAAGAAAAAACCGCCAGTTTAATAATACTTAGACCTTCACTTTCATTCACATGCAGTTCTTGTTTTTTTTCCCTTTGTTATTTCGATAAGCCTTTATTTTTATTCTTTTTATTCACTGTTTATAAACATCATGAATGACAGCATATGTGTGTCCGTTTCGCTTTCCGGCCGTTTTTACACCGTCACACCATTCACAATCCCAATGTTAAATACACATAAACGTTGAGATAAATATTTATATCAAGGTGTAAATATTAAAATAAATTGTATAAATCAATATGTATTTCGAGGTAAATTTGAACGATAAAACAAGGGGTTGGTAAGTTTTTGGATTATAGTTTTTGGTTTATGGTTTTTTAGATTTTGTATTAATTTCTTTTTGAAAAGCTAAAAAGGGTAAAAAAAAAAAAGGTCAAGTCACTATAAAAAAGTGAAAAACCAATGAAACATAGATTTTAGATTTTCTTTAAAAATTGACAAAAACTATCAAAATCTAGATTCTCTATTTTTTTTTTAGAAAAACACACTTTTTCATAATCTTGATTGGGTATATAATAGATTTTTAGAAAAAAAAAAACTAAAACCATAAACAACTTCAAAATCTACAACCATTCAAGGTATCATGTATCAATTTACCTACTTTGGGCTTGGGGTCATACCCATACCATATGTCTTTTATCAGCTGTCCTTTATTTATATTTTCTTCAACTATTTAAGTCAACCCAATCAATCATTTAGGATAAATATGTATACGTTTTCCATACCATCACCACCTACAAAAGAACCGAGCCCAACTTTTGTTTCGTCCAAGAAAGAAGCCGACATGGAAACAAAAGGGGCAGCACAGTGGAGCTCTATCCTAGTTCCTTCTGTTCAAGAGATGGTTAAGGAGAAGACGATCACGACCGTTCCTCCCAGGTATGTCCGGTCTGATCAAGACAAAACTAAAGTCGATGATGATTTTGATGTGAAAACCGAGATCCCAATCATCGATCTGAAGCGTCTGTGTTCTTCAACCACCATGGATTCCGAGGTTGAGAAACTCGACTTCGCTTGCAAAGAGTGGGGATTTTTCCAGGTAAAGTCTCCAACTTTATAACTCTTTTATAAAGCAGCCCATCGTCTTTCTTTATTAACATATTAGACGTAAGACGTCACATGGAGCTTATACTAGTTTTTTGCCAGATATAAGTTTCATATCATTATTTAGTAATTTACTTTTTTGCTTGACGAAATTGCTCTGCAAGAACTCGCTTCTCTTTACAAAATAACTTTTTTTTTTTTGTTCCAGGCAAGCCTCAGAGTTTACTTTTTTTTTTTTTTTTTTTTTTGAAGAAATTAGGCAGATAAATCGTTTCTTTACAAAACAACCCCTGTTTTTTCTTCTTCTTATTTACCATGTTAAACACAGGTTTTGTGGAGCCAAACACTTTCTGTTTCAAATTTTAATATTTTGATTAATGCTTATGTCTTTATGGTTATCTACAGCTTGTAAACCATGGAATAGAACCAAGTTTCTTGGACAAAGTAAAGTCAGAGATTCAAGATTTCTTCAACCTTCCCATGGAAGAAAAGAAGAAGTTCTGGCAGCGACCAGATGAGATTGAAGGTTTCGGACAAGCTTTTGTGGTTTCAGAAGATCAGAAACTAGATTGGGCAGACTTGTTTTTCCATACAGTGCAACCTGTTGAATTACGCAAGCCTCACTTGTTCCCCAAGCTGCCTCTTTCCTTTAGGTTTTGTTCTATCTCAACATTTTATTAACTAACTCCACAGAGTATTTCTCTGTATAATATTGGTTTTTATGTTTCTGTAGAGATACATTGGAGACGTATTCTGCTGAAGTGCAGAGCGTAGCTAAGATCTTAATAGCGAAAATGGCAAGCGCCCTAGAGACCAAACCAGAGGAACTGGAAAAGTTGTTTGATGATGTTGATTCGATTCAAAGTATGAGGATGAATTACTACCCACCATGTCCACAACCCGATCAGGTTATCGGTCTAACCCCGCATTCTGATTCGGTCGGACTCACCGTACTGATGCAGGTGAATGAAGTTGAAGGTCTCCAAATCAAGAAAGATGGGAAATGGGTTCCTGTTAAACCTATCCCAAATGCTTTCATCGTCAATATTGGAGACGTCTTAGAGGTAAAATTCAATCAAATATGCATATGGCAATTGATCATTGTAATTTAATGATGGTTTTTTTGGCTTAATGTAGATCATAACTAATGGGACATACAGAAGTATAGAGCATCGTGGAGTTGTGAATTCAGAGAAAGAGAGGCTCTCTATTGCAACGTTTCACAATGTGGGAATGTATAAGGAAGTTGGTCCCGCGAAAAGCCTCATTGAAAGACAAAAGGTTGCAAGATTCAAAAGGCTGACCATGAAAGAGTATAGCGATGGTTTGTTCTCTCGTACGCTCGACGGGAAAGCTTATCTCGATGCTTTGAGAATCTAAAGAAAGCAATGCCTTGTGGCCCATTACTCTGTTTCTCCTCTGTTTTCTTGATTTATGCAATAAACTATCTATATAACCTTATCTTCATCGTCTCTCTATTTGCTTCAATTCTGTTAAAGACAAAAATCTCCCGTAGAAAATGCTTCTACGTATTGCTACAATAAGACAATCAGTTTGTTAACGTTTCTTGACGTTCGTTGTTGCTCAAAGATATATCTAATAATATGACAACATGATTCACACACTCTGTTATCTTAGAAGTCGATGGTTTATCGCAAAATCCAATTTTAATTTTCGGACTCCTAAAGTTAGTAACTTTTGTGTTGTTAGCGTGCGCTGTGAGAAGAGACCGCATAAGATTCTTTAGATAAGTTAAGAAACCTCAAACGTAAGACATACATTGCACTTAACGTATTACCAATCTCTTGCTCAATCTTGTGGATAACATCAACAGTAACGAATGTAGATTTTCTTCTAAAACATGTATTTCCCTAAAAATGGATAAACAACAAAAACATAAGAATAAAAATTATGGTTAAACGTTACTTTTAGCTGGTGGGCAAATATACAGAGTTTCCACAATTTTTTAAAAAGAAACAAATCTGTTGACAAAAAAAAAAGAATTAGTTTATAGATTTGCTTGGGATCAATTTAGCTCCCACGTAAGGCATGTGGCTTATCTTATATATACAATACCATATAAAGCCAAATATATTATAAGGAAAGATTTTTTTTTAGATTTTGAGCTCTGCAATGGAGAAAAGTGTCAATGGATCATGCAGACTCATCAAGAGACTTGTGATTATACTTTCTTGTCTTTCATATTCCTTTGTTCGATCAGACTTTACAGAGACAACAAATATCAATTATGTATCAGCTTTGGGAGATCCCGGGATGAGAAACGATAACTTAAGGGTGGCTATAGAAGCTTGGAACCAATGCAACGAGGTCGGTGAAGAAGCTACAAACATGGGAAGCCCTCGAATGGCAGATTGCTTCGATATCGATAACTCTAGCTTGCCCGGTAAAATATTCATAATGTTGTTATGTTCTTACTTTTCTGTTTTAGGCCTTGATTCCGCATTTGTACTAACATATAGAAAAACAAACTTCATCCTTATTTCAAAACATTTTTAAGTTGTTACCTTCCGGGAAAGGCAAACGAAATCGAGACATTAAACCTCAAACTGAAACTGATTAACTGTGTTCATGGGACATTTTTAGTGAAGATAATCCACAAAGTCGACGAAAGAGACAACAGGCTTGGGGTAGGCAACGGAACCTACGGAGGAATAAGCGCTGGAGACAACGTAGATATCTACGCTGCACAAAAGGAGATATACTTAGGAAACAAATGTCAAGTTATGGACAAGCCAAATCCATGGCAGTTTTGGATGATAATGCTGAAGAACGGTAATACGGACACTTTAGCCGCAATTTGTCCCGAAAACGGAAAAAAGGCGAAACCATTTCCTCAGACCGGGAGGTTTCCATGTTTTGGGAAAGGATGTATGAACATGCCATCGATGCATCATGAGTACACAAGCTTTGTTGATAAAGAAGGACATATGAGTGGGAGTTTCTATGGGACTTGGGACTTGGATAATGACCATAAAGATCCGGTTGGTAATAATTCGTATTATAAAGTGAAATGGGAGAAGAAGATTGGGGGAAATGAGAGTTGGGTTTTTCATCATTTGTTGAAGACTTCTTCTAAGTATCCATGGTTGATGCTTTATCTACGAGCTGATGCTTCTCGAGGTTTCTCTGGTGGTTATCATTACGGCACTAGAGGGATGATGAAGATGGTAAGTTTCTAATCTTTTGCAACCAAACCGATTTTACTCTGTTTCTGAAACGCAAACGCAGAAAATAACCATTTTTCAGCGATTTGAGACTAAAATACTCTGTTTCATAATCTCTCCATGATGCACAAGACGCTGGAATCGCCGAATTTCAAAGTTAGATTCAAGCTAGAGATTCTAAAAGGAGGCGGTTCAGGGAGCCAATTTTACCTAATGGACATGGGAAGTTGCTGGAAGAACGACGGAAGAGACTGCGACGGCGACGTCACAACCGACGTTACAAGGTACAGCGAAATGATAATAAACCCCGGGTCAACCGCCGTTTGCAACCGCAACCGCCTAGGCGCTTGTCCGCCGCAACACACGTTTCCAAACGGGACTAAAGTTCACAGGACGGACAAAGAGAAGTTCCCTTACGAAGCGTATCACTATTACTGCGTTCCGGGAAACGCGCGTTTTGCGGAATCTCCGTACGAGGTTTGTGATCCGTACAGTAATCCACAACCGCAGGAGATTCTGCAGATCTTGCCTCATCCAGTGTGGGAACAGTTTGGGTATCCGACAAAGAAAGGACAAGGTTGGATTGGAGATCCAAGAACTTGGGAACTTGATGTCGGAAAACTCTCTCAATCACTCTACTTTTATCAGGTATTTTTTTGTAATTTATGTATCTGCATTTACATTATACGGAAGATTGTTAAAATTTCAAAAAAAAAAAAAAAAATGCAGGATCCAGGGACGAAGCCGGTGGAGAGACATTGGTCGTCGATAGATTTAGGAACTGAAATATATATGAGCAAGAATCAAATTGCTGAATGGACTGTAACTGATTTCGACATTGTTATACCAAAAGCCGATATTTAAGTGGAATAATATTCTGTTACTAGATTGTTACCCGCGGTACACCGCGGGTTGAATATTTTTATTATTTGTTATTTAATAATACAATAATAATTGGTTTTATTTTATTTTGATTTTTTTTTGTGGTGATATATATATTTATGTATTATAGTTGGGATTGTGTTATAAGTTATCGATATTATTTGTGTATAACATGTTTTAATCGAGTCATATGTGTTACAGAGAAATTATTTCCTTTTATATTAATCGTCTAATCATTTATATCTAAAATCTGAGAATTATATTACGAATGCAAACAGATTGAGATTTAACATATAAATGATTACAGAAAAATTATTTCCTTTTATATTAATCGTCAATCTGTTTGCAGTCGTAATATAATTCTCAGATTTTAGATATCTTGTATTATATGATTTATTTAGATGTGAAGGATTAAAATAATTTTAATCAATATAAATTGCACGATAGTTTGATTTTATTAAGGAAAAATTAATTTTTGATCAGGTAAATATGGCTGTGAATAGTTTTTTTCATATGCAAAAACTTATTGTTTGAGATAATAATATGTTTTAATTAATTAGTTTGCATGATATATATTGAACTTAATAACATAATTAACATGTTAATACAAAATAAGGTAACCTCTCATACATGCTGGGCTGTAGACAACAAAGTCCTTTAATGTTACTGGGCAAAAAAAAAAAAATGCAAAAGAACCGGTCGGATTAGTTGATCTGAACCGGTAATGTACCAACCGGTTAACACAGATTTGATCTCGTTGGTTAGAGTCTAGACGGGTCATTTTCAATTCCGCGAAACACAATCAACCTAACTTCTTCTTCTCCATTTTCTTCATCTTCTTCTCCATTTTCTTCATCTTCTTCTTTAATCTCGTCTTCTTCAGCTCAAAACCTAAACCAAACAAAACCTTAACACCACTTCTTCTCTCGATCAATCAATCAGCGATTATTGACCTTTAATCGACCATAGATTTTTCCTTTAATCCTCAGAGAAAACGTAATCGAGTGAAGACGGGTCATTTTCAATTCCGCGAAAGACAATCAACCTAACTTCTTCTTCTCCATTTTCTTCATCTTCTTCTCCATTTTCTTCATCTTCTTCTTTAATCTCGTCTTCTTCAGCTCAAAACCTAAACCAAACAAAACCTTAACACCACTTCTTCTCTCGTTTGGTCAATCAGCGATTATTCACCTTTAATCGACCATAGATCTTTCCTTAATCGTCGATCCCAATTAACATGGCTTCGAACGGCGCTTCTCCGGTATCTTTCTCACTCGATATCTGTTTGCTACAATTTAGTATCTTTATTTTGGCTCCTTTTCTAACTGACAGTCTTAAACTGACCCATTTTGTCAATTTCGGAAAATGCGTAGAGGATTGTTGATGCTACTGATAACAGCTTGGATAAGATTCCGCAGCAATTGGAATCGAGGGTTATCGGAACTTGCTTCTGGGACCTCTTATTCAAGCGAGCTGAAACTGTAAGTTCAATTCTTATTCTGACAATAGTATATTCAATAGTTTGTAACTCAAATGATTTTCAGTGTTCTGAGCACAGCTAAACTTTTAATGACATAGCAACTGTACTGATTAGCTAATCGATTAATGTGTGTTTGTCTAGGAATTAACATAGAATCCGACTAATTGAAAGTTAGAAACTCCTCAACTTAGCATAAGCAGATCAAAAAATGAAGAGAAGGTAAGAGTACAGTTAGTGATTTTGGGCGGCATAAAGGAGTTTATGATGATTATTTTGAAGTATCTAACCCTTGCTGTATATTGAATAGGAAGCTTCTACCATCAGAAGACATCAGGACAAAAACCTGAAACCAAGGAGAATAAAATCTACATCCGCATCTATGCAAGGTTAGTTTACACTTTCTTCTCACTGAAATGTAATTTATAAACATCTACAACATTTTCATTGATGTTAAGCTAAGATTAATTGAGTAAAAATGAGAAAACTAAATGATTGTGCATCTGCTTGATTGATTGTACTTTATTCAATACATAAAAAGAAAGACATAACCAAATATGACGAAAGTAAGAGTGTTTAAAGAAGTCAAATATAGCTAGCACAATAACTGGAATTGAAAGTCGATTGATTGGTTGTTACTTTCTTTTGAACCATGAGACATTGAATCTGTGAAAAGGTAAGTAGATTGTTAGTCAAATATATGATTGATTGACTGGGGGTTTTGCTTACCATAAAGCAATTATATTATAAAATAAAATGGTAAACTAAACATACCTTCTTTGATAAGATTGTTTGACAAATAATGCAAGAAGCATTATGAGTCAATATTCTGAAAAACTTCTTTGAAAACAACATTAGTTGTTTGCTTTTGAATCTTCCCTTCTTTGTCTAGAATCAGAATTTTCAAACCTGTCTTTGAGGTAACCCTAGATAAAGCAACATATAGTTGCCCATGAGAAAACACTGGCTTAGGCAGATAGAGTCCAACCCTCTCTAGTGATTGTCGCTGACTCTTGTTGATAGTCATAGCAAATGCTAATGATACTGGGAACTGTCTTCTACGCATCCGAAAAGGTAGCTTTGTATCGGATGGTGTAATATTGATTAATGAAATCAAAACAATATCACGAATTCTGTCTCCGGTTATAACTCTTGCTTGAAGAACACGTGGGGTCATCTGAGTTACCTGAAGCCGAGTACCGTTGCATAGACCACCTTTAGGATCAATATTCCTGAGTAACATTATTGGAGCACCAATCTTCAGACGCAAAGCATGGTGTGGCAAACCTGGTAGCCTGATACTGTTTAAGAAATCTGGTGTGATAACAGGATTTTTAAGTGAATCGGAATCTTCAGGATCAATACTATCAGCACTGTAAAAAACTTGCTCATCACCTGTTGAAAAAATTAAAAAAACCTTTTAGCTGTAAGAAAGACTTGAAGGAAATAATTTCACAAAGCTAGTAAGCTATGACTCACCCTCCAACTTGTCTAACATATATTGGTTGATTGTGTGTACATCATCATTGGTTGGAGCCAGAATTGCTCTCTTTTGAAAAAATACTGGATCTTCAGTACCTTTTAACATAGCTGGATCTCCATATATCTCACGAGTAATGGATTCAATTGGATCTTTTGCTTCGGTAATCAGAAGTTCTTCAGGTATATCAATTAGAGCCTCACCATCATTAGGTTCCGCAATTCTACCATCACCAACAGCTAGAAGCCAATCACTGAATTCTTTGATGTCTTTTGCTTCTTCTACACTCAAATCCTTCTTAAGTAGCCTCATGTTCTTAGTAAGCTTTAGAACCTTACAGTGATCCCAAAGATAAGACGCATTAAGAGCTGCCATCACAATCTCAGCCCTGCCTGCACCAGCGATAACAGGTAGAACTTGTCTAAAATCACCTCCAAAGACAACAACCTTTCCACCAAATACTTTGCTATTTTTATTACCAATGATATCACAAAAACTCTTATCTAGAGATTCAAAACACCACTTGCTCATCATAGGTGCCTCATCCCATATAATAAGAGAAGCTTTCTTTATCAGATCAGCAAGATCAGACTTTGGCTTTATCCTGCACACTGAACTGCTATCAGGTGTAAGAGGTATGGCAAACCTTGAATGAGCAGTCCTTCCACCTTCCAACAACAAAGAAGCGATACCACTTGAAGCCACGTTTAGAACTATATCTCCTTTAGATCTAATAGCAGCTGAAAGTGTTTTCCAAATAAAAGTTTTTCCTGTACCTCCAAATCCATACACAAAAAACACTCCACCTAGATCATTGAATACTGCAGTGGTAATCTCATCATAAACACCTCTCTGCTCCGGTGTCATAATATCTATCCACTCAGCATGCTTTTCAGCCAATGATGTACGGTCATACCGCATTTCATCAACAATCAAACGGTTAGAATTATCTATACCTTCTCTAGTTGGCTTAGGAAAGTTTTGTATATCTTCAAGAGTACCTCCATTAGACAACATCATTTTTTCTAGTTCTTGAAGAGTGTAGTTCCTAATTTCTGCCTCTGTCAGATTCAAATCTGCATATAAAATAAATGGCAATGTCAAGAAAAGAATAGAGTCATTGCTTATTTAACTGAGAAAATGTATATGATATAACTTAAGCAATTTCATTATTTATCTCACCTTGGTTGTCAAACTCATTTCTCTTCTTCTGTTGAATATCTTCTGCTAACAAATGCCACGTCTGTTCCCAAACATATTCTGGCCTAGATAGGGAATCAGATAGTAGCAACATAGCGAAGAAATTCCTCAAAAAATCACCAAAACAGAATTGACTCGCATCAAACAGACTGTCAATGAACACCTGGTCATCATCTAGAATTCCTCGTGCAAAACATGCTTCTTTGTAAGTTGGATAGACAACACCATTATATGTTTTAATGTCATCAAAACATGTAGGACCTCTGACGATGTTAAGAAGGACTCGTAGAAAATATTCATCTTCTAGCTTCCTGGGAACATAATTAATCCGACCTAAGGACCATCCTCTAGACCTCTTATTCCACAGCTTATTAGTTCCATCCCATGTAAAATATGCAGGTATCTCTGCATATAGGAGTTCTCGAGCACGCTTTCCATTTTTTCCAATTCCATCATTCCTATTCAATGTTAGCCATGCCATGAATTGAGAATCTCGATTGAGAATTCTGTCCAAAACATCTGATATCACCTCTTTTCCTTTAAAATAAGCTGGTTGCTTTCCTTCTACATGAAAAGATAGCTTCAGAACAGGTGTTGATTTATGCTGTATCGGAAACTTAAAAATTCTCCAAATTGCTTCAGATGCTGACACATATCTACAATTTTGAATAATAAACAAATCCATTTCAGGATCCAGACTGACCAATCACAGAAATAAACTGAGAAAGAGCAAAATTAGGATACAATACCTGCAATCAAAATAATCTTTTATTTCATTCTTCTTTTTCTCCTCTGGTAATGGTTCTGATCCATTAGCTGTTTGATCTACGTGTGAGCCATTATCTGTTGGTGGTGGCTTGACAGGCTCCACAACAAATGCTAACTTATCTGGGCCTTTATTTATATACTTGAATAAGTATTTAATAGACCCAGTTTGATTACACCATTCAACGTTAATGTGAGCACCATACCTAACTGATAGTTTTTTATTGTATGGAACGACATACCTATTATCACATTTAATTCCACATTTCTCAACATAGTGGTCAGAGCGCCTTCTTCTATAGATAGGAAAACCATCAGCGCCTACCCTGGTGATATCCTCAAATTTTTTAGGATACGATTTAGAACACTAGCCATCCACCATACATGGAGAACTCATATTTGCTGCACCACATGGGCCATGAATCATTGAATTACTAACAACCTCATAAAGCTCTGGTTCTGTTTCTTTATCTGGAATCTCAGCAGATATCATCCTGTCAATATCGCTTGCTGTTGGAAGTTTGCTTTTAGCATCCATGAATAAAAGAATGTGAGCATGTGGAAGGCCTCTTTTCTGGAATTCTACAGTATACATAGCTGCATAACATAGAATAAAGTGTGAAAATTATGAAATAGTCTCAGTTTATTGTCACAAAATTGGAAGTAGTCAGACAACTTACATGCGACAGTCTTTCCAAGCATCTTCTTTTCTGTTAGATCGTTCATCAGAGAATCCAACTTGATTTTGAATATCCTAGCAACAATGTCTGGCCTATCCTCAGCAGTTAACCCTCTAGCTGTGACATATCTTGTTATCTCAGGCCACTTAGGGTTACATGTAAACGTGATGAATAAATCCGGGAAACCATAATGTTTACATATGGCCATAGCATCATAATAACTCTGAACCATATACCTTGGACCACCAGTAAAAGATGCTGGAATCAAAATCTGATTTCCTTCTTCTTCCATATTTGTTACACCAGAGTCAGCAGCTTCTTTTAGTGAGTTTGCATTCTCACATCTAAGCTTAGACTGATTGAACCTTATGTAGGATAGACGATTTGATTCAATAGTGGTGTAAGCGTCACAAAGAAACTGCTGAAACAACCTCTTCGACAGTAGAAGAGTATGGCACTCACCTGGCCTCTCCTGAATACGGAATGCAAACCACTGACGCATACTAATACACTTCTTCTTCTTCTGGTTATTACCCTTATAACATTTCTCTATACCTGGGGTGTAACCATCTTCACCATAGCAGAAAATCAGAGGATACTGAAGAGCCAGATAAGAAATATGAATCTGGCTAATCCTGGTTAGGTGGCCTGTAGTCCTTTCTTGAAGAACTATATCACGGTTTGGCATACCTTCTGTAAAGTCTCCTGGGATTAACGCTGCAACCTCCGAAGTCGTAGGCATGCTGTAAGTCCTTCCATCAGCACCTTTACGACCAGAGCATATCCTCATATGAAATGGTTGGGGATTAACTACCCCAAATCTTTCCTTGGCAATTCTAAAATTCTTGACATAAGGATTAACTTCATTAAGCATTTTCATAATGGCTTCAATTGTCTCTTTGTTCAGTATATCCTTGCTTCCTCTTCTAGATGATTCTTTCCCCTTGCTACATAAAAAAAAAAAAAGATGCCCATGATTGAGTATACCACAACATAGAAATACATAAGAATTGAATAAGCCTGTTAAGTAGAAATAATACTAACCCAATAACAGTTGCTCTGTTATCTACTTCATTCTCAGTATCTACTATATAGAGT